TGTCGGATCCCAAAGGCATTGGACGAGCGACGCATGAGATTCCAGGCAATGACCATGTATGCATGAGAAAACGCCATCTCCTTGCCAGGAAGAGTAAGCATTTTGCCACACAAAAAGCTGTATAAATCAAACATCAGCGGGTCTTTGCCTGTCTTGATCTCGCTGGCTCCGATGGACGCATCCTTAGCTAGCTTGTGCTTTAGCCCCTTGAAGTAGGTGGTCAACTCCGACTCGAGCGTCTTGCTCATGGTATGACCGAAGTCCCGAAACAGGTTGAACAAGCTTGCTCTGTGCGTGTTGAGAACAGAGTAGCTGAGTGCACCGCCGTCTTTACGCTGGAGTGTGATCAGCCAGGTGACGAAGACCTCCGCGTCCAGGAGCTCGAAGACGAAAGGGTCGATGCGCGGCTTCTGGTTGATCACCTCCTTGATATGCGCCCGTAGCTGTTGGAGGGAGTACGCGGCAATGTCTCCAAGACGGGTTGCAAACTCCGGTGCGACGAGATCGGCTTTATTCTTGGCAAGCCACGCGAGAAAGCGACAGTAGGAGTTCTGATAGGTGGTTCGGGAGCGAGCTGTGACTGTGTTCTCGCGAATCTGGCGGACCTGGTCTTTTAAATGCCCCCAATCGTAGCCCTCCATTTGCGGTTGTACTTGTGTCCGACGTCTTCTGTGCTAATCGAGAATTGCGATCGTCGCCACACGTTTACACAGGGGGCAAAAACTCGTTTTTCAGAAAATGTTGGACGATGTGTCCGACTCTTTACCGTGAACGCCTAAAATAAAGCGCCCCGAGGACCCTAAAGGACCCTGGGATGAACGTTCATCCGGGTCGTAATATATATAGGGTCCAACAAATCAACAAAAGTCAAATCGTTAGGGTCACTAATCCAACGATGCGGCGAGTTCATGCGATTCTTACGCTTCGGCTTCGCTAACTGGCAAGTCTCACACATGGGTAACTCTCGTTTCTTCGGCATCATAACGTCAACGATGCTCTTGTACGACATTGACTTTAGGTATTGAGTATTCGTGTGCCCAAGTCGGGCGTGCCAAACACGAATATCAGCTAGCCCATCCATCTTCGTGAAGTTCACGACTTCTGTAGCGCGCATCGCCTGCCGAGAGCCATCCTCCGTAACCGAGTTGTAACTACGGAAGCTCTACACGTTGTTCGGCTGCAGCGTTGCAGCCAACAGAAACCTATCACCGTCATACACGTTGTACGCGCCCGAACCCGGATCCTGCACCTCTGTGAGACCCTGGTCTCTCACAATTCCTGCCGAAAACAAATTCCATCGAGCGCTCGGAACTTATAACACCCGATCCAAAGTAAACTTCTTCATCTCACCATTTTCTGACTTCGTTACTAGTTCAGCAACACCAACATCGACTGCATGTGTCAGCATATTTTGTGCAAACCCAGCTTAGTTTAAATTAGAGTTAATTATACTCGGGCCTCCGAGTATAGATTAATCTTAATAAAAGATCCAAATAATGTTTTTGGGTTAAAATGAGAACTGCTATTTTTGTTTTATGTTTCTGACTTCCTCTAAATGTAATATTCTAAACTGAGAATCTGTCAACGGCTGGTTGGCGGAATTCCAATGCTATGCATGTCGCTCATTGGCTAAAAGATGCTGCTTTCAGCCAATAGGAATCCTAAGTCTCTATGGACCACCCGTCGTGGTGATCGTAAATGTATGTAGCATTTGGTGTATCTACACCAAGGACGAGAAAGTCTTTCGAACCTCTAACAGAGGGGGCTGCGAGTTGCGGAGCAGGGGCCAGAAATGCCGTTTTACGCCGGCAAAAGGGACCGCCGCGAAAACATGTCTGGGCCCTCTCATATCGAGGTTGTAGCGGACGTAGATGATCACGCAGGTGATTTAGCTGGTCATAGTGCTATGAAGTGTAACAGGGTTACACGCACAAGTGGCTACAGTCACTTGTAACTCTAACAGACACGGCCCCTCCTGCTAAATCGGAGCCCTCCAGCGAATCGGGCCCGATGTATCGGATCTTGGACCACCCGATTTGCCAAAACGGATGAAAGCCACAATACTAGCGTAGCGAACACGCTCTAAGAGCATCTCCACCGGTCAACAAAAATTTTGGCAATAGAGGATGTTAGCAAATTGGTATTTTACGAGTTGGAGACAAAGACACTCTACCACCGCTCTCTATGTTCCCGAACTCGTAAGAGGGGAGTCGTGTTAGTACGGAATCTCCCGAGAAACTCGTAAGGCTTTTTCGCGAGACTACAAGCCTTCTGATTGGCTCGTTACTCCCATCCTGCATCTCCCCCTTGAGCACCATGGCCGCCATGGCGCTTACAGGTACATGTAGCACCGCGACTCGAATCGAGTCGCGGTGGTTCGAGTCACTCGAACCACCTCATCCAGTCTCAAGTGCCCCCCCCCCCCCTAATCCGTGTGACGTCCTTGCCTCTCCCAGCGAGGCACACAAGGATGACGACGATTCGACTGCGCGTCTAAAGTCATAACGGCGCGTCGAAGTAGAGTAGGCAGCCATTGACCACAAAGAGCAGCATAAAGTAGAATATGTTGCTTAGAGTAGTGATGTCCGAGTTCCTGATCGTACTATTCGTTTGGGTATGTCAATCTAAGAAGCTGCATGGCGCCTCGATACTGTAGCGTTTGATTCTATCGCGGGTGATGACGTCGAGAAATGTAGCGCTGCGCTGAGCGCGCGAATCTCATCCTCGGTGAAGCTGAAGTACCTCTTGCAGTACGCATCGCTGTGCTCGTTGAGCCTCGAACTCCTGGGATGATCAGTCACTCGGGGCTCTCAGAGCGCGAAGCAGCATCGCAGGAGGGGAGGGGGGGGTCTGAGTGTCGGTCCGTTAGGTGGTTCTGCGGCGAGGTGAGTCCAGCTAGTTCGGCACCACAGCAGCGGAGTTTTGAACCGTGAGCACGGGGGGGTTGGCTGCTGCAGCGACCGAAAAAGCTGAACTGAGGACCGCGACACCGCTCGTAGGTGGTGGTCGTACGAGCGCTCTGTAGTGCAGACCACTCATCATTTGCACCGCGTTTTCATACAACTTTTCTTAGGATTACTCGGAGAAATTAATTTTGTGGCAACGTTGGGTGCCGATGGTCGATCAATATCTAGTATACATCATTCAATGCGGAAATTTACATACAAGTTTTCTTATGATTACTCGGAGAAATTATTGTGCTTCGCAATGATTTTGCCGACCATTTTAGACGCTAAATATGGCAAAGCCTGCTCCTATATATGTGTGAAAGAAGATACACGACTTGCTAAAATTATGCATAAATCCACCTCCTCATATATATATCGACTTGGGAGGGCCTGTCAGCAGCCATAGACACACGGCAATTATGCATAAGAGGTTGGATGTGCTGAGGATCATGGACGGTGGTGTACTGGGCCAATCAGAGGTCGCAAACGGCCAGCCGTGGCCGTACGGATAGTTTTTGGCCGTGGCCGCGGCTGTCCGGCCGGACACCACGGCCGGCTGCGGATAACCGAGATTCATTGCGATATCAACTTTAGCTGTTCTAGCTTCGATTGTTATAGCCAAAAGGACTGCTCTTGACGTTGACAATGAGTATTGTGGCTAAAGGAAGCGGTATTGAGTCCTCCAGCGTTGAATAATATTCGTATCACCAGTCAAATGTAGAAATAGCTTGGTACGAAAAAAAATAAGCTGTTTTACGGCCAACCGAAGCCAAAATGCCGGCCAGCCACGGCTGGTCGAATGAAATCCACGGACAGCCGAATCATGCCTCGAGGTTGGCACGGCCAGATACGGACAACCGGTTTTCAGCATTTGCGACCTCTGGGGCCAATGCAGGTGCTTGTGGATAAAAGTCGACAGAATTGCAGCTGCACAGGCACAATTGCACTTTCAAAAGTGCAATTGTGGTGCTTTTAGCGTAATTCTAGGCCTCCACCAATTTATGCACCTCGATTTATCGTAAATCTAGCAGGTGGTCGCTATAAATACAGCAAATCTCGTCTGATATTGCCAAAATCACAATAATTTTGCGGCAACGTTAGTGCGAAGCAGGCGCAGCAGATGCGTATCAAATGTTGGCAAGTTATGTTCATTTAACCGAACAATTTTGGTTTGCTTCGACGAAATTGCATATTCAGGCGCACTACCAGCCCAATCCTCTAGTTAGAGGATGTTAGCAACTTCGTAAATAACGACTCAAATTTACGGTCAACATTTTTATGTGTTTAGTTAAAACGAAATCGTCGATAGTGTTAGCATTCTCGTATCCGCCCATTTTCGAAATCCAACTGACTCCCAGCGATAGAGGCCGCCCTGCTGACACGAGATCCCTGCATCCGACGCCGCGCTACCTACCGTGCCTCGCTTCATCATCCTCTCGCCTTTGTGCATTCTATCTTAGCCGCATACTGCTGAATGTGTATTAGACTTAAGCATTATTCTATCTTGGTCGCAGCGCGCCAAACATCCTCCGCGCTTTTGTAGATAGATCAAATATTGCTGCACAAACTACTTGCATAGCAACTAGAAAACCGGGTTGCCCGCTATCGGCAAATACCCTCTCCTCCTTCATTCAAACATTTCAGAGCTGGCACCTTCGTACTTAACGTTTACTCTTAAGCTCTGGAAACCAATATCCTACTGAAGTAGTTTGCCACTCCACCGAAAAAGCCTCTGCTTTACGTGAATTTCAAGAAACCATGCGATTTCTGAGATTGTTAAATGACTTTACTTGATTTCAGTATAATTTTACTTCATGTGCGCCACATATCAGGTGCATCGAATTAATCCTGGTTGGGCTGTCCATACCGTGCAGGTTCGGACAAATTCATGTCCGAAAATTAGGCTCGGACAATTCTATAATTTGATATATTATTTTTAACAGTGATAATGTGGCACACTGAAAAATACCACAAAGCAAAAAGGCAAGTGGTGACTCTCGGTCTCGGGGAGATGCTCGGTCTCTGGCAGCAGCAGGAGTTGCAGGAAGGACGATGGCGGTGTGGATAGCTTATTGGCGTCGGGCGGGGCGTCCGCTGCTGGTAGGGCCCTCAGGGCCAGCAGCTGGACGAGCAGGATGAAGACGAGGACGCCGTGCAGGATGGCGGCTGAGTGAAGGAGGGGGAGAACAGGCTGGACGGCAACGAGGCAGCAGCTCGAGCAGGAGAAGGGCGTGATGCAGGACAGCAGGGCGGACGAGTAGGTTGCGGTGTTGCCGACGCCGGAGCTGGTGTCGGCAGCCACGGCGGCGGTGACATTGCTGGCGGAGGCGGTGCAGGAGATGGAGTCGACGGAGCTGCTCACGTTGAAGTTGGCAGCAGCGTCGGTGCTGGCGGCGTTGGTGTAGGTGATGGTGTTGGCGGTGAAGTTGGCTCAAGACCCGGACGCGCAGCAGCAGGAGCAGGAGCAGGAGCAGGACATGCGGCTGTGGTCTCGGGGGGAGGCCTTCTGGTCTATCCGCGGCTGTACAAGCTGGGCGGTGGCGTGGGTTTGGACTGCAGCTGCGTCCCCGGTCCAGTACGGCGGAAGCAGCAGCACCTCGATGAGGTGGACGGCGGCGCGCCGGTGCTGCAGGACGCGTAGAAGTCCTGCAGACTCTGGACGAGACGGCGATGGCGCGACAGATGCAGGCCCGCGAGATGGAGCTGCCCTTGCTGCAGGAGGAGGGCGGGCCTGTCGACGCGGCCGCGCTGAGCGAAGAAGGAAGGAGCAGCAGGCCGCCGAACCAGACGAAGAAGTTAAGGAGGGGCAAGCCGACGTGGAAGCGATTGGCGCTGGCCTGCGGACTGATGGGGAAGGACGACCATCAACTCAAGCGCTCCCAGCGATCTCCGCGGGGCAGATGCTGCAGAAGCTGCGCGTCGAGAAGAAACGCTGAGGGGAGACATCGCCGTACCAGAAGAGCTGGAGGAAAGCGGAGACGGCCAAGCGTTCAAGGACCAGCGATACCGCGAAAGGAGAAGCGAAAATTGAGAGAGGTAGCACGCAGTATTACAGTTAAATAAATATTTATTATATTTAGCGGATGGACATTGTTTTTCTGCAGAGTTGTGCTCGAGGAGCATTGAGACCGGAAGACGTGAACGCTCTTCTGATGGCGACCTTCCTGCATTGCAAGATCCCTGTTCAAATCGATATCTGTCCGAACGAGCACGGTATTTTTAAAATATGAGATTGTCTTGCTTTCACTAAGATCATATCAAATATTTGTTTTAGGATCGGACAAAATATGTCCGAATTGTCCGATTTGTTACTAACAGCCCAACATGACCTTTGGAGCACTCCCATTTGTCCAAACAGTACGACAAAGGCTTCTGATAGGTGAATTGCTAGTGTCATATTGCAATGCAAAAATTGGTGTGTCCGAACTTTGATGCTATTCTACCATACCATTCCATGACGGTGCCGACATCGGCCGACAGAGTGCCTACAAGCTGGGATTGGCTAAAAAAAGCAGACACATCATGCACATCGGGCATGGTGCCCAGGCGGTAAGCAGTCAAATGCGCATTGCTCCAGCAGTGCCAGATCAAATCCTGGCTTGCAGGTGTCAGGCAGTAACAGCCTGACACCTGCAATTCTGCCGCTATTACCAACTTAAGCGTTTGCATGTTGGTTATTAAAACAGCAGCATTAGCGCTGTGTAACATACAAAAACGCAATACATTTCTCATTTTTCGAGAGTTCATCTAGCTGTACTGTATTAAAAGCATTGAAATTTACACGGTTGGTTAGCGCTCGTCGCCTTCGATGCAGCGATGCAGTCCTTCTCACTTTTGCTTTTGCGCTCACCCCGCCGGCGATTTGCTAGCGATTCACGTCAGTGCTTAGTAAGAGTGGGGAGTCTTTTTTTTGGTGCGCGTCTCTCTTCACGTCCGGCGATTTGCTAGACCTTCCACGAACAGAGATGCAATCCATTGTGGGTAGACGGACTAGGGGCGGTCCAATGTGTGAGAATCAGAGCGGTACATCCGAGAGACATTCTCTCTGTGGATTAGTGGTAGTCAATTTCGCAGCAACAAGAAGGATTTTATTTTGTAGAGCCTTCTGCATGAATATATTTGACCAATCAGCGTTGGGTCAATTGAGCACCCCAAATCGAAGTTTGCAGCAACAAAGACGATTTCTTTTGTCAGTTTGCAGCTCACAGCTTGCTGCACCATACATGCGCTTCGCGGGCTTGGACTTGGATGCCGCGGTTGTCGGCGCGCGGAAAGGAGCTGTGAGATCTGCGTCGCATCACAGAGCAACGGAGCGCTGCTGCAACGGTTCGCGACCTCCTCAGCGACGCTGATTCGTTGGAGGACGAGCTAGATGACTACTGGCAGCTGGAACTCGAGCGCGTTCAATCGACGCGTTATCTGGATCGTCCGGCGCAATACCGACGGAGGAAAGATCGCTGGCTGAAGCTGTTGCGCGACCATGATTACATGAATGACACTGAGTTCCACGACCATTTTCGACTAGATCGTGACGTGTTTTATCGCCTGGTGGAGTTAGTGAAAGATGATCCAGTGTTCTTCACAAAGGGGAACAAACCATTTCGTGGCGGCGCCGAGCTTCACATTCTTGCACTCCTAAAGTTTCTTGGCCCCTATGGAAACGACAACTCCGGAGCCAAAGTGGGCCAATTCCTTGGAATTGCAAGTGGCTCTGTTCACAACTATCTGTTTCGAGCTTCAACTGCCATCATGAAGCTTGAGGACGCCGTGATCACTTGGCCAGATGAGATCGAGCGTCGCATGATTTCGCAGCGGATGCAAGACAAGTATGATTTCGTGAATTGTGTGGGTATCACGGATGGAACGCTATTTTCTCTTGCCTCAAAGCCTCGCCACCATGGCGAAGATTACTATTACCGAAAGGTATCCTATTCCGTAAATGGGTTGGTGACGTGTGATGATGTTGCAAGAATTTGCAACATCGTTGTTGGTTGGCCGGGATCGACTCACGATAACCGAGTTTGGATGAACAGTCCAATGGTGCTTCATCCTGGTGATCACTTCAAGTCCAACGAATACTTGCTTGGTGATTCGGCTTTTCAAGTATCGGCCTTCATGATCCCTGCATTTAAGAACCCCCCGAAGGCTCAAATGGATTCGCGCCACAAGTACTTCAACACCAAACTTGCGAAAGCTAGAATCAAAAGCGAGCATTGTATTGGGCTCTTAAAAATGCGGTTCCCCTACTTACGTGAAATCCGGGTGAAGATGAGCAAGAAACGAAAGCACATGAGACGCCTGATTCGCTACGTCACCTGTTCGGCCATCATGCACAACCTTCTGATTGCGGAGCCGATTCCACGTGACTGGCAAGCTGAACTCGAACGATTGATGACGGGCAGACTGGACGACGATGACGAGTTGAATCTACCCCTCCCTGTTAACGCAAAAGGGCATGAAAGACGAGAGCAGCTCCTGGCATACTTACTCGAGCTGCGGACGTAACGGTAGCAGAAGGTCGATCTCGTCGGATGAGATGCCCTCATCCAACAATCATTTTCGTTCTCGAAGCAGCGCGATTTTGCGTTGCTGGCTCCAGTGCTCTGCCTCTTCGCGGAGTTTTGTTGCTTGAGCGTTTGCCTCGCCAATCCGTGCCGCAGCAAGAAGGTCTTCATTTTTCAGTTGTTGTTGGCGTGCAAGAAACTCTTTTTCACGAAGGCCGAGCTCTTTTTTTCGGGCGTCCAGTTCAGCAAGTTGGATATCGCGTTGCTGGTCTAGTTGGGCTTGCTTTAATCGGAAAAGAGCCGGGTGCCCGGATAAGTCATTTTTCTTGGGCTTCTTTGTTTGAGGTTGAGCGATAGAAATTGGAACTGACGTCGATCGCTTCGCCGCCGAGTTGCTCACTCCATGACTCGAAACCTCATTTGTGTCGGTAGCACTTTCATCACTCGAACTGCAGTCATCACTCTCTGTATCATCTTTGCGAAAGTGCTGATCGGTGTTCAGGAGCTGCGCGCGGGTGCTTATACGACTATGCATCGTGTCGAATAGCTCATAGTACTCGGGGCATCTCTCCAGAATGTTTGCACGCAGTGTAGTCTCATCTTCCACTCCTTGCCCAGTAGCCGAAAGCCAGTCAACAGCTGCACGAAACGTCGACTCCAGTGACGCAATCTTAGACATAACATCTTTCGCGGTTCGAGCTGTCTTAATTCCTTTGATGGAAATCAAGTGCACGATTTGCTGAGCGAGCGCAGTTTTCGTTTCCCCTGTCTGGGCTTCACCCCCACGGTATCGGTCATAATTATCGGCACTCGCGATCCAGTCAATCAGCACGCTCAACGAGCTTACATCTTGCGAAGGTCCATCGTTATGCCATAGCACGCGCTTCTTTCCGGTCGCTTGAGGTGCAGCCGCAGTAGCGGCTAGCTTTACCAGGGTGTTGTAGCATCGTCTTCCGCACGTAGCTTTGTCAAATGAGCCACCAGCACCGAATGCATCCAACATTGCTGCTACGCAAGCAGCGTGGGCTTCGCGCTCACATCCCGGCCTACTGCAAGGGCGAAATGACCCGCCTCCATTCGATTTGTTAACCTTCTTGCAGTCTTTCCATCTACAGACGGATGCTACAGCAGCACCTATGACGGCCGCAGCTTCATGACGAGTTGCATCAGCTCCGGGTGTTTGCCGGGCATTGTTGTCGGGTACGGTATCAGCAGTGACGGGCGGTCTGGTTTCCTCGCATCGATCATCATTGTCGCTGTCCAGCATTCGGCTAAGGTCGTTCAGACGAGCAATCCTGCTGGGTGCTATGTGCACTCCTGTGCTGATCACGTACTGGGGGTCCGCGCAGTTTAGAGTAGTCGTAGGAGCTGGAGTAGTCGGAAATTCACTTGCACTTGAAAACTCTGACGGTCGTAGGGGTTGTACGGCAATCATGATAACTGGTTTCGGACGCTTGATGCTCCAACTGGGTCGCGTGAGAGCGCCGCGTAGCGGCGTCGTAGCTGGACGCCGCTACGCGGCGCTCTCACGAGCTCCTCGCTGTGAGCCGGCCTAGTGAGGTCAGGCGCTCTACTGCCGAGGCTTGGCTGTGTTGGGGCGGAGCTGGTAGTCCCTCGACTAGACGGGATCGTCCCTGGAGCAGCTGCTGCGCCAGTACGAGCGCGGCTTGACCGCGAAGAGCGCGGCTTCGTCTTCTTGCCCATGAGCTCTTCAAGTTCCGCGCGGCGAATAAATAATTGAACTTGTTGCTGCGCGCCAAACTGCGTGAGTTTTGTTGCAGGTGGGCAATTTTTTTCTGGCCAATCAGAGCCCTAGAAAATATTTCCATCTTGCTGTGAGAAAAAAAATCCTCTTGTTGCTGTGCAATTGACTAACACTATTGTACTCGATCAACAATGCGGTGCAAACCCGGGGTTTTTTAACCGTCGAGGATTTGGTGCCAATCGTGCGTCGTCTTAACGCGGCTGCACCCGAGGAAGAAGGGCCAGCCCCCCATGGCGATGAGAAGTACGGGGCGTATTCTATGCAAGCACTGCATGAAGCGCTTCGCGCCAAGGGCTATCAGCTGCGGTACCTGAACAGTACCAACACGTTCAACTGCAGTTCGCAAAGGTGGTTCAAGAAGATTCCTAGGTCTAGTTTTAGGCACCTTGTGATCATCGGTAGGCCATTTGGCCAAGAAGAGGGTGCCTGGCACTGCATCGCTCGCGCGGCGGTGGGCGACAAGCACTACTTCATCGACTCGGACGAGCTCGTCTACAAGCCAAGTACCGAAGACGGATTACGCCACTTCTTTGCTAGTCTGGGCTGTGTTTACGCGGTCGAGCCGATTAACTACCAACAATAAAATCCTTCTTTTACACAAAACCGTTGTTTAATCTGTAACCTCTGGGTAATCATAAAATATCCTTTAAGACAGGAACACTCTTATTTTTTACTATTAAAATGGCTACAGTAAAGATTTAGAGTGGTAGCACACCGCCTCGGCTGCAGTGCAAGATGTTGTCAAATGCATGAGCTGATTAAGAGTAGATCGATATTAGGAAGCTCTGTGGCGTTCCAGCAGTTGCGCACGAAAGTCAAACGCGCACTACATGCTGTACGCTATACATTTATCGAAGTGTAATGTGTAGCGGTGCAGAACATTTACTATAGCCCCACGTTAGAAACTATAACTCAACTACTTCCGTGTAAACAGCTCTTGCGTTTCCTTGGGCGCTTGGTCCGTTACGCCAACGACAGCAACGCGAGCACGGTACGCGTCTACTAGAGAGTTGAGCTTGCTTTCCAGGAAAAACTTGCGCAGTTGCTTGAGTACAGCTGATCCACGTTTGCTCTTGACTCCGTGCTCTTCGAAAAATCTGTACACCCCGGCTTCGGCCTCAATTCCGGTACGAACAACTTGATCGGTGTAGTCAGGGGCCGACGGGTCCAGCGCGAAGCCGTTTGGTAAGAAGAGCTTCATGTAGTTCACGGTGTGCTTGTACGCTGATTTTTTCTGCCGATCCGCACACACGTCCCACATACGTGGTGTTTTTGCGTACCACTCAAGCCAAATAGCCGCTGGGCCTTTCGGGAGAGCCTTGCTTCCACACGACTTCGATACAGTAGCGGAATCCTCGCAATGCGATTGTGGTGCCACCACCGGTGCCGGCAAACTTGTGGAGGAGTCACCCTGACTAACGTCGCGCTGACTCTCCAGTTGGGTGACCCGCTCGGTCAAGGCTCGATTCATGGCTATCAGCTCGCCGATGATGCAGTTCTGGTGATTGATCAGCTTTTCTTCTCTTATGAATGCCTCCGCGTCGTCTTGAGATTCCTCCAGATCCTATTGTGCCACCTTCGCCTGTAGTTCAGAGCTCCACGCGAGAACTTGAGCTTTTGGTAAACCCAACGCCATCAGGCATTCGCGCATCCGGGTAGCGTACGGGCACATCGGGCAGCGCTCGAGTACCTCGGGAAAATGCTGGATCAGCGCGGCAGTTAGAACTTCAGTGACGCCTCTTCTCGGGGTCTTGGGTGCAGACGCTTGGCTGGAAAAGAAGATTTCCCAAGCTCAGTGCTGGCGGAGTCGAACCAGGAGAGGGTTGGAACCGGTGGCTTCTTGTTCGAGTCCCACCCGCTGAGAACACGTGCTACTTTCTGGTCTTCAATGGTTGTGTTGAACACGTAAGCGAAAGCCTTGTTGGTAGCCGTCATGTTCCACGAACCACGATCGAAAATCCACTGAGCACTGAGCAGTGGATCACCGTTTGCATGCTGAGCCCCACCACGTCGAAACGAGTGAGACGTCAAGTTTGCAGTTGGCACCGCTTTAGCTTGAGCGGCAGACGCTGTCTTGATAACGCGGTTCACGTAGGCGTGGATCTTCATGTTTTTTTCAGGCAATTTACGCTTTTTCTGAGGCGGCTCACTTGGCGTGTCGTCATTCTCACAGGCAACAAGAGCTTCAGCTAGTGGCACGTCAACAGGGGCTGTCATACTCTCGTCGCCGCTTGCGGCAAGGTGCGGAGGATCCAGCAGCTGTGCGCACGGAGCGTCCTGCATCACCAGGGCCATCGCAATCGCATGCAGGGGGCACGTGATGAAGCTGTTCTTGTCGAGAAAGAGAGAGATGCCCTGCTCGTCTGAAGTCTTCACGCGGATGAGCCGGACGAACACAACGCCATCCGCATTCACAGACAGGTTTCCCTTCACCACGAACCCCAGGTCTGAGGCGCGGCCAAACGCGTACCACATCAGCGCCAGTAACGCGGCATCTTGGTAGTCCTTGGGGCTGGCGGCATCATAGTAGAGTCCGTCCATGAGAATTCGTAGGTCTTCCTTCGTGCAGGCAGGCGCCTTCTTGACCATTCCACCTTCGATGCGCTTCAGACAATGGCGCTCGAGCGTCTGTCCCATCTTGAGTAGTTTCTTCTCGATGGTGGCTCGGTGGGTCGGGTAGGTGTCGAGCAGCCAGTTCTTTACATGGCGGTAGTAGCTCATGACCGAGTTCTTGGCCAGCGGCTTCCCTCCTCGGCCTTCGACGAAGGCGAGGTGAACGCCATAGCGGTCCATGAGCTTCACAAACACAGCCCCACTCTCATCATCTGCGAGAGAGGCAGCGATGAAGTCCATGGAGACGCCTTGGGCCATGACGAAGCGTCCGAAGGCGTTGATTGCGGTTTGTAGAGCGCGCTGGGAGTTGACGGGGGCGAGGTCTTGGAGGCTCATACTGGTTCCGAGTGTTCTGTCGGCAAGAGGGCATGATGAGCAGTAGACTGATGGCTCGTATTGACGCCCTGCATATTTTCGCCCCCGTGCCTTCGGCACGGCGTCGGCATCGTTTTACCCTACACCTAATCAAGCTCATTGGCCGATATTGGGTATATCTAGATGTCATTGGTCAATATACGTGCATTGCGGTCAGTCTACCTATACTTAAATCAAGTAAAAAAAAATGTGTCGGCACCGTCACGATATTTATCCATACGGAAAAGATAGAGCCCATGTTTTTAGTCAGAGCGGGTGAATGAACCCAAATCTATCGGGAGCGTCCAAGCGAAATCGACACCAGCGGCATTTGAGAGGCATGAAGAGCCTGCAAACTTCACCCCAGTGCCATGGCTAGTCATGGTATTCCCTCCTTAACGCTGGGTCGGTCTTCAGAGGGATTAAAGCGCCGGCAAAGCGACTTTTGGCAGCCGAAGATCACCTTAGCCCATAGGAATTGCATAGTGTTTGTAGGCCATGACACCCGTCCCACAAGCTGAACATGTTTGGCCATGTTTCAACATGTTTGACCATGTTTGAGATTTCTTACTTGATTTTAGTATACCCCTTACCCTAAACCGTTTAGAAAACATGGGCTGTATCAACGGCCTTATCCATACTTCGTAACCGAAGCACTACAGTAAAGTGCGTCGATAAGGAACGCCTGATATATAAATCGTTATCCTGGTACAGTAAAGTGCGTCGATAAGGAACGGGCGACATTTTATATTCTTCGACAAGACATGAATCCTCGCTTGTACCCATAAAGTGCCAAATGTACTGAATTAGTTATATGATTCTACCAATCATTTAACATTCCGCCAATCACAGTTCCGAAACCGAGCCTCAAGAGGAATCTAAAGGTCGCGAGAGGGAATCATGAGGATCGCTGTAAGCGCGGGAATCGCGCCAGGTCATGTCTGCGTGCCTCATTAACCAAATTTCGCTCTGCTGCTCACAACTCCCATGGTGACCGCCACTTCCAGACCGTTCCAGACGCGGCCAAGCTTCAGTCGCTGCTAGTCTGTCATCACCGTCGTGATCTACCGGGTGCTACCTGTGCTGAGCTGGCTGCGTGGGCTCAAGGCAAGACTCTGGTCGCGAAGTCCGACATGAACTACATATTGCAGTAAATCAGTGCATTTGCTGTCTGCATGTGACGAGTCAAACCTTTAATTATCAATATACCTTTTTCTTTCTATGCATGTGGTGCCGTCGTGCAAAACTATAATTGATGTGGTGTACACAATTTTCAACTGTAAGCTGCGATTTCCATTCAAAAACCAAAGTTGGAGATGGGTAGGCAGCCTCTGAAGGAGGGCGGCGGTCGCAAGGAGCGGAAGAATGTGCGCACGTCCACGACTTTCGAGACGCGGCTTGCGGTGATCAAGCACTTCGAGGAGAGCGGCGACATGGCGGCCACCGTCGAGCGCTTCTTCCCGGCGCTGAGCGTGCAGGCCAAGCGCAGCAAGAAGCGCGTCGTCTACGGCTGGATTAAGGACCGCGAGAAAATCGAGAAGGCCTGCGACTCGGTGGGCACCGCCAAGGCGCATCGCCTGCGGAAGTCTGGCGTCGGTCTCACGCTTAGCGACGACGCCGAGAAGTGCATCGTGGTGTGGCTGCGCTCGATGCAGAAGATGGGGGTGCCCGTGACGGGCACCATGCTGTCCGAGCACGCGCTGGATGTAGCCAAGGAGCTGGGCATCGACAGCGCGCTCTTCACGGCGTCTGTTACCTGGAGGAAGAGCTTCCTCAAGAGACACAACTTGGTCATGTAGCAATAGATGGAGAATGTATGCGGGGAGCGGCGCTGCCTGCAAGTGCTGCGCTGAGTAGGGCTTGCAAATGGTGTGAACAATGAACTGTGTCAAGCTGTGTCTTATTGAGTCTTAGCGCGCTTGTATTGGATGGTTGGTGTGAGTGAGGGAAGCACTCACCTGTGGCGTGCATGTCGTCGTAGTGACTAGGAGGACATGCTTGCCATTCCGTGTTGAACCCTAGGAGACAACATGGCTACGGAATCAGATATCTGATTCTTTAACTGCCGGGGAGCTCGATACGTCACTCCTGGCCTCGCCGTCATGCTGCCGTCGTACTCCCCCAAAGGCCGCAAGCGCTCGCAGCAGCTGCAGCTCTGGAAGCGCGTGGGGATCGCCGGCGGCCTCTTCATCCTGGCGCTGTTCCTCTGGGTGCAGTACACCATCCTCACCACCAACTTGGGCGGCATCCCGGCGCACGTCGGAGAGCTGCAGGGCGCCACGCAGCAGGACTCGCAGCACCCAGACACTAATGAGCAGGCGCATCTTCGAGGCAATGAGCATCACGCGGGTCCGGCAGCAGCAGTGGGGAAGGAAGGAGGCGACACGGAAGCAGTAAATCACGCTGCGGGCGCAGGTGGAGGCGGTGGCACCATGGAAGAGATGCTGGCGGACGAGGAAGTCGCCGACGTGGTCGATCCCGACATGACTGTTACCGCCGTTCCCTCCGACCAGCAAGAGGCTCGGCGTCTGGCCGTACGCAAGGCCATGAAGTTTGCGTGGGGCAATTACGAGGAGCACGCGTTCGGCGGAGACGAGGTCGACCCAGTAAACGGCTGGAAGCTCAGTAATGTGTGGGGCGACATTGCCTGCTCGCTGGTGGACGGCATCGACACGCTCTGGATCATGGACTTGAAGGATGAGTTCCAGCGTGCCAGAGACTACGTTGCCAACCAGCTTGACTTCTCACATTTAGGACGCGACGGCAACAAGGTCTCGGTCTTTGAAACGATCATCCGCGAAGTGGGCGGTCTCTTGAGCGCCTTCGACTTGTCTGGCGATATCATCTTTAAGCAAAAGGCCAAGGAGCTTATGGACCTTCTTACAGCTGCTTACGACGAGAAGGAGGGTGTGTTTTACACACTGTTGAACCCGTACACCAAGGAGAAAAGCTTCGCTGCGTGGGCTGGCTATCGGTAAGCTTGCTTCCCGAAGTTCTTTGAACTCGTTTCTGGTGACTCACTCCAGATACCGCTATTCGTCACTGCAGGGCTCACATTGCAGACATCGGTACGCTCCAGCTAGAAACACGGTATCTGTCAGACATCACGGGTGACCCGAAATATGCCGAGATGGTGGGAAGAAAGAAGACTCCAGCAAATCAGTTCTTTTTTGTTGGCGGCTAACGTTTGGTGGATGTGACTGTTGCAACACAGGGCGACGCTTTCTATCAGATCTTAAAGCGCGAAGGCTCATACAAGAAGACGGGTTTGTTTCCGGTGCACTTCAATGCTGGTCGCGGGAAGTTCGACGCTGGAGGAAGCGTGATCACACTAGGTGCGCTGGGCGACTCATTTTATGAGTATTTGTTGAAAGTGTACATCTACAGTGGAAAGCGAGAGGAGGACGAGTATCTGCGTCAATTGTACGACGACGCTGTGAGAGGAATGGAAGAGCATCTACTCTACTATTCCATTCCAGACGACCTCTACTTTTTGCAGGAACTTAAGGTGCCATCTTTTTCGGTACGTGGCTCCACGCTATTTGCAAAAAGCGGAGATGCGGTTTCTCACATCGCCTGGTTGGATTCTGTATTGCAGGCTGTTCAGCGCATGGATCATCTCCTATGCTTTGTGCCGGGACTCTTAGCGCTTGGAACGCTATCGGAAACAGAGGATCACGCGAAGAACGCTAAGCACCTTGAGCTGGCCGAGAAGCTCATGGAGACCTGCTACCAGTTCTATCACCGTCAGCCGACGGGCCTATCGCCGGATATTGTGAGCTTCCCGAAGATGCGGGTAATTGACCCCAAGTATCGCCTTCGGCCGGAGACGATCGAGAGCCTATTCTACCTCTATCGCGTTACCAAGAACCCCAAGTATCGCGAGTTCGGCTGGGAAATCTTCGAGGCGCTCGAAGCCCACGCCAAAGTCAAGCACGGCTACGGTGCCATCCTGGACGTCACAAAATTGCCGGCGCAGGCGGAGAACAAGATGGAGAGCTTCTTCCTGGCGGAGACGCTCAAGTACCATTACTTGCTGCAGGCGCCTGAGAGTCTCATTCCGCTCGACAAGTACGTCTTCAACACGGAGGCGCACCCACTGCGCATCCTCAGTCGGGGTTAACTGCGCTCATGGGGGTCGGCAAGTTTGATAAATCGATAAATAAAAGTTGCATGTTGCGTTGCTTAGCTACGTGCAGCAACGTTTTATAGCTGCCGGGATTCATCATGCACATTTCCTCTCCAAATCACTTAAGGCTCGGCTCGCATTTTTTCAGTTTCGTGGCAGACACGGGCAGGCTGAGCAGAGCAAACTGCTGCGCTGACTGGTGCAACAAAGCGAACGGGGCCCGTTTCGACAGGTGAACGTCTCCTCTCAGCGACTCAGCTTCGCGGTCAGGCTGTCGCCAATTTCTCAATATGATAAAGATCGTGCGTCCTTCAGGTGTGAGGGCCTTCCTCGACGCCATCTGCTGCTGCTGTGTCAAGCGCTCGAGTGGATCACGAATTCAAAGACCGGCTCGTCGAGCATCGCTCGATCTGCGCGCCGTGCATGCAGGGCCTCTAGCCTGCCAGGCTGCCTGGAGGTCCCGTCGAGCGACCCGCTGAGCTCCAAGCGGGCTGCAAATATCTAACGTGTGGAGCAATCGAGGAGGGTCTACCAGCAGAGCTCGTGGCGCGGCTATCAGGGGATGTACCATTCTGGTCTCCGATGAATCTGCAAGTTGAAGATTGGTAGACGAGTCTTAGCCGTCGTCGATGCAGAGACGTCCAGTGAAGGCCACCTCGATGACGGCCAAGGTGAGGTCCTCCGCGCCGGATGGTGGTCCAGTTGCAAACCGGCGTAGAGCGGTGTGTGGATTACACGAATCCGAGGTGATGACCGTCCGCGGTGGCAGTGGGACCACACTGTCACGCAAGTCTATGCAACCTTGAAGCGCTTCCGAGCATTTGATTGGTCAGTTAGCTTCAATGTCCAAATGTGTATGCCTTAAAATTATTTCGAGCTGGCCACTGCAACTCTGTCTGCAGGGTGGATATCTACGCGTGTGCTCCTTTGGCCCGAAAATCACCACAACTAGACCTACAATATTGTGGCTCGCAGCATGTGAGGTTATAACATTCGTGTGTAGACTGTTAAATCAGGAGGCCTGTTGGTCGGCGCTCTGTGTTTTGCAGGCGATGGATTGCTGGTATGTGGCGCCGGTGGAAGGGAGGCGAGGCTATACAGTAGCTCCATCCTGAAGTCCTCGCTTGGCGGTACAATTGTGCCTTGTCATCAGTGAACATGTCAGCAGGAAAGCAGATTCGAGGTGGGCGGGTGAAGACTCGGCCTCTTTAATGTTAACACTTTTTAATTTGCAGAGATGTCCCGCGATGGTCAACTCAATGGCGGTTTTCAAAAGAGACGTTGACATTCAGAAAAAAAGGAGCAAATGGTCTCTGGGTTGGTCCGTGTAAGAGCATTTTGTTTTGTTTACGCAAAGGCATTCTCGCTACATATTCGAGCTCACGAAGTTTTTTTTAAGAATCCTTACTCCTGTCCGGTTTTAGGCAGGTACCCGTATCCAGTCGAAAAACAGTACGTACAATTTCGGTGTTGCCCCTGACTCAGCTCTCAGAGCGAGTTGCCGTCAGCGTCAATGGCTCAACGCGTTTTCGTCAAAGACCAACAACCCCTCGCGGATCAGCGACTCGCTGCTCTGACTCTTGGTGTGTGGGTGTACCTGTAGGCGGTAATGCCAACACCGCCGGCACTTGTCGAGCGTGGCGCAACTCGCTCAACACACGCCCCGACCGGTTGGGCGCCGCCTTCAGCCACAACTCAACCCGGCTGGCGCAGCCAACGACGACGGGGCCACTCTCCTCACCGCCGGTCATCCCGGACGTTGACGTGTACGCCAGGGCAAGAAGAACAACAGCGTCTCGGTGCGTTGACGCCGGCGCTGGCAGAGACCAAGGCACGGTCTCAGCGAGGCCCAGGCTTGGTCTCCGTTCGCCCGCTCGACGGCAGCCATCGCCTCCCGACAGCCAAGCCTGCGATGCTGCCGCTGTCGCCACGCCCACAGCAGCCGCGGTGGCAGGCGGCCCAATGTTTCGCGCAAATGTTTGCGGGCGACACTGCCAGCGCACTTGGCGGCCCGCCAAGCGCGCTCCGTCTTCGTGCAGCCCGATCCGACTTCATTTCAGCGCGCGAACTGAACCGACACAAACTTCGCACAGCTATGAACGCGGACTAAGAATTCGAAGTGCCCGTGTCCGGGTCTAAGTGACTCACTGACAAAAACAGAGAAGGTTAAACGGGGCGTCTATTCTCGGACAGAGGCTCGCGGCTCATCTGCGAGTTTCACACAAACTTTTTTTCGCCTGTCGAGGGAGCGCGCTGCCTAAGAGGTCACCATGGCCCCATGGCCACCACCACGCGCCGGAGCTGCCCCGCGGGGACGGCCCACAATCGTATTTGAGGCGAGAGCGCGAAACGCCCGTGCCCTGAACGCGCGCGCTGGACGCCTCCGCAGACAAGACGAGCATGAAGTCGCAGCTGGCGCCGGCCGAGCCGGCCATGTCGGAGCAGGACTCCGAGCTGCTGCGCGAGTTGGCCGAGACGCTGGCGGTGCACAACATCCAGCAGTACAACACGCTGCTCAAGACCAAGGAGGGCTTCGCGGACAGCCGCTGCTGGAAGGAGCTGCGCCGTAAGGACGGCGTACGCATCTACCGCGAGCGCGCCAAGCACAACGGCATCCCCACCACGCCCTCGCTGCTGCTGCTGGGCACGGTGGAGGGCACGCTGGACGACGTCATGTACAGCGCCGTGGCTGCCACGGAGGAGGAAATCCGCATCAAGTCCAAGTGCATCCAGGATGGCATCGTCGACTGCAAGGTGCTGCACGAGCTCGTGGCGCCCACGCTGGACGACCCGTTCCACCACGTGAGCGTCAAGTGGCGCCTCTACAACAACCAGCGCGACTACGTGTCGCTCGACACCTCTGGCATCGCGCACACGGTCAAGCGTGAACGTATCGGCTACAACATCTCGCACTCCGTGGCCTTCGCGCAGATCCCCGGCATGCAGGAGACGCACGGCATCGAGCGCGGCAACATGTCCGTGTGCTCGCTGTACCTCCAGAAGACCCCGACGACGGTCGAGTGCTACGTGCGCGGCTTTTTCGACTTCAACACGCAGAACGAAATGGTCAACACCATGTCCCTGCAGGCCATCGCGGCCCAGTGGGCCTGCTTTGCTCGGAAGCGCAAGTGCGCTCTCATGAAGAAGCTCGTGTGGCGCATGCGCAAGCGCTCGGGCTGCACGACGTCGCTGTCCCTTCCGGATGAGCGACCATGGGTCATGCAGACGCCTCCGGCGCGTACTCGATCTCGGTGTGCAGTGTGCTCTGGGAGCTTCGGCTTCCTCGGCACGAGTCACAAGACGTGCAAGTGCTGTTCACGCCAAGTGTGCACGCGGTGTTCTACCAAACAGCTCGTGTGCATTATGGCTCCAGACCACCGCACTGTGCTGGAGAAGAAACGGAGCTTCTGCTCGACGTGCCTCTCAGACGCAGCCAACTGCGACGCCCTGGAAGTGGCGCGAGAGGAGCTCGCGAGCTCGAAGGCATATCGCGATGCTTGCGTAGCAAAGGCCCAGGAGATGGCGCGGGCATCCATGCAATGCGCGGTATCGCGCAGCAGCCGAAGTGCAGTCTCGTGGAGTAGCCGGATCAACAGTCGACGACAAATTGCTCGGAGCTCCATGGTTTGAGAACTTGAAGTAACCTATCTAGCGCGTGTGTACCTCCAACGTGATGTTATGCAAACAAATTACTAGGAAACCGAAAATATATGAGTGAATTTAGTTGCACGAATTGCGGTTCAACTTCAGGTTACTTCAATTACACTTTAAAAGGAAAAGTCAGTTTGCCGACACGAGTCTGCACTCAGGCTCGAAATGCTACTAGATCGCTGGCGCAGACATCCAAAATGTGTTTGCTGTCTCGGCACTGCTCCAAGACAACCTGCCGGTGGAATTCCAACTGGAGGCGTCTTGTTCGTGGTGTTCTGCTAGCAATTCCTCTCGAGCAATCGTCAGCGCGCTGGCGTTATGCGCCTCACTGATGCAGTCCGAGCAAAATGTACGCTTATTCTCGAGTGTCGTGAAATGGTCGGGTGCTACGGCACACACGCGTTTCTTCGTGTAGCATTTCGAGCAAATTTGGCGATTACAACCCTTGCAAGTCGCTGATCTCTTCCGGCATACACTGCATCGAGCCGCGATAAGGACCCTTGCAGCTAAATGAGACGATCTCGTGGAAAGGGGCCCGGAAGTCACTCAGGTCGTCAGCGAAAGAGTACGTTCTCGACGAGGCGGGACTCCACCCGTAGCTCTTGCGCATTTTCCACGCGAGCTTTTTCACGAGCGCACACTCGCTTTTACGCGAGAAGGCGGCCCACTGCGAGGCAATCGCCTGCAGTGTCAAGTTGCCCAGCATTTCGTTCTGCGTACGAAATTCAAAGAAGCCGCGCACATAGCACTCAATGGTGGTTGGCGTCTTCTGTCGGTAGAGCAAGCAAACGGACATATTGAGGCGCTCGATGCCATGGGCGGCCTCGAAGCTCGGGAGCTCCGAAAATGCAACCGAGTGCGAGATGCTGTAGCCGACACGCTCGCGCTTGGCCGTCTCAATGATCCCGGTGGCATCGAGCGACACATGGTCGCACTTGGCGTCGAAGAGTCTCCACTTGACACCGATGTGGCGGAACGGGTCCTCGAACGTTGGCAGCAGGATCTCGCAGAGCACTTTGCTGTCTTGGACACCGTCTTGTGTGCACGCGGACTTGATCTTCATGGCCTCGTCGGTGGGGGCCACTACGCCGTACATGATGTCTTCGAGCTGGCCCTCGATGGTGCCGAGCAAAAGCAGCTGAGGTGTGGTCGGCCCCTGCCTCGTGGCCACTACCCGCTCCTTGTAGACACGCACTCCATCTCGTCGCCGGACCTCGCGCCACCTCGTCGGGTCCGTGATACCGTCCTTGGTCACGAGCAGCGTGGTATACTGCTCGATGTTGTGCGCCGTCAGCGTCTCCGCGAGGGTTGTGCAGCATCGTGGCGTGGCACGTAGTCAGCTCGAGCGCCGTGCGTGGGTGAGCACTGCGAGGTGAGTGTGGTGGTCAGCGCAGAGGGAAATGGCCCGCCATGGTGAGTTGGCACCGACGTCCGTTTGCCGCCCATGCTTCATACCGCGGTCTCCATGGCGGTGTAGCTTTGGTTGTGGATACTCAGTGATGACATTTTTTCGGGGCGCCCTAGTTGCACCACGATTCCAGAGCGTTGTTAACCAGCCGTGGCGGGAAACTCTTGAACAGAGTACTCTTGGTCGAGGGATATCGTTCCGAGTATCGAGATCACTGTTGCCGGGTGGATTGTAAGGCGCTTATGGATTTTTCCTCTTTTGATCTTGCAGATTTACTTGTCGGCCAGCTCCTCGCGTCATGCTACCGACGCGCAACATATTCAGCCGCTATACTAGTTTCGATGTCCCGAAGATGGCGAGGTGCTATGCGGATTCAGCCCAGCTTCGGTGGGGCTGACGAGTCCACGCGTGCCCCCACTGGACAGCTTGCCATCTCGACGCCCCTCATCAGCTGCGTCACCGACCGCAGCGTCCGATGTTGTTCCGCCCTCGTCTTCCGCTCCGAACATCGGATAAGAAGAGTCCGTGCAGAGCAGTGAACTCGCTACGTTTACGGTGGTGGTTGACCATGTTTGCGAGCGCTCCGGCGACAAACACGCTCAAAAGCACGGGCGAGGCGACTATTCTTCTTGCCTACTGACTCTTCTTTGATAAGGGAAGGCACGCCGGTGAGATTCAGCTGAGGCACTGGCCTCGAGCCTATAATTTGTTCTCAGAAATGACTTCGTTTGCACGAACTCTGAAGTTGAGCGCAACGCGTTCGACAGTCTTGGTGAAGTGGGTGCTCACAGTCACTTTGGAGCCCCGCAGCACACTATGCGGCTCGTTCACTTGCTACCAGAGCCCACCATCTCCAGGCAGGACTGCGTCATGCTGCAGAACCTGGCCGACACACTCGCTGGACACAACATCACGCAGTATAACACCCTTGTGGTGACTAAGGACGGCCGCGCCGACCCTCAGCGGTGGCGCGAAGTCCGTCGACGAGGCAGCGTGCGCATCTACAACGAGCGCATTGTGTCATCGACGCATTGCCCCGCGACACCGCAGCTCCTGCTGCTCGGCACCATCGACGGCAAACTCGAGGACATCATGTACGGAGCGGTGGCCACTACCGATGAAGCCATGAAGATTCAGTCAGCTTGCACCAAGGACAGCGTGCGGGACAGCAAGGTGCTTTTCGAGATCGTCCCCCCTAGCTTTGACGACCCGTTTCGCACGGTAGCCGTGAAGTGGCGACTGTACGAGGGGCGCGACTACGTGTCCTTGGACGCCACAGGGATCGTGGGTGTTCGCGGACGTGAGCGGATCGGATACAGCATTTCGCATTCGGTGATTCTGTCGGAGATCCCGAGCTTTGAGAACTCCCACAGTATCGAGCGCGGCAACATGTCTGTGTGCGCGCTGTACCGCCAGAAAACGCCGACGACGGTAGAATGCTACGTGCGCGGTTTTTTCGACTTTAAGACGAAGAACGAAGTGCTCAAGAACATGTCGCTTCAGGTTATTGCCACCCAGTGGTCGGCTTACGCGCGGAAAAGTACGTGTGCTCTCGCTAAAAAGCTGTCTTGGAAGGTGCGCAAGAACTGCGGCTGGAGCTCTCGGTCCTCTCGAATATACTCGTTCGCGGACGACCTGGACGACTTTGTAACCCCTACGCGACGGCATCGTTCTCAAAGCTCCCGCGAGTCCACTAGATGCTCAGTCTGCCAGAAAAGCTCGAGTTTTCTTATGTCGATTCGGCGAACCTGCACGAGTTGCGAGCTGCCGGTGTGCTCCAAATGCGCTGTCAAGAAGAAGGTCGTCGCGCTCGCACCCGACCAATACACAGTGCTGGAACGGAAGCGCTCGTTTTGTGTTTCGTGCATGGATGCAGTCGAGAGCTGCGACGTCGTTTCCATTGCGAGGGAGGAACTCGTGGGTCACCAGGAAGAGGAGGAGGACGACGATGACGACGCCACCTACTGGGCTCGCCTGTCGTCCATGACCGTCAACTCCAGCTGCTACTCAAGTGTCGTGTCTCGACAAAGCAGCCTCGCCAGTCTCGGCAGCTTCGACCGCCACAGTATCATCGGCCGAGGGCACGAGTAAGGTCGACTTTTTGGCGTTTCGGTGCTATGTTCGAAGCAGAAGTACATGGCAGCATACAAAAAGATCGCATGGTTAGATGAAAGCCGCGCGAATATATTAAAGCTCGCAGCGCCGTCGGAAGCACTGCAACTTGAATGGCCCAACGAATAAAGAGACCGTGCCAAAAATTCCACATACCCTTCAACTTAGTCGCTCATTTTTGTACATACGCATAAACTTAGTCATTTATCCCGTGTGCCCAAATCTAAATGAGCGACGCGACGCCCCCGCTGCCCCCCGCGAGTCGGCGGGCGAGCACCAGCTCCGTGAGCTCCGCGGCCGCGGCGCAATGGTCGCACGTGGGCCACCACCGCACCAGCATCCCCCCGGAGGCCACATTCGACGCGCAGGACGCGCAGATCAAGCAGGAGCTGCTGGCGCTCATCACGCAGTACCTGCAGCAGGAGGGCTTCGCCATGTCCAGCGCCACGATCCAGGACGAGGCCAACGTCAAGCGCCACGGACGCCTGCAGGAGCGCGACGCGCTTCGTCGCCTGGGCGCCGCCATCATGGACGGGGACTGGGACCTGGTGGCCAAGCTGCTGGGCAAACACCTCAAGAAGTTCCACGCCGCGCACCAGGGCTTCCTGTACGCCGTGTGCAAGCAGGAGTACCTGGAGCTCATTGACCGACAGGAATATCAGAAGGCCTTCACCTTCCTCACCACGCACCTCAAGCCGCTGGAGAAGGTGGCGGTGGCCACGAGCTCCAGTCGTCACGAGTTCAAGGAGCTGTGCTACCTGCTCACGTGCAAAGCCGTCGGGGAGTCCGACGCCTTCCGTGACTGGGAGGGCGTCGTGAGGTCCAGAGAGAAACTCGTGGAGCAGCTCCGAGCCACTTTCGCTCTGGAGGAGGTGATCTCGCCTCAGCAGGACGGAGGAGACGCGGCCATGGCGACGCCCCCCGTGGCCATGCCGGACAACCGACTCGTGCAGTTGCTGCACCAGAGTGTGGCCTACCAGATGGAGTTCAGTCGGTACCACCCCAAGACGATCCCCAAGGTCACGACGCTGCTGAGAGACTTTGAGTGCGAAGTTCTGCCTAATGCCGTCAAGAGCACATACGTCGGACACTCGCAGAATGTAAAATTCGTCACCTTTGTGGGCACCGACGGCGAACTGCTGGCTTCAGGGTCCAGTGACGCTACAATTAAGCTTTGGCCTACCGAGCTGCCGGCGACACAGCAGGAAAGTGGTGAAGAGGAGACGGACGAGTCCACGGGCGCGGTTTGCCGCCAGTGGACAAGGGACTTGCTCGGCCACTCGTCCAGAATTTGGTATCTTGCAGCAAGTTCGTCAGGTGAACGTCTTTATTCAGGCTCGGGCGATGGTACTGTGAAGGTTTGGGACTTGCGTGCAGCTTTGGAGGAACGCGCAGCGGCTCAACAGGCTCAGAGTGATGACGACGACCTTCTAAATGGCCAGCGTGGGGCCAATGTGATGCAGTCTGCGGTCGAAGCCGCTGCCGCAGCTACATCAGGTGCCACTGCAGCGATTGCTGCCGCCACTCACAACTACTCGGTGACGTCTGCAGAGTGTTTGGCTACGCTTATGAGTCCAAACGGCGGTGACGTGTACACTGTGAACCTGCACCCGAGTGAGACGCACTTGGTGACTGGAGGCTACGACCAGAGCGTTCGTTTATGGGACATTGCCACTGGTGCGGTGGCGAAGACGTTCCGCGGCCACTTCGCTTCCGTGTGCGATGTCCAGTTTAACCGACACGCCAACTTCATCGTTAGCGGGTCAAAGGACGGCTCCATCCGGTTGTGGGACATCCTCAGTGGACTGTGTGTTCACACATTGCGCCAAACGCTTGGAGAGGTCACGTCCATTTCGATGGCATCTAATGGCTACACGCTGCTGAGTGGTTCGCGGAACAACAGTAATCGTCTGTGGGACCTGCGGATGCTTCATACTCCACGTACTCACTTGTCGACGGGGCTAAGCAGCGGTGCATCAAGCAGTGGGTCCAACGGGTCGCTCAGTAGTTACGTCGGAGGCAACGCAGTATTCTCCAATGGCGTCGGCTCGGGTTATTCTTCAGCCAACGGCGTTGGAATTTCGGGTGGAGCTGGCTACGGTGGCAGCAGCAGCAACCTGAGTGCAATCGGAAGCAGCGGTGGCAGTAGCAGTACCTTTTCGGGTAGCCGACACGCAGAGCAACGGCCGCTACAGCGCTTCAAGGGTCACCAAAACACCGCCAAAAACATCGTGCGGGCATCGTTTGGTCCGAGGGAAAGCTTCGTGTTGGGCGGCTCCGAAGACGGCTATGTGTACGTGTGGGAGGTGGCAACAGGCAAGTTGCTGGAGAGGCTCGCGGGCCACCGCGGCGTCACTTACAATGCCCGTTGGCACGAAAAGCAGGCACTTCTTGCTTCGAGCTCTCACGATGGCACAGTGAAAACCTGGTGGTGGCAAGACAAGACTATCCAAGTGTGAGCGAGGGAGTTGTTTTATCACGCGAGTTGATCTTCGAGCTCGACTCAGGCAGGCTATACCACGAAGTATAATCTATGATGTTCTCTATTGTTTATTACTGCCCGATGGCATCATTCAAACCTGTGCGTTCAAGGAACCTTTTCCACACGACTGGGAAGAGGTCAGCGACGTCTCTAGCAACTTGTTTGCACTTCTCCTCCTGCTCCTTGCCATCTGCAACTCCACGGAACAGCTCCTCTTCGAACAAGTACTCGAGGAATTGCTCGCCCAGCGCCTCGTAAGCGCTTGAGACCTCGTCCGAGATGCGCAGGAACGCTGGGATGGCTCGGAAGCGCTTTTTCACGGAGTCTTTAGCTAGCTTCAGCGCCTCCTTCGGCAGCAGCGGCTTGGCCCTGCCCTTCGGAGGTTTCTTCGAGTTGAGGTTACGACAGAATGATTTGGCCTTCTCTCGGATCGCACGCAGACACACGTACCAAATGCTCTTGTGCTTCTGCATCCCGATTACAGCGGCGTCTTCGTCCAAGAACAAGTGAACTCCGCCTTCATGTTGATAGGCACGCTTGCTGCGCTCAAGCGCGGCCTCGAAGGCGTCCACGTTGAACTCAACGACATCGTAGGTGACGGTGCGCACTCCGAGAGCTCGCATGAACTCGTATAGTAGCACGGGGTTCACGCAGATCTCGGCACCATCGAATGAGTTGTATGACATAAGCGACAGCCCATAGAACACTGGCGTGTCTTCCGACAGGTAGTCCAGTAGCTGCACGTGTTGGTGGCTCGGACACAGCACCTCGAAAGACGCAGTGGTTCGTGTCTGCCACAAGAATTCACACAGTAGCGTCCGCTTGGCTGGCTCGAGTGCAAACAGCATGCGCAGAATCGCCGTAGCAATGGGAGCTGCAGCAAGGAACGGGTCGCCTCCTTCCACTCTGTGGATTTCTCTCACGCGCTCAATGTCCTCGAGAGTCCGCGCCATCAGGTGCGTATTCTTCGACCCAAGCACGTAGACGAATTCGCCGTCGCTCCGCTTCAGCACCGACAAGTGGCCGGCCTCGCCGTTCTCCTTGGTAGTCGAGATCACCCACTTGCTCTGGGCTTGCGGCTTGATGAAGAACTTGGAGAGCTCGTCCTCCTCATGCCCCGACTGTTTCTTGAGCTCCCCGTCGTCCTCTTGGCCCGTGAACTTCCGGTACCCGCGAATGAGTGGGAAGAAGTAGGCCGCGCCTCCAGTCGGCCACTCTGCGATGCAGTTGCCCCGTGGCAGCCACTCTCTAGCGTATCGGGACTTGAGGTAGACAGTGTCGTCGGGCCTGCCGGGCCTCCCCACCTTGATGTCGTGCACGACCTGCAGCCCGGGCAGCAGCTCCGGCAGCACGCGACGCTGCTGAACTCTCACGTCCTTATCGTCGTTTGCCTTGGCCACGTGCTCCTTCCACTGCGACGATTCTCTTTCCACCGCCTGCTCGAAGGTTTCAGCGCCGGCGTGCTGCCTGCGCACGAAGGTCTCGAGCTGGTGGCGCCCTTTGCGCATGTGCACGAGGGTGTTGCCGTCTTTGCCGCGCTCCAGAGAGTCCAGGAAGGCGCGCAATTTGTCCGACAGTTGAGGCGAAGGAGCCGCGAAGGCAGACCGAGACGCAGACTTGGTGGCCATGACGCTGCTGGTGCAGGAGACGATGTGCGCGGACGTCGGAAGATCGGCAAGTGCGAGATTGAGCGGCAACTTTCTGGAAGTTCATGCACCATCACTCGCCAAAAAGGCACTATATCGGGAACAGACGTCACTATATTGAGGTAAAGTTGAAGTTTTACTCATGGTCTCAGAATTGAAGGGCGTGGCTTTACATTACCATTGTTAACTGTGCGAATGGAGACACTAGATCTATGTAGGTAGGTTGTTGCTGCGTTATCCTAGCAGCCAGTGCCGCCCACGATGCGCAGGCACGAGGTGGACGGGTAGATGGACATGATGTTGACCATGGTGGACCACACGAGGGCGAAGGCGCAGTAGGCCAGCGTCGCGAAGCCCAGGATGCGGCTCGAGCCTCCGTTGCGCTTGAGCTCGTTGGTCTCGGCCTTCTGCTTGGGCAGCAGCGGCAGGAAGAGTAGGCCGATCAGGTTCATGGCGTAGCGGATGATCAGGATGTACGTCACCTCCCAGCGCACGTGGTTGGTGTCGCTCGCGATGTCCTTGTTGGCCACGTCGAAGGCGCCGTCGACGTTCTTGGTGATGGTGCTGGCGAACGGGATGGCGAGGTTGGAGACCGACCCGACGAGGCCGTACACCGCGCCCTCGTTGCCCTCACCCGCCAGCTCCACCACCACGTACGTACCGATGACGAACGCCATGCCGCTCGGGAGGTTCTCCACGACGGGGACGCCCAGCCAGAACCACTGGTTGCGAATGACGTCCCAGGTCGTGAGGAACGTCACAATGGCGTCCAGCACCGTCACCGCGATAATCATCGTGGCGTGCATCCATCGCCAGTTCCACTGGAGGCCGTACTTGCCCGTGAAGTAGAGCGTGAGCGCGAAGATGCCGTTGCCGATAATGGCCAGGATCTTCTCGTTCAGCGGGGTCACACCGGCCCAGTAGGCCTGCATGGCCGAAGACGACGTGATGGTGAAGTTCTCGAAGATGCCCGAGAAGAACTTGTACGCGATGACCTGGTACATAGGGCGCGTCTGCACGAGCCCCCAGAGCTCGCTCAGGTACTTGCTGAAGACCATGCCTTCGTGCTTCTCCTCCTTGATGAAATACCACGTGAGGGGCATCACAGGCAGACACAGGACGGTCAGGATGATCATGAGCTGCGGGAAGCTCAGCGAGAAGTTAAAGTCCCCACCGTAGTGGGTGCCGTTGAAGGCGAAACCCGTGAGGATGCTGGAGATGGTCACGAACACCGTGCGGACCATGTAGATCGTCGTCTGCGTGTAGCCGCGCGTGGCCTCAGGCTCGCGCTGAGCGACTTCGACCATCATAGCGTCAGCCGCTACATCGGCACCGACGTAACCGATGGCCGCCAGCATCATGAGCACGATGAACTTGCTGCCCGTGGAGGGGGCGTCCGTGTTGAAGGTGGCGACGATCTCGGGGGACAGCGTCGTGACGTTCATCGAGGCGTAGGCGTACTCCGGGTAGTACGGGTCTCCGGCCTTCATGCAGGCCATGACCAGCAGCATGATGAAGCAGAGCGTCCAGCCGATGATCATGAAGGGGCGACGACGGTAGCCGAAGATGGGGACGCAGTCCGTGATCATTCCGTAGAAGAGCTTGAACGACCACGGCAGGTTGAGCAGCACCGTGGCGGACACCACCTGCGTGCTCTCCATGTTGAGGTAGTTGAACAGGAACGGGTACACGGTGCCGGGCAGCGTGCCGTAGATCATGCCGACAGCCGCGTACTGCACGATGATGCCGATGTACTCGCGGCTCCAGACGTTGATGGCACCACCGGCGCGCAGGGCGCCGCCCTCGATGTCCTCACCGTCGGGGGTCTTCATGGAATGGAAGCCCTTCGGGGGCAGTCCAGCGGCGACAGGCGAGACCATGTCCAGTTTGTTTGCAGGGCTCGCCATGGTATATTTGTCGACGTCTCTCGAGGAGGACCGATTGAGAAGTGAGCCGAGGGGGTGCTTCGCCCCGAACCGCAACACCGAGGGCTGCCAACGTGATGCTGCGCATCTACGACAGCCACCCAGCCGGTCTGTGGGCCACCCGAAGGTTGTTCAATTGGTCCCGCTCCACGCCGCTTTGCCTAGCTTGTACTGTATCGTTTGGCACCATGGAGCGAGCGAGCCTAGTCTGGCGAGGGATGTTTTCTTGGGTGTTACAGTACGGCACCCGCCACTTGGCATCTGTATCGACTCATTCGTTCACTATCGAATGCGCGACGACGCGAAAGCTTGACCGTCGGGAGTCCGGGTCGCCAGTGTACCACCGACTTTGGACCATAAACAACCTTCTTTGGGACAATGGCAACCTAGAAAAGACGAGAACCAAAAGAGCTGGAAAGTGATCGTCAACAACCACTTTTTCGATCACTGGCAACCTGTCCTTTCTACTGCCCTTTCTCCAGGTTCCTGCGCTAAGCCGGGCGCCTGCGAATGGCCGCTACACACACTCCATGTACATGTACTTGAGCTCAGTATAGCTTTCCCTGGTTCAAATTCAAAATAACTCGCGCGCGTTAAAATGGTCCAGATGCTTCAGAATAACCCGCGCGAGTTAATTTGAATTAAATTACTCGCGAGACATCATAAAGTGAGTTGTATTAATACATGTAGAATAGACTCCGGTTGCGCATGCGTATAGGCAGCTATTAGGAGTTGTTATAATGTGGCGTCATGCGAGGTACGGAGCTGATATGAGGCCAATTATACTGTTTTAAATTGAAATGGTACGTACTAGAGTATACTGTACTGTGAGTTTAGTAAAGGGTAATTATACGTGAGCATTTCGGAGTTCAACCCAAGCACGGTTGCCACAAAGCAATCCGTGTGAACAAATGCATACATTTAGTTTGTCTTAGGATGCCAGGCACCGCAATGTATCACAACATACCCAGATTGTCCCTTACATGTGAGTATATGCCGATTGAGTGAGTAAAACATTTTAGTAAGGTTCGCACCAGTTCCTGCCTCTAAGCCACCGGATAGCCGTTTCCCTCTGTTATCAGAGATGGTAGTGGTTGTGTATGGTTACGACGCATTGTTTGATTTTATCTGTGTGGAGCATTTATACAGAACTTGCAGCTCTACTCAGAGATTCGATAATATATAGAGAGTAGCTCGGAAGGTATCACGTATTCTAGCGCCTCGTGCTGAACCACCTAAGCGTCCGTTAAACTACTCAGCTAGCGTGGATACCTTGCATGCTAAAGTATGTAATGGGTCTTCTGGCATATTTCAAGTGGCAACGTATAGCCCACAAAAATACTCAGGGAAATTATCAGGCTTAAGAATTTCAGCGAGCCAACCAGCATACTTAAGTATTTTGTTTTGGAAATAAGGTATATAGAGTTCACTTACACTAGTAACGAGTATCCATAGCCATAACGCTCACTGCCTTGATGTTAGTGACAATCAGCACACTGGTCCGCATTGGGGTTTCAAACCACGAACCATTTCGCACTGCATACTTTTAAATAAAGGAGTTAGACCTCAACCAACCTCTCTATAACTACTATTCCTAGGCGCGTTGAGGTGCAACTACAACTCTGAATTTGGAGCAATATGTATTTGTGCACTACGATGCGAAAATTCGCTGGGAATTGTAGCTATATAGTGACCGACGGGTAAATATTAAAGGCGCACACCCTTGCTGTGAGTGGCATTTGAGCTAACTATAAGTCGTGTGACTTTCCAGTCAAAAACGCTTGCTCTAGTAGTATTTCAATACGAGCTTTCCACAATAACTTCACTAAAACAGACTTATTAGCCTCCTCATGAACGTTATTGCTCGTTGGGCAGTTACATCGTAGCCGACGTTATAGATCAAATTTGGAATTTGAATTTGTTGGGCGTTAGACGGCTATCTACCACTACCATTACGATGCACTGGTGTAGCCTCACCAACAGTCCACATGCCTCGAGGACGCGAGTCTGCGGTAGTGGTCCACGAAATTATAGTCCACAATCTAACTCGCTAAGAACGATGTCTGTTGGTTCATTGCTATTTACTTGTGCAGTTAGTTGACTATACTCTCTGTACACTCGATGTCCCTCGTTCTTATTCGAATCCAACACTCTCTGGGGTAATGAGCATTGTTGGTACCATTCTTGCAAGTTTATACAGGATTGAATGTTAACGGTATTTCACCCAGTCACACAGCTTCGTTGAAATATCTAAGCCCATTTTCTCACTTCACCAACCTGATCGTTTAGCAACTTTCGAGCTTGACGCATGTAGCTGTTATGAATCAAACTAACTCAAGCAGTTTTGAATCCACTGCTCATATTAACTCGCGCGAGTTGTTTTGAATCCACTACTTCATATTAACTCGCGCGAATTATTTTGAATCCACTACTTCATATTAACTCGCGCGAGTTATTTTGAAGTAGACATTAATCATTCTTAGAGGTCAATAGGCATGTCGGCACGTGGTTGGCACCGTCCTGTTCGCGGCTCAGCTCGCCGCCACCTGTAGACAATGCCTGCGTCCTTTTGGGATACAGCATTGGTTTTGGTGTTGGTGGACCGTGACACGAACTTGCGATATGCGGTGTAATACACCGCACAGAAAAGCAACCACTTTTAAGTACAGAACCGAGTAGTACAGGATTGGTTCTGTACACAAAAGTGGTTGCTGATGCCCGTTTGGTGTGGTTGCTGTTGTACAAATCGCAGGTTGTTATCGTCCTTTACTCGACCGTCGGGACCGCACGCCTGGCACCACGGCTACGATGGTGAGACGCAATCGACTCGCTGCACTCCGCGGTACCTTCGCCTTGATTGAAGCTGCAGCGGAGAAATAGGCGACTCGCTGGTACCGCCGGCAGGTAACCTGCATTTGGCCGCAATAGGCGTCGTGCGTCAATGACCACCGATTCATGACCCAACACCAGAGCGGCAGTACAGCTACTGCGCGACATTTCACACCGCCGGACACACGAGCGAGTCCTTGGGGTTTGCATGATGTACAATCGTTTGTTGGTGCGCCAGATTTCATGTTCCACAAGTGGAGGTTTATAAAGGTTGACTTTCAGTTCAATCGACTGGGACGCCAACTTGACTCGTGTAGACGATCAAGTCACGGGAATGCCAAAATCCAGGGCCCCTCTCCATTTTTCGTAACTTCGTCGACGTAAGTATATTTGTAGCGCATCTCAGATACGTGTACTGTACGGTAGCTCATTTGCTGCGCTGATGCAGTTTTACCTCGGCAGCAGTAGGCTGACGCCATTGACGAATCAACCGAATGGTTACTACTGGCACTGTAGTACTTATGTAGTCCCTGCAGCTCCGTCTTCGAGTTGAACAGCAACGATGGAACAATTGCAAGTCCCAGCTTCCAGACGAGAGGACAGGAGTGTTGCTGGAATCCCCACCACTACCGTAGGTGATCACTGTGCCACCGCTTCGAAAAGAGGTGGAACGAAGTCAAAATGGGTCGCCAGGGGAACCTACTGCATCGAATGACTCGAGAGTTTCCACTTCTTCTGCGAAGTCACGCCCCGGACCCGCGTCATCTTGGTCTGCAATCGTCTTACTATCGAGTGCATGACAAGTATTTTTCTCGAATCAACCTACGTAAGCCTCGCAACCGAGACCTACGTATTTACTTTGAATAAACGGACAGTTTCCATGACGGCAGCACGGAGTTATATTACCTCCTCTGGGAGAATGTGATCAGCTCCCCGGTTTCGTTCACTTCCCACATCTCGGGCATGTAACACCTACTTGGCCGAACTTATTTATTACTTCGAAGTACAAGTATTTTGGAAGATTTTTAAACAGGTCTTTTGCAGGTCTGGTCTTTTTTGGTCTGGAGGACCAAAACAGGACCGAAATAAAATCAGCCTCCAAATGGGACCTAAAAAAGACCCTACAGAAAACAGGGTTTTAGAAAACTCTACAATTAAATATTCAAATGGAAAATAAATGTATTTTGTATTAAAGGGGATATTGCAAATGAAAGACCATACTGGACAAAAACTTCAACCCTGCTGTCAGGTTAACTGTCAGTCATGCTAATCCGGCTTGTACTCTAGCTGCCCGGGCCGTCCGACTTGATGAACACCCCTCCCCCCGCGAGTTAATAACTCAGCCAAACGATAGAGTACACACTCGGTGGATCCGTCAGCACCAATAGTCTCTCCATGGTACCAACACTGTCATACAGGCGACTCACGAGGTCGCAACGCAATCACCATGGGCCCAACCAGCGCACCCAACGCAAGCAAAGCGTCCAAACGGTGCCAACTCTCGGACCAGCAAGCTTCACAGGATATCATTCAGTCTAATCACCGAACGTCAGCGAGCCAACAGCAACCAAAGCATATGAGAAGAAGTCCACGCCGATCTTCGGTCCACCAGCTACCGCTATATGCACTAAGGCTAGACCAATTGTAATTTTCCTTAAATTGCGGTCTTAGGGACAATCGAGAAGTTCATTTTGCGTAGGAGCCGAGGCTTGAAGTACTCGTGCGAAGCAGTACTGTGAGATACTAGCCCCGTAGGATGTGGAGGGCGAGCTGCGAGCTAGCGCCCTGCTGGATGTCCATCACTGGATCACTATCTAGCTTCCTGCAGAGGCAAAGTACAAGCAAGTACTTCAAGTACGAAGTACCAAGGATCAGCGGTACATGCATACAAGAATACATGGACGAAGATAGCAGTAGGTTCAGGCACGAGGACGTCTGAGCAACCCAGTTCGTTAAAGCTCATTAAGAAAGTCTAGCAATAGCATCAGTCCGAGCAGCGTCGACGATCCAGGGATCGACACCAGCAAGACGCTCGCTCGCAAATTCAGACATTTGGGTTTCATATTATAATCTCCAGCTCTACTTCAATAGCGGCTGCCCTCTATAATCTATCACGATATTTTATATCAGGGTGAAGGGGGTCCAAAAATTGCTTGTTTCGTAGTGATATCGTTTGGGTCTCGCCATCCAAACGGGACCACTAGCGAAATCATACTGATTTTCTGTTCGGTCTCGTTTAGATGCCGTAGGACCAAAACAGGACCAGACCTGCATAAGACCTGTTTAAAACCTTACCAGTATTTTGCTTTGCGCTGCTCAGTAAAACTCGTGGCGTAACTTACGCCGCGTAAGTAGTTTATCTGCATTTTGGCACCAAGATTTAAAAAGTTTCCAGCGCTGAGAGCACTGTACAGTCAGCACTTGCATTGAAAGTACATGCATTGAAAATATGAGTCCGAGGTCGCGATATGTTGATAGACATCTTCTTCTGTGCCCTCTTTCTTTCGGTGACCTTGCTGACAATTTCGTCAGACATACTGAGTATACCGGAGGCTTGGGATGAAAATCCAGCGAAGTGGTGCAATTAACATTAAAGAGTGCAAAACGAAGTATCGCAGTGGCGCGAAGAACCTCTGAAGGCGGGCTAGAATACTTTACGTTGGCTTAAAATCCAGCAGCTCAAGCGTGCATCCCCCAACATCCCCCTTCAGTTAAGCGATCCATCCGACACTTCGAGTACATGTATCGGTACGGACGTATGCCGTCTAAACTCAATGTCGTAGACCACACGTACTATTTTGCGGCAATTTCTCCCATATATTTCCGTGGATCCATTTTTCACTACTAATTCGAATGAAAAAGCTACGTTTTCAATAGTAAATGGAAATGTTGTGCGGGTGCATTGTTTTTGCTGTTATACTGAGCATGATTCCGCTCGTACGGCGTAGAGAATGTCAACTTGTGCTTTGCCAACCCAATTAACACCACGAAATAGATAGAGACCCGACATACTCGATGCTCACCAACGCAAATACTTCTACTTGCTGAGGCTTCAGGCTTCGAGTTCAAATCATGGTCTAATTTGAGATTGCACCATGGTGTACTACAGTTGGTGTACTTGATGCAGCTAGGATCGGAGGACATTTGCTAAATATTAGCTCGTAGAATAAATATCAAATGTAATTGCTCTTCAGCTTGGTCTTTTTAATACTAGTTGCAAATCTTTAGTCAAATGTACATGTAGTAGCCACCCGGAATACCAGTTAATCAACTCTAATTTGTATTGTAGGAAATTTCCACTCGTCAGTTGCCCTGAACGAACGATTTTTCGTTTAGATGTTTGATGTTTATTTCGAACTAAAAATATCCATTCTGCTGTAAAGAAATCTGTAGTGGTCACAATTTTTTATTGATTCGGCCAGGTCGAGAATTACGCAGCCATACCTCCATACTACAGAGCAATGCATCAAAAGATGCTACTCTTTCTTCCGTGACCTAGTTTATTATTTGTACATGACGAGTAAAAAAAACAAAAAGGATGTGATCGGGACGAGATGGTCATTACGTCTGCAATATTGGTGGAACAAATTCGGCCATCAGGATAAGTATTTGCGAGCGACTTTCATAGAAAGTTACGGTGCAACGAGCAACAGCAGCTTTACCCGTCACCTGGGAAGCAAATATGGGCTACTGGGATCAGCTTAAAAACGATAATGTGAAGCCAATACGTTCACAAAAGTATTTGTCGTGTCGCTTATCTTGACACTAGTTGACGATGGTTTTTTGTTGGATTCGCCCAAGAGAACAACATTGTTGGCACTAGCTAAGAGAAGCGAGACAACCAGCAACGAAGCGTTCTCTTGGGCGAATCCAACAAAAAACCATCGTCAACTAGTGTCAAGATAAGCGACACGAGAAATACTTTTGTGAACGTATTGGCTTCACATTATCGTTTTTAAGCCTGCGATTTGTATCGCGCAATACACCCGTGATTTTGAGTGCTCAAGCATTGCACGGGAGACCAAAAGCACAACGTCCACGTGCTCATTCTGAACTCATAACTTCTCCATGTCAACACTGGAAACGCTAGAAGATGATGGCAGTAATTTGATCGTTATTGACGGCACTAGTTCCTACCATACATGCACTGGTGTTGTAACAAGACCGAGAGATTGGCCGTGGCGAAAGCAGGTGGCACTGCCACCGTGGCAGGCAAGCGAACCCGACTCCACGTTTCTGGTCTGGAGACGCACTGCACAGCTCTGGTTGTCATCTCGAAGCGACAAATTCATTCTGTATCCTATCGTTACATCGGCAGCACCGCCATCTCGGCGGGATTCCCGAGGGATCACTCTTTAGGTTTTGATACATTTCTGTTTTATTATTTGTAGAGTTTGACAAAGTCTACCGGAAATGTGATCCAAAATTTACATTACTGTGCATGTACAGTATTTTGCCAAAGGATCCTGCACATTGAAGTTAATGCATATGGTGTCTAGATTAAGAAAAATTTCCAATCGCGCGTCATCTCTCGACTGGTAAAAGGATATAGGCAGGCTGCCACGCTATGTGGCCCAAAGCAGCAACAATGCATGCCTTGACTCGCGCTTAGAGCTCCAAGAACCCACGTAGGGTTAGTTTTCCGGGGAAAAAAATCAACAGTACAGTTCATACATCACACGATATCGGCATAGAGATCAACCACACCCGAAGTCTCCAAACTTTTACTGAAAATTGATGGCGGCCACACCAGCTGGAAGCCTAGAAAGGTATCTGATAAGCAGCAAGTGCCTTTTTCCCATTCAACAACACGAGCACAGAAGGTATTTTGGGAATCGGAACTCTTCATCCGAGGTTAGACGGGCTGCTCAAGGTCGCGAGTCCGGAAGTCTCTGCAAGCAAAGCCGCCTCCACCCTAGATAGGAAAACATTTTGCACGTACCGGTATCCATATATTGGATAAGTACTGTATGTAAGGCGTATCGATGTGCGGCGGCACGCATCTGCGTTTACCTACCCAGCTGGAAGGGGTGGCATCAATTGTGAACCGTGTCTTGGTGGCAAACGCCAAAACTTGGTGTCAACACCAAGAAGCTTTCGGTGGCTATTAATAACAAATACTTAGTACAACAGACGGTCTGTGCCTCCAAGTCGATTTGCACCACGCACTTGCATTGCTTACACCTGATACAGATCGTCATTGTAGTTTGTATCGGAGACCGTGGTTGCGCTCGCCCCAAACTCGGGGCTTTGCGCGGGATCTTCGGCCTCCCATCGTTGACGTGGTGCCTCAACGGACCCAAGTTGGAGGTTGACGTTGTGCGGTCGGCGTGTTTTCGGTCGGAGGGAGAGCAAGCCAGACGTTCGTTCATCAACATGTGCTCCGACCTTCCTGCTGGCAATGCCAGGACTATCAGGCGCCCATGCCAGGTGCTCTCGCTACTGGTCACCTTCGAAGAGCAAAAAGTCTCAGTTCCGCTTTCCGCTTAAAAGTCAGCAACCATAGTGCCGCTACTGGAAGAAACGATGAGCACGACGCCACGCAAGAAAATAGACTTGCTGGCGCCGGCGCCGGTCATGTCGACAACGGATTTCACCTTTTCACCGCGGAAGGAGAACGAGTGGTACCTCAACACGCAGTCGCCTCGCGAGTTCGAAGGCGGCGCTCTTCGTGACGGTGGCGAGGTCAATATCTGGAGTCGCGACTACATCGGACTCGTGGTGCAATACGCCGCCGTGGGGATGATCTTCGGTACATTGCCCGGAACAGTCTACCCGTTCCTGTTCAACTACCTCAACATGGAAGGAACACAAGTCGTGTCGGCTGTCGTGCTGCTCAACATGCCGTGGTCGTTCAAGATCTTCTACGGCATGATCACGGACTGCGTGCCAGTGATGGGGTATCGCCGTCGTCCGTTCATGATCATGGGCTGGACGCTGTGTTTCGCCATGCTTCTCGTCATGGCGTGCATGGATGCCGGTGCCCCGTACTACCCGGACCACAAGTACGCGCGGATGGACGCCGACGAGTTGACCCCCGAGATCGTAGCGACATTCAACGAGTCGGCTCATCACGTCGGCGGCAAATTCATTGTGCTCATGATGATTGCAGCCGTCGGCTACGTCGGTGCGGACGTCGCTGCTGACGCTATGATGGTCGAAGTCGCCCAGCGTGAGCCTGAGGCCACTCGTGGGTACACGCAGACGACGATCTACATGGTCCGCACCGCCTTCGTGACCATGTCGAGCATCCTCACCGGTGTGGTCTTCAATGGAAAAGACTACGGTGGCGATTTTAGCTTCTCGCTGAGCTTCCCCCAGCTCATGGTCATCCTCACGCTGTGCTGCCTGCCTGTGATCCCCCTTTCGTGGTACTGCATCAAGGAGGAGCGTCACCCCGGCGTCGTGTTCCGCGACTACTTGGCCGAGCTGTGGCACCTCATGCAGATGCGACCGGTGTACCAAGTCATCGTGTACAAGTACCTGTCGGGTGTCTTTGAGAACTTCACTATCACGTGTTCCGACCCGATGCAGGCGTACTGGGCTCACGCTACACCGCTCAACGACAAAGTAATGGCCATCATGGGCAACGCCATCTTCGCCATCACGCTCTTCTTCACGGGCAAGTACGGCCTTCACTGGAACTGGCGCTCAATGCATGCCATCACCATCATCGCAGTGACAGTCATGGACTTTATCGTAACTATGCTCACTACGTGGGATATCGTTCGAAACCAGTGGTTCTGGCTTGGCGTGCCTGTGGTTGAGAACCTCCCCAACGGTATCGCGTTCGTGATTGGAACGTACGTGATCGTGGAGTTGGCTGGCGAGGGCAACGAAGGCGCCGTGTACGGCCTGGTGGGGTCGGTCGCAAACATCGCTATCCCTTTGGCCAGTACCCTCTCCAAGAACGTGGACAGCTACTTCGATGTGACCAACGCCGACATCGTGGAGGACACTACCCACGTGCGCTGGGAGGTGACTTACGTCCTCATCATTCGCTACTCTATGAACCTAGCTGGGTTGATCTTCCTGCCGCTCCTGCCCCGCCAAAAGGCTGAAACCCAGCAGCTCAAGCACAACGGAGGGTCGAGCCGCCTAATGGGACTGGTGACCGCCGTTTACTTCGGGTGCTCGCTGTGCTGGACCGTCATGGTCAACATTATGTCCATCTATCCGTCGACGTCGTGTCTTGTTATCGCTGGTGGCACCGGTTGCGACTCAAGCTCAAGCGGCGGCCGCCATTAAAGCCTGTTTGTCCGTTGTGTTGTCGCTGTCTAAAATCTTAATGAATCCAATGCGGAATACCGGTTCTTAAAAACTCTTCATCTTTTGGATTCCCACGAGCGGCGAATTGTTGCTACCCGTGTACTGCAGCAAGTGAAATATGACTCTCGGTTTGAGCTGGAATTGCGTGTCCAGCGGGCGGCAACACTGGCTTCTTGCCAAGCGACGAGGTTACTGGCACCTCAGGGGCAGCCCAGTTCAACCAAGCTTTTATGACAAAGATCACATGCTCGCACCCCACAATGAAAGCGAATCGCTGAAGGTCCGTCCACGCAGGCAGTAACTCGTCTAGCTCGTAGGTCCACACGAGAGCGCAATTGACCACAACAGCCACCCCGGCGAAACTCACCAGCACCTTCTCCCAGACGCCGATGCCTCTCGCATGCATTGCAATTGGTCGTTGATATCCGTGGCGGTTCACCAGCTTGAGGAGGTCCGATCGGCTCTCGATTGCATTGTTCAGCCAAGCGAATGCTGCGGCAAGGGGGAACACTGGGCTGTACAGAGTCACGTAGCCAAACTGCACCATGAGCTCCTTGTAGTCTGCAAACGTGTCACGATAGGTGGCTTGCCGCTTTTGCATGAGCACTCGAGCTAAGCGCTGTTCAGTAGCAGCTTTCGCAACATCCACTCGCTCACGTTCCTGCTTTGCTCGAAGTTGAGGCATGGAGTTTTTCCTGCGGGGTCGAAGACTGCCTTCAATGTCCTCACTCTGGAGGCTCTCGAGACTCTGTCGACGACGTCGCTTGTTCTCCGCTGTCAGCACTTGGCCACCAACTGACACCGCGAGGGGCAATCCCACCTCCTTGAAGTTATCAATCAACTGCGTTGCCACTAGCAAAATCCATAATCGCTCACGAACTCGATCCAGACGACGGACGTAGAAGGCGAGAAACCAGAGAGACGCGTTGCTGTTCACAAGATGGAAAGGCATTCGCTTGGCGACCAGATGCGCTTCGTGCTCGTCGAGAGTGCGGTAGTTTTCAAATTCCGTGAGCTTCCGAGCTAATAACTGGTACAAATTGTCCATAACGTAGATAATCACTGCGTTCATGACACTTGGCCCATGCGAAACCAGTCCACAGACCATCATATCGTCACTTGGCACCCATTTATCCGCAACGTACGCCCAATATCCAGCACTCGTCGTAACCTGCTCTTCTCGCGCCCACGCCCGGCGGCAGCTCTCACTGTAACTCGCTCGAAGACGCTCCGAGAGCACGTGAAGCCCGATAACATAGCCCCCGACCAAGCAGCACATGGACACCAGCAACGGAACAGCCAGAAGCTGTCGAAGTAGCCGCTTGTGGTGTGGGAAGTCGAAGCACCTCGCGCCTGTCACGGGGTCTTGCATCCACTCGCCTCGAAACTGCAGTCTCGTCGTCGCGTGCACGGACGACAGCACGCCATCGTAGCCCCACGCGAACTCTACCTCTCTCTGTCGCCGGCGCCACATGTCGGCAATGAGCGAGGTGCCGATCGCCACCAAGACGCAGTGCACCGTGTAGCTGGGGGCCAGATTCAACAGCCCGAGCACGTGCACCACGACCCCGTAGACGCTCGGCAGCACCAGCATCCGCGTGTAGAACGCCAGCCACGCGAAGTACATGGCGATTCTCGGCCCAAAGTACGCGTAGATTTCCTCCAGCGGGGGCAGCGCCAAGGCGCTCTGCGCGCCCCAGCGCCTTGTCAACTGGCGTCTCGCTTCGTCTCGATGCAGCGGGTACAGCACGACGTTCGTGAGTCCGTCGGCCCGCATGACCTGGGACAGCAGCTTCTCCCTGGCGCTCAGCAGCACAGGCACGCCCGTCAGTTTGCCCAGTTCTCCGTGTCCGTCTTCGTGCAAGCAGCAGACGTCCAGCTCCAGTCTGAGCTCGGCCAGTATCAGTTTACACAGTCTTTGGCACTGCGCCGCGCCCCTCAGAGGCAGCACGTGGCTCGTGTAGTCCGGGTGCTGCGTGACCCACGGGGCCAGTTGCATGGCCACTCGGCCGGCCCACGCGCCTCGCTCCGTGACGCTCTGGTCGGGCACTTCACTGCCGATTGAGAGCGCGAAGGCCTGCGTGTCCTCCTTGGTAGCGGCCAGCACCTCCGAGTCGGGGGCCTGCAGCCTGTGAACAGCCACGCGGCAGCCCGCGGCTCTCAGGGCGCTGGCCGCCACTTGTACCACCGCGTGGGCGTCCTCCAGCGTCTGCGCGTCACTCGCATTGTCCAGTTCCAGGTACAGGCAGAAGTCCGCCCAGTCGTCCACGAGTCGCTGCGTCGGGGCGAAGCGCTGCAGCTTCAAGTGGCTGCCAGAGGCTGGTGCGGCGACCTCCTCCGACCCGCGCCGGCGCTTGCCGCTGAGCGTGTGGGCGCTTGCACTCGAGTTGCTCGAGATGGCTGCTTGGTCCTCAGTGGTCGAAACCTTCTTGGGCTTGGCCAGGCGCTGGAACGCGGAGCGCAGTGGACGCGCGAGCACCAACGGGCGGCGGCGACGCAGTAAAGACTCGGATAGCACCACGCGTGGCTCGGGCGCAGCCGAGAGGCCTGCAGCGCCCGCGGCATGGCGCCGCCGGAGCTCCATGCTGCTGACTTGGCGAGTTGATGTGTTACTTCAGAGGTGTGCAACACATACATGTAGCCATGAGGATTGCCTCAGTTTTGTCGGTTTTGGTCGGTATACCGGTCTGACCTATTGTGAAAACCGAACACTATGCCCTATTTTTTTGCAAATCGATCGATTTGGGTGCTTATTAAGCGGCTGAAGCTGGAGCTGATTGACTAGGTCTAGCTAGACGCATTAGACTCGGTTAATTCGTGAAGTTTGCTGTGTTCAAGCTGGACAGGGGGTTTTGCGATAGGTAATGGGGTTTTAATCCGTTGCTCGCGCGCTCGGAACACCAAATGTGCGAATCAAATTGCCCCGTCCGAGGCTCTGCACGACTTCCCATCGTTTCGTGCTCCCAAATGTCGGTCAAGGTTCGTGGCTGTGCAGTTGAATGCCGCTTCGATTCGCACTGAAAAGCTCCTTCTTTTTGCTGTTCGTCTCGATGTTGCTCAGCCCGTCGCAAAGTCCAAGAGATGTGTCCTGCATGTATGGCTTGGCCCGTTGCCAATCGCTCCACCCCCCCCTCCTATTTCATCACAACACAAGCAACCATACTGCCGATACTCGAGGAAGCGATGCAGGCGGCGCCGCGCAAGACGTTCGACTTGCTGGCTCCCGCTCCGCACCTCGAATCGGCGTTCTCTCCTCGGAAAGGCAGCGACTGGCATCTCAACACCAAGTCGCCGCAGATTTACGACGGTGGCGCGCTTCGACAGGGTGAGGAAGTGAACATTTGGAGACGCAACTACATCGGACTCGTGGTGCAGTATGCGGCCGTTGGTATGATCTTTGGTACTCTCCCCGGCACACTTTACCCCTTCCTCTTCAACTACCTCAACATGGAAGGCACTCAGGTCATGTCGGCCACTGTGCTGCTCAACATGCCATGGTCGTTCAGGGTATTTTTCGGCATGCTCACGGACTGCGTCCCTATCTTCGGCTTCCGACGTCGCCCGTTCATGGTCCTCGGTTGGACGCTATGTGTCGCCATGTTGGTTTTCATGGCCTTTAAGAAGGTCGGCGCTCCGTACTTCCCAGACAGCAAGTACGCTAAGATGGACCCGCATGACCTGACTCCCCAGATGATCGCGACTTTCAATGAGTCGGCACACCACATAGGCGGCAAGTTTGTTGTGATGATGATGATCGCCGCTGTCGGCTACGTCTTAGCTGATGTTGCTGCAGACGCGATGATGGTGGAGATTGCCCAGCGCGAACCGGACGCTAGACGCGGGTACACGCAGACAACGATCTACATGGTGCGAACGGCTTTCGTAATGGTTTCAAACATTCTGACAGGGTTTGCGTTTAACGGCAAGGACTACGGAGGAGACTTCAACTTTTCGCTGAGCTTTCCTCAGCTAATGCTCGTCCTCAGCGTTCTCTGCTTCCCAGTGATCCCGATCTCGTGGTTCTGCATCGAGGAAGACTCTCACCCAGGCCTGATTTTCGGAGATTACCTCGCTGAACTCTGGCGTCTCGTTCAGATGCGACCCATGTACCAGGTCATCGCGTACAAGTTTCTCATGGGTATTTTCAAGAATTTCAGCGTCACGTGCTTGGACCCGATGCAAAGGTACTGGGCCGATGTCACACCTCTCAACGAGAAGATCATGACAATTGTGGGGAACGGAGTGTTCGCGATCACGTTGTATCTTACTGGGAAATATGGTCTTCACTGGAACTGGAGGAAGATGCATGCGTACACACTTATCTCGGTTGTGGCTATGGAGTTTATCGTAACGATGCTCACGACGTGGGGCGCCATTCGCAACCGATGGTTCTGGTTAGGCGTACCTGCCGCAGAGTCCCTTCCGAATGGAATCGCCTTTGTGATCGCAACGTTCGTCACGGTCGAGTTGGCCGGCGAAGGCAACGAAGGCGCCGTATACGGCTTGGTCGGGTCGGTGTACAACATGGCAACGCCTCTCGCCAGCACATTGACGAAATATGTGAACAGCCACTTTGACGTGACCAACAGCGACATTCTCGAGGATTCAAGGCACGTACGATGGGAGGTGACGTACGTCCTGTTGATCCGGTACTCGGTGAACCTGGCTGCTCTGTTTTTCCTGCCCTTGCTACCTCGTCAGAAGGCAGACACACAGCAGCTCAAGCACTTTGGTGGCTCGAGTCGCTTCATGGGGATGCTAACGCTCACGTACTTCACGGCTACGCTGTGCTGGACCGTTATGGTGAATGTATTGAGCATTTACCCGACTACTTCCTGTCTTCGCATTGCAGGTGGCCCTGGATGCAACGCAAGTAATGATCATCATCACCAGTCATAGCCATTAATTTTTTAATTAAGGTTCATTTTGTGTATTTCCTACGATGGACTGATTCATTTACAGTACAGTGCTTACCTCTATTCTGCTTCTATTTGCTGTGCACAATTGGTCGATGCCATCAACACACAATGATTCAGACTGCAAGATCTCGCTTTCAACAGTACGTTAATCAATGACTCATCTGCATCTGCATGGCTCAAACCTGCCTTCGTCTCACAAGACGACCATAGGTTTACGCGACATACATACTGTGCGATCCTTACGGGAAGCACCACTCATTCCCGCTTCTTACAGCTGGAAGGTTGGAAGAGCTCGTATGCTGAGCTCTGTAAGTGTCGATGCTGCAGCGGGGCAGGCAGCGTGACTTTGCCTCCAGTGTATTTCCAGGGTACGCAACTTGCTGGAGGCAAAGCTTACAGAAATCGCAGGATCGCAACCACAAACTCACCAAGCTCTTCGCTTTCTTGACAGCAAGCGCATACCGGTACCGCTACATACTAAGTAAAAGTTGCGCCGGTACACCGAATTGGTAATCTTGAGCGGGTTCACGCAATACATACGCGCGCCTTCTGTCTGTAGCGGTTGAATCCAGCGTGTCTTTCCAACTGAGAGCCGGGAGCTTGACAGCATACGCTAGAAGTTGGCGGTTGGGACTCGTATGTATGAGCAATCTCATTGGCGTATGTCACTGTCCCCATCGTTTCTTGGTCCCAAATGTCGGTCAAGTCGTGGTTGAAGCAGGCTAGCCTTCAGATGGTTTATGGTCACAAGAACTTGATGCCTTCCGCCATCAAATCTGAAAAGTGCGCGACAGGGCCCATGTCGACGTGTGTTTATCAAAGGACCATTCCCGAATTTTAGTTTTAGACCGCAACCATAGTGCCGATACTCGAGGAGCCAATGCGCACGACGCCGCGCAGAAAAATCGACTTGCTGGCACCAGCTCCGTCCTACACGTTCTCCCCGAGAAAAGAAAACGAATGGCATCTCGATACCAAGTCACCTCAGCTGTATGAAGGAGGCGCGCTGCGTGACGGCGGGGAGGTCAATATCTGGAGTCGAGACTACATTGGAATCGTCGCGCAATACGCCGCCGTTGGTATGATCTTCGGGACGCTGCCCGGAACCGTTTACCCATTTCTCTTCAACTATCTTAACATGGAGGGGACGCAGGTGGTGTCGGCCACGGTGTTGCTCAACATGCCGTGGTCGTTCAAGATTTTCTACGGCTTGATCACGGATTGCGTCCCTATTTGGGGTTTCCGCCGTCGTCCGTTCATGGTTATCGGTTGGACGCTGTGTTTCATCATGCTGGTCGCTATGGCCTGCATGGATGCGGGCGCGCCATACTACCCGGACAACAAGTACGCTACGATGGAGGAGGAAGAGCTCACACCCGAGATTGTCGCCACTTTCAACGAGTCAGCGCACCACGTAGGCGGGAAGTTCGTCGCGATGATGATGATCGCCGCTGTCGGCTACGTTGGAGCGGATGTGGCAGCAGACGCCATGATGGTGGAGATTGCTCAACGCGAACCGGAGGCTACGCGCGGGTACACGCAGACGACGATCTACTTGGTGCGCACGGCTTTCGTGACCATGTCGAGTATCATCACAGGCTTCGCGTTCAACGGGACGCACTACGGAGGAGACTTTGACTTCTCGCTGAGCTTCCCACAACTGATGGCTATCCTGAGCGTGTGCTGCTTCCCAGTGATCCCGCTTTCGTGGTACTGCATCCGGGAAGAGCCTCACCCGGGCGTCATTTTCCGGGACTATCTTGCCGAGCTGTGGCACCTCATCCAGCTGCGCCCCATGTACCAGGTCATCGCGTACAAGTACTTCTCCGGCATCTGCGAGAACTTTACCATCACGTGCGCCGACCCGATGCAGTCATACTGGGCGGGGGTCACTCCTCTTAACCAGAAAGTCATGGCTATCGTCGGCAACGGCGTGTTTGCTCTCGCACTGTACTACACAGGCAAGTACGGCCTGCGCTGGAACTGGCGGACAATGCACACCATTGCGCTCACTTCCGTTACGATCATGGACTTCGCAGTGACCATGCTTACGACCTGGGATGTTATTCGTAATCAGTGGTTCTGGCTGGGCGTGCCCGTAGCAGAAGCGCTTCCCAACGGTATCTCCTTCGTCATCGCCACTTTCGTCATGGTGGAGTTGGCTGGAGAAGGCAACGAAGGCGCAGTGTACGGTCTGGTCGGGTCGATCTCCAACATCGCCATCCCTCTTGCCAGCACATTCACCAAGAACGTCAACAGCCACTTCGATGTGACCAATGCCGACATCGTCGAAGACTCGCACCATGTCCGCTGGGAGGTGACGTACGTCCTCTTGATCCGGTACTCATTGAATCTGGCGGGGCTGCTCTTCTTGCCGCTGCTGCCGCGTCAGAAAGCGGAGACACAGCAGCTCAAACTGAACGGTGGATCCAGTCGAGCTTTTGGTATCGTGACTCTCCTGTACTTCGCACTCTCGTTGTGCTGGACGGTCATGGTAAACGTCATGAGTGTTTACCCGACCACTTCGTGCCTGCCGATTGGAGGGGGTCCTGGATGTGATGGCGGTAGCAGCGATATACATTAGAGTTTTTTTTTTTAGTATTAGAGAATATTTGTAGCTTGTGCGATCATGCGCTTCATTCTCTTCCACTACACGGATTTCATTTACCGGTAATAGTACGTCACGAAGGAGGCAGAGGCAGCAAAGTTTGCCATCCGTTGCTAGACGGTATGGCTCCCACAGCCTGGCACGAAGTGGTTGAGCTGTATATATACTGCAAAGGACTGATAGCTCTCCAGATGATGCTCCTCATGGCGAAAACAGCTATCAGACTGGATGGCCATTTTTGAGACGGCCCAGTGCTGCACTTCCACCCTTAACGCCTCCAGTGCATCGTGCACTCCGCCTCGATCTCCCGCGGATACGTCTCTCTTCCCAACGCAAAATGCAGCAACAGTCAAGTGACGGTGTTGAGTGCCACTTGCAGCACACGATGCCAATCGAGCTTTGGGACGAACACTTGATCCCGTTCCTGACACTGAACGAAGCGGTGGCGCTGGCAGAGGTGAGCCGCTTCTTCTACGACGTCATCCACGAGCACATTCAGCTACGGGCAGAGGCGTCATTGGTCTGCTCAGTGACGGAGCTGCTGCACGTCCTGAGCAAGTGGAAAAACCTCCGCAACGTAGCCTTCCAACCCGTCGGCGGTGATCCAGAGAGCGACAAAGCGCCGGAAAATATTCACTACAACGTGAATGCTTCGGGAGGTCTCATCGTCGATCTTGATCGCAGCCAACCAGCACCGGAACCCGAACCAGCTCAAGCGACCAGCGAGAGCTACACTGACGAAGACGGTGTGAGCGTTCCAATGCGGTACAGCTGCCCCAATGTGCTGCAAGACTGTATCGGGAGTGGCCATGATGGTCAAGTGAAGGGGCTGAACTTGTCCGGAATCGTGCGCGTGAGCTTGTTCGACGGCGTGAACCGCTTGCAGGAGCTGGGACTGAGTGGCTGCAGCCAGATCGACGGTTTGCACTGGCTAAACGGCATTCGGGAGGTGGACCTGAGCTACTGCAACTTCCTGGAGGACGTGTCGTTCCTCAGCCGCTCACAGCACGTCGACTTGTCCTACTGCCACGCCGTCACGGATCTTTCGCCATTGGCTAGGTGCGAGTCAGTGCAGCTCAACGTGTGTCGGGGTATCAGCGACGTCAGCTCGTTAAGCCGCGTACGTCGCGTGAGCCTGCGGAATTGTCCGGAGGTGACCGATGTGAGTGCACTAGGCAACGTACACGAGCTGAACTTGGGTGGCTGCGCGAACGTGGCGAACGTAAGCGCGTTGGGCAACGTGCACGAGTTAAACCTCTCGGGCTGTATCAATGTCACCGACGTCAGTGCTCTCGGCAAAGTGCACACGCTCAAGCTGCGCAAATGTCTGGGGGTCGTGGATGTTTCGGCACTTGGCGGCGTACAGGACTTGGACCTCACTGGATGCATCAACGTCACAGACGTGAGCGCTCTTGGACGTGTCCCCAAGCTCCAGCTCGCGCTCTGCAGACACATTAGCGACATCTCGGCACTGGGCGATGGAGTGCAGGAGCTCTCCCTTCGGCAATGCGATGCCGTCACCGATCTGTCAGCTCTGACTAAAAGCTCGAGTCTTCGCGACCTGGACCTCTCAGGTTGCACGGCGTTCACAAGCTCCGAGCTGCAGCATCTGCCTCCACTTGATCGCCTTGTGCTCTCGAGGTGCAGCCAATTAAGGAGTCTTGAAGGTCTGACCCGCGTTCGAGAGCTCGACGTGAGCTTCTGCAAGAACCTGCGGTCGCTGGGGTCGTCACTGCGCGAGGTTCACACGATCGTCACCTACCGCTGCGAGAAGCTCGAGGACATCCAAGTGCTGGCCAAGTCGGCCAAGCACCTAGCGAAGGTGAACTTGTCCGGGTGCTCTCGCATCAGCGACGTCAGCTTTATCTCGGGGGCGCAGGATGTCGACTTGCGGTTCTGCGACGCACTCGAGGACGCCCGTCCGCTGGCTGAAAGCGCGCGCATCTTGAAGCTCGCCGGGTGCTCGAAGCTCGTGGACGTGTCTCCGCTCGCACGCGCTCGAGAGCTGGATCTAAGCTACTGCCCACGTATCGAGGACGTGTCAGCGCTGGAAGCGGTCCACACGCTGTCGCTACGCCACTGCCCGAGCATCCGAGACGTCTCTGCGCTGTCCAGAGTGCACACGCTCAACCTCTCGGGCTGCGTGCAGCTTGAGGACGTGTCGGCTCTGCGAGATGTGCACGAGCTCAATCTGTCGGACTGCTGCAAGGTGACGGACGTCGGCATGCTCACGGGCGTGCGCGTGCTGGACTTGCGCTACAACAAGAGCAACGCGGATGCTATAAAGGCCGGGGTCTCGAAACTGCGCGGTCTTGTGCCCATCATCCGCATGTAGAGCTGCTCATCCAGTAAAGCTTGGATCTAACGCGTAGATGAAGCACTCACCATCCATTCTCATCCGATGTCCTCGTGTTTGCGCATAGACGACCTCGGAATTCCCGCGTTGCCGATGGCTCGCGCGGCATCGGGGGCGCCACGCGGCATCAGGCTGTGCATGTAGACCAACTCGTTCAGCGGATTCACCTCTCCGTGTATTAGAATAATTATCCCTCATCTTTACATCGCTCTGCTCGCTGCGCGAGGCGGTCTCTGCTGCTTCCTTCCAGCTAGGCTAGGCGCCGTGACGTCGGGTGCAGGGGGCGCCTTCATAGGGCATCGATGCAGGTCTACCGGTACATACTCTCGTCTGAGGCACGACTTAGCCAAAGCGCTGGTTCTGGGAGACCTCCGGCTGGAAACCCTCCTGCAGGAAGTACTTCTCCACAGCGTCCGCGACGCCGCGGCCCTCGTTGATGGCCCACACCACCAGAGACTGGCCACGACGGCAATCACCAGCGGCGAAGACGCCCTCCACCGACGTCTGGTAGTCGCCGTAGGCAGCGCGGATGTTGCGGCGCTGGTCCACTTCGAGACCCAGAGACTCCGCGATCTTCTGCTCGGGGTGCACGAAGCCCATGGCGAACAGCACCAGGTCGCACGGGATCTCCTCCTCCGTGTTGGGGATCTCGGTGATGAAGTTGGTCTTGGGGTCCTTCTCGCCCATGACCGTGACCACGTGCGTGATCTCGTCCTTGTCGTTGCCCTTGAACGCCTTCGTGACGCGCGCGTACTTGCGCGGGTCCTCGCCGAACACGGAGCGCACCTCGGCGTGGCCGTAGTCGACGCCGTAGATGCGCGGGTACTCGGGCCACGGGTTGTGCGGCGCGCGCTGAGCCGGGGGCTGCGGGTTGTGCTCCAGGTTCACGACCGACTTGCAGCGCTGGCGCATGGACGTAGCGATGCAGTCCGTGCCCGTGTCACCGCCGCCGATGACCACGACGTCCCTGCCCTCGGCCGTGACGAAGTTGCGGTCCCAGCCGCTCTGGAGCTTGCCGTCCACCGTCAGCAGGAGGCGCTTCTGGTTCTTGGTGAGGAACTCCATGGCAAAGTGGACGCCCTTGAGGTGGCGGCCGGGGATGTCCACGTCGCGCGGGACGGTGGAGCCCAGAGCCAGGACGACGGCGTCGTTCTCGGCCTGGAGCTTCTCCACGGGCATGGAGACGCCGATCTCGGCGTTCGTGACGAACTCGATGCCCTCCTCGCGCAGCAGGTCCACGCGGCGGTTCACCGTCTTCTTCTCCAGCTTCATGTTGGGGATGCCGTACATGAGCAGGCCGCCGATGCGGTCCTCACGCTCGTACACCGTCACGTGGTAGCCCTTCTGGTTGAGCTGGTCGGCGGTGGCGAGGCCGGCGGGGCCCGAGCCCACGACGGCCACACGCAGGCCGTTGCGGCGCGGGATGCGGGGCACGATCCAGCCCTCCTCGAAGGCGCGGTCCACGATGGCGTACTCGGTGTTCTTGATGGTGATGGGGTCGTCCACGAGGCCGGCGACGCACGCGGCTTCGCAGGGCGCGGGGCACACGCGGCCCGTGAACTCGGGGAAGTTGTTGGTCTTGTGCAGGCGGTCGATGGCCTCCTTCCACTCGTCGCGGTACACGAGCTCGTTCCACTCGGGGATGAGGTTGTTCACGGGGCAGCCCGTGTTGGTCTGGCAGAAGGGCGTGCCGCAGTCCATGCAGCGCGCGGCCTGGATCTTGCGCTCGGTGGGGTCGCGCGTGCCCGAGTTGATCTCGTTCCAGTCGTGCACGCGCTCGCTCACGTCGCGGTACGGGTCCGCCTGGCGCTTGAAGTCGATGAACGCGCGCGCGCTGTTGATCTCGCCCTTGGAGCCGTCGCGCTTCTCGAACACGGGCTCGGGCGCCGCCGCCTTGGCGGACGCCGCGCGGCGCAGCAGCGAGCCCGAGCGGGCGGCGGAGCGGGAGGTCAGGCGCTGGCGCACGACGGACTGCATATGATCACAAGATACGAAGGAGAGGAGGGCGGGGCTGGAGGTTTCTTGGGCGGCGGCGAGTGCGCGCGAGCGAGCAGTTTGCAGAATGACAGAGGCTGAAGCGAAGCGGAGGGTGAGACCCGAAGTGAATGCTCATTCCCGTTGGTGTTAAAGCGGTTCAGGATTGCCTGCCTAACTCGACTATAAGTTTGCACAAGTTATCGTATAAAGAGGATGTTTTACTATAGTTTGAACGTGAATCGTTTAACGAGAAGCCGAGGCTGGTTATCTGAATTCACGGGTGATGGTAAGGAGGTCCGAATTAGAAAAGTATCCGGGTGCTTAAAAAAACGTCCCCAGAGCCTAAATCGGTCCCCAAACTTCGGTCACGTCTTGTCTTTGTGCGCCGGATGCACCGGTTCTGATCTTCCTGCGGTGTTATTATGTCCAGCGGACTTTAGCTTTTGGGAGGAAGGGTGTGGACCGTCGGAATAGGATACCACGGCGCTGGCGAAGCAGCGAGTGCAATCGTGGCCCACCAGCATACGCATAACGATCGAACGCGTAGATGAGAATAGTCGAGTGCGCTTTCAGCGTTGCCACACCAGCTTTTCTTCGTACGACACTGTCAGTTGCACGTGACCCGCTCAATCGCGTGCCCACGTGACGTTATGCGCTTGTACGGGGTTTCAATTGAAAGAGGTGGGAGGGGATGGACGACGCTTCGAGAATGGGCAAACAATGGCTACTGCCTACATCTTTGACCCCGAATGCACGCGCTCTGATCCGAGCTCGTACCGATGTGGAGGCGAGGTGCTTGTCTTTCTTGGCAACGCAATACGCAGCGCTTTCGGTCTCCGCGTGCTGGGTTATAGTGGCGTTTTGCGGTGTTTATCTGCGAGCGCAGTTCTTGTGACTTAGTGTAAGATCTACCAAGGCCAGCATCACAGTTCACTCGTTAACTCGTGGCAATAATAATGGTGTATCCGATCCAAGTCATGGCTACATCCCAAGGTCTCAGATGCTGCAAAAGCTGTGGTCATTTTCGCTTGGCCCACAGCATGCACAGTACACTTTCCAGACCAATTCAGTGTCAAGCACTTGACTCCCAGCAACGCCGCCCTCCTCTGCATCGGTGCGCCGCAGTGAGCGCAGCCGAGGGCGCCCGCAGGCAGAGATGGTGCGCAACTTGCGCACCGTAGACGTGGCAAAAGTATCTGCTCGAAAAGGCAACCTTGAAGTTGAAGTGGAGGCGTACGGCGTCGTTGCTCGTGTCAAATCGAGCCCTTGCAGCCCTCGATGCCCCGTGCAGCCAATCGCCTTCCCCGCTTGCTCCAATTCGACCGCTGCAACGCGCAGCTGGCTCATCGAAATGGCTCGTCACGGTCCGGCCGCGGCCCGAACTGCAAGGGGCCTTCAAGCCGGCCTGTGTACGACCAGAGCGATTCCTGCTTCGTCGCGTGCGGCTCTTGGTTGCAGTTGGTCGGTCAGCGATTGTGAAAAACAATAGACGGGGGGCTGGAGCTTGAACTTGGCTCCCCCTGCTTGAACATCGCACCGGAAATCCGCTCGGCTGGGCCAGTCGTGCGCTCGAGCGGCGTCTGGTTGGCCCGCAGCTCCGTACGTCTCGCAGCCTTGCAGGATCGAGCCGCTTGAAGATTCAAGCAAGCGCCTTCGGCGTCGGGGCGACCGGCCGCTCCGCGCTTGTCGTGTTGGCTGCCTCGTCGCGTTTGGACGTTAAACGTGTTTGAAGCTGCAACTGCAACGATAGACGCGCCAGGATGTGATGGTTGCAGTTGCAGTCCTCACCACCAGGAGGAATCGAGTGCTATCAGTGGACAGCCACGCGTTTGGCCTTGAGCGCTTGTACGCCCCGGCCTCAAATTTTCTCGGCCCGTTGTGTTTCGCCAGCCCAATGCAGACCTCTCGGACACTTTTCATTAAGCTGCTCAACGAATATTCGCTTTAACTTGAGCAACAATTGATGCTACAGCACTCCAGGACTCTGAACAGTTGGCAGTCGTCTAACAAGGTAGTACTTCTATGTATTGGGCCACAACCCTTGCATGAAGACCTAGCATTCATGGTTTGGATGTCTGCGAAAGGCTCTTTCGACCGGTTTTCCCTGCGTCAATTGTTTCACCTACTTCACCCGCGGGACCAGCGGAAGGGAAGACCAGAATAACGCGAAATCTGTGACTTCATGTTTCCATTTCGATGTGCAATGCTGGTGTTGGGCGAACAGCGATGAAGACCCCATTGAATCATCTCAAACGAAGCGCTCGAGCTTTCATTTTGCAGCGAGATACTTTGCGTACGGCTTGAGAGGGACCAATAGGCTATCGACTTCGCAACGAAATGCGTTGGATTGAGTGCCGAACCGCGATGGTAGGACGGTTTGATGCATTTGTCCTCAATGTCGGTGCATCTTGCTGATAAATCGTTTCGAGCATGTACTAAGTTGAACAAGGTTAACGAAAAAGTTTCATTAAGGTTAATATCTATACCCTACGTTCGACGAGTCTGTGTTGCAGTTCTGCTACAACCTACCGCCTCGGGTTCATCATCATGTTGGCGTTCTGGTTGGTCAAGTTGTACGCCTGCTCCGCCTTCATCTGCAGCTCCAGCAATTGATTGTATAGTCCTTCGCGAGTAGTCGGCGCACGCTGGTGTGCCATCGGGGGATAGCTTGGGTTGGTGTTCGCCTTCATGCGCTGACGCATGAGGAATTGCTGCTGCTGGATCTGTTGCTGCTCGTACTGACGCTGCTGCTCGCTCTGGTAAGTCGTAAGAGCCTGGCTGGTTTCCATCACTGCTGGCATCCTTTGATCAAGCGGAATCATACCGGAGCTGGGTCCATTTGAGTGCTGGAAGCTTTCGTCGATGTCCGAGTGCAGTGACGAAATGGAGCTGGACTGCCACGACTGGTAGGACGACGAGAACTCCGAGTCCGTCAGCGACAGGGTCGACACCGACGCGTTGATCATGTCCATCCTGACGCTGTTACTGCTACTGCTGTCGTTCCTGCTGCGGATGTCCTCGCGAGGCACCTTCCTCGGCTTAGCTGGCTGCTGCTCAAGCGGCTCACCAGCGAATGGGGACTGATCCTTGACCATGACCACGCACATCTTGCAGCAAGAAACCTTGATTTTGCCTCGGCGCGAGAACGTCACCTTTCGGATACGACACCTGCTGCAGATGACAGCGCCGCACGTCTGGCAGTTGGAGTGGGACGACAACAGGCCCGCCTTGGCACGACAAATTGAGCAGTGGTTACCACTCTGGTTCTTGCTGCTTGCGCCACGCAAGGCGCCGGACTGCTTGGCGACCATGGCGGAAATCTTCTTCGCTTCAGCTCCGACCAACGCCGTCGGAAGGTTGAACAGCATTTCCATCGAGCTGCGGTAGTCGCCCACTCCACCGGCCGTGAGCACGTCGCCCGACGAATCGTACGCCCCCATCATGAACACTTCGACTTGGTCCGCGAGTTTTCCCGGGCGGAAGATGTAGCAGAAGGAAATGTTGGTACGCACGATCGAGTTGTCATCGAACTGCGGGCAGTTGCGGACTGGTACTGACTCGAGCACCTGATAGCCGAAGCGATGGCCGTTGGCGTCCTCGGATACACCGACGTACTCCATGTAGCAGCAGTCGCGGTTGCCACCCACGGTACGCGACAGCTTCCACTTAAGTCCCAGATACGACGAGCGAGTCTGTCGAACTGTGTGTAGCACCGCACAGTCGATGATCGAGTCATCGCCCAGAAACGCAGCCAGTGTCTTCATCTCGTCCGTCGAGGACTGGTACAGCCCGTAGACCAGGTCATCCACTGATCCACCCACGATTCCGTAGCCCATGACCGCTGGTTTGATGCTTTTGCGACTCGGTTCGCCGTCGTCGGACGATCGCGTGGACGTCGACATCTTGCCTGCGTCGTCGTACCCGGAGTGACTGTGCGAGCTCAGCGACGGACGCGACCGGGCCGAGTAGGTGAACGAGTCGCTGTTCGATCGTGTGGCGGTCGCATCGCCGCCCGCTTTGTCATACAGACCGAGTTGATGCGCGGAGCCTTGAGTGCTGCTTCGTCGGTAGCACTGCAGTCGGTCCTTGGACTTGGCGAGCTTCCACGTGTGAGCGTCGATGAGGTTGCGTCCGTCCTTGACGTAGTGGTCGAAGTCCCGGTTCGTCTCTCGGACGATGTCGGTCGCTAGTGACCGGTAGCTCTGCGCCTCGGCCGGCAGCAGCTCGAACTTGGCGAAGTAGCCCTCGGGCAGTGGGAATCGGAGCTGCATGAGTAAGGTCGCTTCAAAATTAGCTATAAGGTTTGGACGAGGACGGTCTCCGATAATGGGCACGAACGTCTCCGGTAACGTCGGAGGTTCGTCAAGTTAATCCCTCGCTCACGTCTGCGGAGCAGGTCGAGTCAAACGGGAAGTGGTGAGTGCGCGACAAGAGCGCCAGTAGCTGCGAAGAGGGAGAGGCGAGGCCACTTGAGGACGACGTACCTGACTCCAGGCACAGCTGGTAAGCTAACCGTGGCGCCCCCTCTCCAGCCTGGAGTCCAGGCTGCAGTCCAGCTGATGGCGCGCGGTGTAAAAAGCTGGCGAGGGGCAGATGAATCCGCTTGCTGGCCTCCGCAGAGCCACCGTTGGCGCTCTCTCCACTCGCAGTCGCCGAGTCCGAGGCAAAAATGAGCTCAAGAAACCGCGCGGATTGCCACCACGCCCGCGCTTGCTGACGCCGACGGGATCCCGTCGCGCGTGCGAAAAACCGGTCGCCAACTTCATTCCGCTCTGTTGAGGTGGAACGCGGATTTGCATCGACAAGGCTACTTTGAGAGCGGGTGCATGCATGCAGGCAATTGTGTCTAGCTGCCGCTGCTCACAGGCGAGCACGCAGGCTCATTTGCCGCCCCTCAAAATCCATTGCACTATCCCTTCTGAGTCTGTGCGTGTAGGTTGAGCAATTGGCTGCGCTAGTGTTGATCGAGCGGTGCGCTTGCACACGTACTCATTGTATGAGCAACAAGTACATTGAATTGAGCAGCAGACAAGATGAAACTGACACCTACTCGTACCCAGGTTACCATCGGTACATATCGGTACCAATTGGGGCGTCACACAAATGGAACGTTTGAAATGCTACAATACAGCCTTGGTATGTCTTCTTGCTATACCAGATCTAACAGCTACATGTATCGGCTGCTTGGGGTGCCCGCAATACACGGCAAGTCATCAACAATAGCCACACGGCGAAGGTGGCCGGTATCATCGCGTGGAGAATATATATTTCGTGCTCGACACTCCATAATATGCTTTCGGTGGAGGCGAAGGCGACGGTCTCCGCTCCCGTTCGATCTTCGTCTTCAATTTGGTCCCGTCGTGACAAAAAACTGATGCCACCGCGACTGGACGAACGACGCGGACAGCACTCGGCATTCGCGATGTGTCTTTCAATCTGCGACAACTTTCGCTGCTGGGTGCACCAACAAGTTGCTGGCAGCAACCGGAGGCGCCAGGTAGCGACAGGAAGTGGAGCATTCGTGCGAGTCAGCCGCGCTTACCGCTCCTGCATCTGCTGCAAGCCTGCGGGCACCAGTTTGCGATTGTAATCAAACCAGCTCGGCCCCGGTTGCACCTGTACGTTGAAGCCTCGACCTGGTTGCCATCTGCGATTGACTTCTTTTTTCAATCAAGAGGCTTCCGCTTTCATACTGTAGCGCTTTGCCTGTGGTTCCTGTCGTGCGAGAACACCGTCGCGACAAGCGAGCTTCAGTGTGTACGGGCAGTGAGTTACACCGCCACCCACTCGGTGACCGAGTGGTGATTGCCAGAAATTGGTGCACCATCTGGATCCGACACAACATGCACTACCAACTGTACGGTGCACACTGCGCAGGCCGCGCATCGAGCCGCGCGCTGTTGTGGTGGTCTTGATAAGGAAACACCAGTCCACACTTCATGTGCGAAGCCGATTTGAAGGAGGTCGTTCAGCGAGATGATACCGTACGCGCGTCTGGGTGGAATGTGCGCTTCATGAAGCTGTACATGTACAGAGAAGTACATACGTCTGATACGCTTACCTAGCGAATTGAGAATAGACTACGTACTACATGTACGCTAGTATTATGGGCTTCACGGGCTCTAGATTTAACAATCACAGCGCGAACTCTACATGGTAAGAGCCTCAGCTGTACGAATTCTATGGCTCATTCTGACATGGGAGTAAAGTCGAGCAACCTGGGATCCGAGTAGGACAGCGTAATCTTGTTGGAGGAGGAGAGGGGAGGCTGTGGGGCGTGCAGTTACCGTCGGATGCCAGCTACATGTATTTCAACAAAACTACATTGGATCTGAAGCTCAAGCGGTGGATCGGAAACGATATCATGTGAGCTCAAGTTTATTATGCAGTTCGCATTCGCAGTCAAGGTCGACATCGAGCTGTGATGGCACAGCTTTTACTACTACAGAAGGAGAAACCCCTTGGCGAAGGTAGCCCCACCGGCATCAAGTATCCAAGGCGGCACTAACGCGGGCTAAATTAATGCGTAAATAATTGCAACAACAATACAATATTTTTTATTCCTGGATAAAAACTGAATTGATAACTTATTTCAATGCTTGATTCCTTGACGTACTCGCCCGAATATAAGCCCGAATATAGCCCCATCCCGAATATAAGCCTGTCGCAAGAAATACCGGTACTTAACGGTTTGAACATACAAACTCCAACATAAACGTTTTTAGCGCTGACAAATACTCTGATAATTTCAAGCTTCTGCTATAAAATAAAGTCCGGACTTTAATAGGGCGAGTACGTTAATTTGTTTCCCGGTAAAATAACTTAAGTTATTTTATTTATTAAAATACCCGAACACTCTTCAACTTGCTTGATGAGCAAGCTTAGGTCCATGATCGAGATCCATCCTGTCCTTTTCGTACTATGGACGCTGTCAGTGACTGCACAAATGAGCTTCCTACCCCTAGGAACTTTTCAATTTGTTAGGGCGATGGTTCTCGACGCCGACCTCCAGACTTTTTCTTCCGGGCACCGTCTTCGTCGTTCTCCTGATCTTTACCTCCTTCGCCTTTGCGTGCAGGATCGAAAAAGCTGGAAGCACCTGACGGAGGCGCTACTTGCGTACACGCCGATTGACGGACTCTGTTCGAGAGCAGAGAGAGAATTAGAGAGATGAGAGATAACCCGACGCATGCGGAAGTTGACCCACCACGGTGGTAAGACGGTTCGTAGCGCGTTCACAATACAAATACTTAGCACCATCGTATTAGCATTGTTTGGTTCTTCAAGCTATGCTTCCTGGTTAAGTTAACTTAAAGAAGACGAATCTCAAATTTCGCACGTGGCAAAGTGCTCCTCAGTGCCAGTAAGGGTATACATTGCCTTGAAACCCTTTTCGTACACTGGGTGCACTCGATTTTGTTGACATTGCTAATTTCTTACGTCATTCGATATGTTCGGTGGAGTGTGTTAAACTTGACAGTGGTTCAACCGACTATTCCTTTGGTCTTCCATACCGTCAAAATTCCAACGGGGTTGGACTGCTTCCAACCAAAATCGGTCTAGCAACGGTATTAGGTTTTTTGTTCAGCTGATATTTAACCTCACGGCCGCCTATTGGATTCTCGGCCAACAGTCCAGAAGCTTCCAGGTTAGTGCAGCGAGTCGTGCAACGCTGCTTGTGCTACCTGTGCTGACTGTGCTGCTGTTGTCTCTGCGTGTACACAGGCGCTGCTGGCCGCTGGGCCGTGTGTGCTGCTGTGACGCGTGTACTGCAGTGCCGCCTGTGCTGCTGGGCCCTGTGTGCTGCTGTGCCGCGTGTGCTGCAGTGCCGCCTGTGCTGCAGTGCCGCCTGTGCTGCTGGGCCGTGTGTGCTGCTGGGCCGTGTGTGCTACTGACGCCGGACCACTTGCTGCTGGGCTATGTGCGCTGCTGGGACGTGTATTGGGTTGCGCCTGTGCGCTCTCGTGGTGTGTGGCTCAAGTGGCCGAGGGTTTGGACGAGTATGGTGCTGTTGATGGATGCGACTTACCCGCGCCCATGGAGCTCATGAGGTTGAGCGCCAGGCCTTCGGGCCTGGAGGATCGGGTTCAATCCCCGACAAGGGCATAAAGTATTATGTGTTTTTGCTTTTGTTTTGGACAGGTCAGCTAAGAGAGTGCGTGCTACTCCTGTTGTACGTATTGTGTATCTTATTGACTGTTTAGTGTGCTGCGTGTGCATTTAGGTGAAGCGCAGGAATGGCGGAAGGGCGGAATTGGGTGTCAGGTCGACGACTTCGCCTTCATAGTAGCGCTCGCGAAACTGGTCAAGGAGGACGGAAAGGTGGCCTGCTTTGTGAAGCGCACGCATGGCTTTGACGACCGAGCCAACGGCTACAGCCTGTGAGCCTTGTGCACCCAAGTATTCAAGCGTCTTCTTCTCGGCTTCGACTCCCACAGCGTGGACCTCCGCCTTGTACGCTGGCGAGGCCGGGTGCAGCTTGAACCCAGAAGGTAAGCAGAGCACCATGAATGCAACTGCGTGTCGTGACTCGTGAAGGATGTCTTTGCTAACTGTTGTTGATTCGTACATGCGTGGTACAGCAGTGAACCACTGTCGATAGCGCTTTGGAGGCACGTTTGCGCGCGCGCTTTGGCTGCGACTGCTCAACGTCTTCGTGCTGCTGCTCGGTAGTGTTTGTTTTCTTGTCAATAGATTCTGCGTTCGCTCCCAAACAGCCAGTCTTTCCTCTACGCGTGTTTGGCGGAGCAATAGCTCGTCGAGCTGCTGCGACAGCTTTTCGAGAATACGGAACATGTTTTGAGAGGACTCGGCCACTGTTTCTTGTTTCTCTTCTGCCGGTGGATTGAATGCAGCTCGGAGGGTGATCGACCATGCCAACAGCTCGGAGGCTTGTATGTTGAGGACACCAAGGGCTTCATGAATGCGACGGACGTACGGGCTATCCAAGCGATGGCGGTCCATCTCGGGGAAGTGAAGGATCAAGGTCGCCATCAACACTTCGAGCACCTGAGGATCCAAGTTCCAAGACACTGTCGGGAACCAGTGACAGCAGCGAAGAGGAGATCCTGCAGCTTCTCCACGCGCGCTCGGACAACTCCGTCCAGGGCGGTAAGGTCTGGAAGTCGGGCGCCTGCTTGCGGGTTCCACCCGCTCAATTGGCGCGCAACTTGTTGATCTTCATGTGTTGTGTTCAGCATGTAGGAAAACGCCTTGCTCACGCGCGACATATTCCAGCCCCCGTGTTCAACAACCCAGTTCGGGCTAATGCGACTGTCGGCGTTGGCGTGCATGACCCCACCTCTTCTGAAGGAGTGCGAGGTAAGTCCCTTCGTGAGTCCACTCTCCTTTGCTGCTGGCAGCCCACTAACCGTGACTAATAGTCTATTCATATAAGCTTGGGCACCAGGGGCCGAGTTGGCTCGACATGGCTGTGGAGTCTTGCATGTAGGTGCTTCCGCAAGCTCGCGGTCTAGCTGCGCAATCAGCCTCAGCTCGCCATCGTCGTCTTGGTCGTCGGACGCGGACAGCGCAGGTACGGCAGCAAATTGCGAGAAGATGCGAGTTCCTGGAGCGGGTTGACGGGCGAGAGCGACAGCTAGCACGTGTAACGGGCACGTGAAGGGATCGTTAGGATCCTTAAACAGGGAGATTCCCTGTTGCGAAGCAGTCTTCACACGCTTAAAGCGGAGAAATATCATACCGCCTAGCATATACGCACAGAATTGTCAGCATAAATCGTGGGGTTAATTAATACAAAATTCAAAATCCTGCACGATTCGTACCGGGGTATACACACAACGGGGCTTTCTCCAATTGCTCAGCCTCAGAACCACGACCGTAGAGGTACCACATCAACGCCACTAGCGCCGCATCCAGGTAGTCGGAGTTGGCGGAAGCGTGCATGTAGAGAGCCGAGATGATAGTCTTTATATCTTTCTTAGTACATGGTGGCGCTTGTTTCGTGACACCTTGCTCAGGCCTCTTTTCACAGTACCGATCTAGAGTTGATAGCATCTTTTGCAGCTTCTTAGCTACATATTGGCCCTGTCGTGGGTACAGATCCGCCAGCCAGTTCTTAACATTGCCAAAATAAGATAGCACAGTGTTCTTGGACAGAGCTACTCCTTGCCTTCCAACTTTTTTCACTAAGAACCACGCATACTTATCCAGAATGACAAACAAACTCTTACCTGTGCTGTCCTTAGAAATACGATCATGCACTTCTGTGAGCGTCACCTCCTTCTTCGCAAGGAAGTCTTCGAAGGACTTCACAGCCGCGTCTCTGGTTGTTCGCAGGAACTAGCGATACCACCGACATGCCTGTGTGCGTCGGAACGCAGAATGGAGTCGGAGATGAGCTGGCAGGGGTTGGAAACCTATGAATATTTATTCTATTTGTAGTTCACTTGATATTTGTATGGCATACTCGATATCAAATCGCGTTTCCAACCAGATATCGTTGGAATGCTCAGATCAGCGGTTGACAGTCATTCCCTCGATTTTTTTAATTGGTCGAAATTTTAAGCAACGGTAGTGTCTATTGGTTGTAAATGCTAAGAATCGCAGACGACACACTCCTATTGGCCGGAAGCACCATACAAACTTTAAGGTATTTTTCAGGGGTTAGAATTGCAGCGATATGCTACCATACCATGACGGTGCCGACAGCGGTCGACAGTGGCCGACAGCGTCGTGATTGGTAGAAATAAGCATTTAGTTGAGCGGTTAATCTATTGGTCAAATCATTTGACTCAAATGTCAATTCCAAAATGCAAGGCAAGGACGGCGGGTGGGAGGAGCGGGGATGGAGGAGCGCGGCGTCATCAAGGAGGGCGGCGAGCCGAAGGACGTCGGCGAAAAAGGGGGGGGGGGGGGGCTGCATAGTTCCGCCTGCCAAGATGTGGGTGGTGTCTGGGAGGACGGCGGTAGGCTGCACGACGGCGGGCGAGTGGTCCACGGTGGAGGCTAGGAAGATGGCGCGCAGCACGACGATGACGGTTACCTGAAGCAGGGCGGTGGGCACCAGGATGGCGGCGCAGGACAAGACGGCCGCGCCGTGGAGGATAGACGGCGGGAAGGAGGAGGAGGAGAACCGGAGCGAACGGCAAGAGGCGGCGGACCGGAGGTGGGGCGATGGGGAGGCCAAGGCGAGGGCGGTAAAGGCATCAAGCGGAGGGAAACGAGCGCAAGGGCGCAGCGAGCTGCTGGGAGGCGACGAGCATAGGGAAGCGTGCAGCAGGAGGAGGGCGTGGCTGCTGTGGCTTGCGTACTGGTGTTGGCACCAACAACACGACGCTGGTGGGGTGCTGCTGCTGCTGTGTGGACTGGCACTGTTGGTGGGGTATCGCTGCAGGTGGAATGCTCCGCAGTCACACACCACCCCTAGCGTCTAGTACTCTTGAGTAGGAATAAGTTATTGATATTAAATGGAATAAATTAATGGTTTTCTTGTATATTCTGCATTGGATCCTAGCGCTTCGCTCGTGCGGTATGCAGCAAGCTCCGCCTGAGCGACACTCCTGAATGAGCAGCTCTCACTGAGTGCTGCTTGTTCATGTTATGGGTAGGTCGATAGGCGTGCCCAGGAAACTCGTTTGAGTTCGTGATAATGGTTGAAACGCTATTGCAAACGGCTCAAATCAGCTCGTCAAAGGCAATACAAGAGCTAAGTAACTTGTCGGCAGCAGAACAGATATGTATATTATATCCTTATTACTTAGATTTCCTATGGGATGAATACATATTTCGGCCGCGTTGCCGGCATTATACGTCGGCATAGTGTCAGCAGCAAATATACCTACCCCTAATCATGTTGATTGGCCTAAATAGGGATCTACCGGATGCTTATTCGCTGAAAAAACGTATTGGACATCTGATTGGGCCATGGCCGCCATACAGTGGCCAAGTCAAGTTCTTGTATGTCGGCACCGTCACGATATTCATCCTTATAGCAGGGTTGATATGCTTATCATAATCACATCAAACCCTTGTTGAAGGTGAAGCTGTGTCCGTAGCCACGAAAGCTAGATTTGACTTGATTACAGCACGTATATTACATTGAAATACGCCCAACGTTGGACTTCTTACTTCATCTCGGCGGCCGCGCTTTGCTTTTTCATATTGATCTTCTCCATACTCGTGAACCTCACCAGTCCTCCCGATCCGCTTTTCTCTCGAGCTGCAAGAAAGCGCGAGATACGCTGCGCCGTCAACTGCGACGGATACTCGACCAGCCAGTAGCTAACAGTAGCTAGTGCAATGGTGAGGAACAGCCGAGCGAACAAGCGGTTGAAGTAGTTGGACTGGTGGCTGATCGGCGGGTACTTGACGACGAAAGTGTGCAGCAGGTAGATGGAGAAGCTGATCTTGCCCCAATATCGAAACACACTCCACTCGAACATTGTGGAGACGCAGGACGGCTGCATCACCTCGATCACGATAATCGCCGTCATATACACGCCGACGAAGGGGAAGCCACTCGGAGGAGGCGCAGGGTTCTTCATGACCCAGTCGAAGAGCAAGCCGCGGAAGATCACGCTCATCATCAAGGCGATTATCAGACCTTCCGCCGCTCGCAGGAGTACAAGGTGCCACAATCGGAACTTGAAGCCCGTCTCTTTGATCCACAAGTCGAACTTCACAAACACCACGGCACCCAGAGAACCGAGGACGAAGGTGTGAAGGTGGTGGTTGAGCGACTCGTGGCTGTTGCGAATAATGGTCCAGCCCTGGTACACGGTCCACATGAAGAGAGGGGTCGCCGCTACCCACCAGAAGCGCCGCAACTTGAGCATCGTCAACACGAACAGCGGGATGACGAAGTAGTACGAGATCTCCAACGGCAGCGTCCAGAAGACGTGATAGCGCTGGTCGAACTCGAACGTGAGCATCTTGTTCAGGTTCACCTCGCCAGCCTTTTGCACGATGAAGTAGCGGTGCTGGTTCTCGAACGACAGCCGCGACAGCACAAACGCTGTGATGGCGAACAGCGGGTACACGCGGAAGAACCGCTTCTGGAAGTAGTCGCCCAGGGCGAACGCCCACGCACGCGCGCCAGCACCTTGAGCCAGCAGCTTCATGCTCTTCTTCATGAATAGCCACGTCAGCAGGAACGACGACAGGATGAAGAACGCGTCGACCGCAACCGAGCCGAGGTGGAGATCCGGAAAGAACTCGCGAGAGTGCTGGACCACGACCATCATGGCTGCGAGGCCGCGAATTCCATCGAGGAACAGGATCTTGGTGGCGGGAGCCTGCGGTGGCGGCGGGTTCGCGGCAGCGGGGACCTGTTCAGCCGACGACTTGGTGCTGCTCGCATTGGTCTGTCCTACGAAAGTCTGGTCCTCCGCGTCCGACGAGGACGCCGAGGTCTCTTCGTCCGATAGATCGATCACGCTGAGCTTCACGGTTCCTGCGGGGGTGTCCGCATTGACGGCCTTCTCGTCCCGCCCGCTGGGCGTGGCATTGCGCGCGTCCTGCAGCATCTCGACTGACGCGGCGATTGCAAAGTGAGACTTTGAGCTGCCCTCCCACATCCGGCGCCACGAAATCCTGGGATCTGACTTTCCCGAACAGCGGGTGGATTAACCCCATGTGGTCGCGCGGAGTTGTGGACGCGCCGTGCAAAGCACGCGATGCTTGTTCCAGTTGCTGTGTTGTTGAGTCTGCTTGAGTCATGGGCGAGCAGCGCTCGCCTCAGCCCTTGACTACCGGTAGATCCATTAAGGCACGTGAGTTTCAAAGAACTTTAAGATCGATAGCGCACCACTGCAGTTTGTGGTCTTGAGGCGAGCGCCTACAGGTGAGTCTACTAACTAGCCAAAGTGTATTAACGATAATTAATGAGACTGCGTGTTCCGGTTCATTACTTCATTTCCACGCCAGCTCTCCGTTTTCGCATGGCGATCCGCTCCATGCAAGTGAACCTCACGAGTCCACGCTCACCGGGTTGTTTGGCCCCTCGAGCGGCGAGAAAGCGAGATATCCGCTGGGCCAGCAGCTGGGACGGGCGCTCCACCACGTGGTAGGAGGCCGTCGCCAACAGCAAAATCAGGAACACGCGCGCGAACAAGCGGTTGAAGTACTTGGGCTGCGCGCTGATCGTCGGGTTCCAGATCACGAACGAGTGCAGCAAGTAGACCGAGAAGCTGATCTTGCCCCAGTAGCGCAGCACGCTCCACTCGAACATGGCTGACACGCACGACGGGCGGAGCATCTCGATCACGAAAATTGTCGTCAGCAGAGCGCTAACGAACGGGAACCCTTTAGCTGTCGGCACAGGGTTGGCGTGCACCCAGTCGAAGAACAGTCCGATGAAGCAGACGCTCAGCAGCACAGCAATGACCACACCTTCAACAGCTCGAAGGAGCAGCGTATGCCACCAACGGAACTCAACCCCAGTCCTTTTAACCCACAAGTCCAGTTTCACGAACACCACAGCGGCCAGCGAGCCAGCCAGGAACGTCGGGATGTGAGGCCTGAGAGGCATGTGGCTGGTCCGGTACTCGTAGATGCCTTCGTACACGACCCACACGGCCAGCGGAGCCACCGCCACCCACCAGAAGCGATTCATCTTCAGAATCGCCAGCACAAACACTGGAATCACAAAGTAGTAGGCAATCTCCAGGGGCAGCGTCCACAGCACGAACTGTCGGTGGTTGAACTCGAATGTGAGGACTTGGTCCAGAGCAAACTCGCCCGGGTATTTGACCAGAAAGTAGCGATGCTGGTCTTCAAACGGCAAGCGAGACACAACCATCGCCGTGAGGGCAAACAACGGGTACACGCGGAAGAAGCGCTTCTGGAAGTAGTCCACTAACGCAAACGCCCACGAGCGCACACCTGCGCCTTGAGCCAGCAGCTTCATGCTCTTCTTCATGAAGAGCCACGTGAGTAGGAAGGACGACAGCACGAAGAACGCGTCCACTGCCACAGCACCGAGATTAAGACTCTGCATGTACTCTTTCGAGTGCTGCGTGACCACGAGGATAGCTGCAAGACCGCGGACTCCATCGAGGAACAGAACCTTTGTAGGGGGTGTGACAGCAGGCTTAGCCTCCGGAAGCTTTTCCACTGAAGACTTGGTCCGATCTACGTATGTCTGGTCCTCCGAATCGGACGACGCCGTCGAAGTGTCGGAATCCGATGCCTCGAGCACGCGTAGCTGCACCTCCTCGCCAGCCGGAGTCTCTGAATCCTGGAGCTGCAAGGCCTCAGCCGTTGGCGTGTTGCTCCTCGACATCCTACCGTTCGCTTGGCAGACTGCGGCGCCTGTTGGGAAGTGAGGCGGAGCGACAGATCGCGCTGAATGGACGCCCATGACTGTCAATGGGCACGAACGCACGAACAGCGAGCTTGGTGTCGATCACGGTCGCGCAGCATGGAAATTTTGAGGCAGCGGGTTCGGTGATAGGCGAACGCGATCTGGCCGCGAGGATAGCCATGCTGGCTGGGCGAACGCCTCGTCAATACGCATGGCTTCGTTCACGGGCTTCACTGTGAAGTTCACTGACACAGTGAGAGCCATTTCGCAGCGCGAATTATTCCATGGTAGAACCAGGGAATTGTGTTTTCCACTTCAAAATAGTACTTTCGATATACCGGTACAAACCGGTATTATACCGGTAACCCTGACCGCCCACAGTCCAACCGATGGACGCGTGGCGTTCTCCCCTCACTTCGAATCAAGACCAACAAACAAGCAAGCAAGACCCGCCTCTCCTCGTCCCTTATCGGACTGAGCTGATGGTCATCGCATAAGCTCCCATTAATGAAACTTCGTTTGCCCCCAATGTAGTGGAATCGATTATTACTGTATAACGATGGGCTCGATGACGAGACCAATCTGTAAAGATGCCCACTCCGCAAGTGCAGCGTAATCTAGGATAGCGTTGGCACCACCGGAGGACGACAACAGCTCAACCGGCAAGCTCGGCGCCACAAGTTACTTATGACATGCTACATACACAAGTGTACATGTAGCACACACAAGCTTCTAGGCTGCTCCATGTTTCAGCGGTTTATAAATCCACCCAATCTCCTCTCTTTCTCTCTCAATCTCCTTGGTGCGGCACCAAGTCGTGCCAGTCCGGTAGCTGCCACTTGTTGAAGCGGTCGAGGTCCTCTTTGTCGAACATGCCGTTGATGGCGATGCCCAGCAGCTTGCCGACCTCCTCGTTGCCCTTCTGCGAGAAGTGCAGCCCGTCGACGAAGTACGTCTTGCGGACACTCTCATCGGGGAACGTCGTGTTGAAGTACGTATGCAGGTCCAGCACGTGCACGTTCTCGGCCTTGGCCAGCTCGACGCACGTCTTGGCGTACGAGGCGGCCGACGCGTTGCTGCGGTCCCCGTGGCGCGCCGAGTCGATGACGCAGGGCGGTGTGATGAGTAGCACCTGGCCATGCGGGGCCAGCAGCGGCCGCACCGTGTGCAGGATGCGCTGCAGATTGGCGCGGTAGTCCTGCAGCGACACGAACTGCGCCTTGTCGGGCCCGTGCTCCAGCACGGCGTCGTTGGCGCCCAGGAAGACGGCCACGAAGGACGCCATGTACTCGGTCTGCAGCTCCTTCTCGTAGATAGGCATGGCATGCTGTAGCACCCACCTGAAAAGGGAAATAAATAAACGGTAAAGTATTAGTGAAGTATTAGCAGCGATGAAGTGCAGGACCTACTTGGAGTTGTAGCCCGAGAGGCCGCGGTTGACGCAGTCCACGGAGCGCACGAAGTGGTTCTGCACGATCGTGATGAAGCCGTGCTTGCCCGGGTCGCTGCCGTGCTCCGTGATGGAGTCGCCGATGAAGTAGAAGACCGGGCGGCGCTCGGCCGACAGCGTGAGGCCCATGGCGGCGTTGAGATCTTCTCGCAACTGATTCCCAGGGGGCACTTCAAGCAGGATCGGCCGTTGGTCCACACAATCTATTGTGCCTTTCACGTATTTTGGCGGGTGAGCTGTTAATTCAGGCGGAATTAGAGTCATAAAAGGGCGATTAACGCTTATTTAGTGCTAATTCTGCCTAAGATTGTGAGCGCTTCCCCTAACACCCGCGATCAGCATTTGAGAGCCAATCGGCGGAGATATTAATACGAGCAGAATGGCATGGATTGGCGGGTACATGTAGGAAGCCGCCAATCGCTCTGTTTTCGCCTAACGCAGGCTGGATTAGCTTATTCCACCTTAACTCGGCCTCACCATCGCCGCTCCCAATTCGACCACGGAGGGACGACCCGGAATTAAGATGGGAATTAGCTGGCATCTGTTGCCGTATTCCGTACAAGAGGTTCAACATGCGTTGTGACAGGACTGAATCTTTGAACGCTGGCGTCAGTCCGTGCTCCGTCCCGGAATAGTGGTGAAAACCCATCAACCATCCGACCCGCCTGAATTTTTTATCGTACACTCGCGCCATTTTCTGTTCGATAAAAAATTTCTTTGGAAAAATCAGCTTTTGTTTTCAAAAGTTTGGTTTAGATTGCACATAGCGATTTGGAACGGAGCGCTGTAAGTTGAAGTGCTCCGTTCCCTTTCGCCCCTCTCGCCTTGTGGGTATCGACAACTGCATTGATGGAGGCGCGCCACAAAAGAAGATGCCGTCTAAAGGAAAAGCGCGCGCGAGCACGGCGACGACCAAGGAGGTGGAGGAGGAGCAGGAAGAGAAGGTCGGTCATGTGGGGCGCCGGCCCCACATGACCGACGAGGACGTCCAAGGCGTGCTGGTCGCTGCCCAGGTCTTCGTGTATCCACCTGACGGCAAGAAGAAGGAGACGGCCGGCCAGATCGACGTCCCCAACATTGCAGATCTCTACGATCGCTGCTCCGCTACTATCCGAAAGATTATCGACCGGAAGCCAAGGATCGGCAGCGGTCGAGTGCCCATTCACGACCCTGCCGTCCTGGCGCAGCGATTGCGCTCGCTGCCGCCGAACTTGAGCGCGAGGCAAAAGGCAAGGCGCGCGGGCGTGGCACCAAGCACACTAGCACGGCTGCGCGATTCCATCGAGCAGAAGCTCGCTGAGGCGACTACGGTCCGTTTCGAGGCTGCCAACCGGAGCGTGCGGATTGAGATGTTGCAGCAGCTTTGTCGTGACGACGTGACAGAGGTGTGGATGGCGTATTACGCTGTCACCGACTGTGGATTCGTAGATGTGTGGCTCGTCGGGAAGGGCGTGAAGGTTTACGTGTTGTTTGACAAGATGTGGACCCTTACCTGCAAGGCTGCCGTCCGGTGTGTGAAGCGGTTTATTCTTGCAGGCATCGAGTGTCGGTACCGGCTGTGCATGCTGCACTACAAGCTCACGGCAATCATTACAAGGACTGCAGTAATTACTTGGTCTGGATCGGCTAACCTGACAATCGCGGCGTGGATCCACAGCGACGAGCTTTTGGTCTGCACAGAGGGACCTTGTGGTAAGTTTTCGTTTTCGTTTGTAGCACTTTCAATCGCAACATTTCTGTTTTGCTAACTTGTTGTACTTTTCACATTTATAGAGTACGAGGCATACAAGTTGTTGTACTGGCTGTGGTCGAGAGGCATCACTGCAACATTGGACGACTTGGCCAATTTGGTCGCCCGAAATCCGGTCGGCAGTGAAGCTGGAGACATCACCATCGTCGTGTCGGACAAGGAGCTCAAGTTCGTCGAGGGGGAGGCTGGGAAGCTGGGACTGCAGGAGTGGGTCGACGGCTGCTCTAACTACAGACGGATGACTCGTTACTTGGACCAGTGCGCGCAGGAACGCGAGCTCGCTATGCTCTGCGGTCAGAACGCAGTAGTTCTAGCGGCAGAGCGGCCTCCCATACGGGATCTGGACGCCCACGGCCTCCCAATGCCTGAACCACAGAGTCCACCCGCCCCCGAAGCCCCTGGCCCCTTCCAAGCTCTACAGACTACAGCGGCCACCCTAGAACGAACACTGGGCAAATTAAAGCAATGGTCGCCAATCTATCGCTTCTGGAGTGTACAAGACGAGGTAGACCAGCTACAACAAGATGTGCAAGACGCGGTCGATGCGAGACTGCATGGCGTCTCCACTCCCCAACGAGTCCTCTTGGACGAAAAGTTACGCGTTGCAGAAGCCCGAAGGCAGAACAAAGAGCTTCGGATCAAGCGAGAGAGAAGAGAGCATGCCATACTCCGATACCTCAAAGTCAGGAAGGCATTGGATTTTGCTGAAGAAGAGCTTGACGAAGTGGCCCTGGAGGAGACAACAGCTCAGACACGCGCAACGGCAGGGTCAAGCGCAAGAGGGCGAAGGCAGAGTGAGCAAAAGGAAACAAGTTATGTATTTGTGCATTTACACTACTTGGCTACTCCTGTCTTCCTTATCGGTGGCGGGTGCGGCAAGAATCGAGCGGCAAGGTCCTCGAGGAAGCGCGCACACCGATTCGACCGGACCTGGATCGTAACAGGGTTATGAGCCCAAGACCCATCCGGGTCTAAACGCGTGTCTGGCTGCAAGTGTTGCAACTGCGGATTGAAGACTCCGACCACTGCCGGATCAGCTGGAAGCTGGTGGCCGAGTGGGGTAGCGCGCTGTCCGATCAGCGGGAGCTGGCGACCGAGCGCGTGTGTGCCGCTGTCCGATCAGCCGTTGGCTGGTGACCGAGCGGAGCAGCTGTCCGATCAGCGTGTAGCTGGTGACTGAGTGCGACTCCAACTCACTGTCCGATCAGCCGCTGGCTGGAGACCGAGTGCTGTTGGAGAGGAGAAGGACGTGCTGGACTTCACGACGGGCAAGAAGGTGCTCGGGAGTGCGAAGGACCAGGCGGAGTTTGGCGGAAAAGAACTGGGAGACCGTGCGGAACGCCGGAGAGCTGGTTCTGAAGAAGAGCTTGGAGACCAGCATATCGCTGGAGAGCAAGTTCGAGGAGAAGACGCTCGTGGACCAACAAGTGCTACCATGTTGGAAAAGGTAGGGCGCCGCGGGGATTGAACTCACAACATACCTGTAGAACATAGCTCGTTAGACCGTTACACCATACAGGCGCCCCGGTCGTCGTCTCTTCGGGTTGGGACTTGACACTGTCTGATTGCATATTCCAACATTTAAGGACTCAAAGAAGAAAATACCCAAGAAGTGCTTCATTTGTGGGAGCACCGAGCACTTGAGGGCTGAGTGTCCTGATCGAGTGGAGGGCAACCACGGGGGGCGGAGCTAATGCTAATGAGCAGAAGTGGAAACCACGTGCGAACATGACGACTCGGCACGATGCGAGCCGTGACGCAGATTCGTCCAGCGAGAACGATGAGCTTGGCGAGTCGGCGAGTCGGCTGGACGCTCTGATAATTGATGCAGGGTTGTCAGCTGATTCTGGTGATGCTGAGAGACTAGCGACATCGGATGATGAGGAAGAACAGGAAGGGAATGACTCTCACGCGCATGTTGGCTGGTGGCATGACGGCCAAGACCATGACGAAGGCGAAGCAAACACCAGCAGTGGCTGGTGGTACTTCGACACCGCCGCGAACGTGCACGTGACAGGGAACCCCTGGTACTATGTTGCCTTTACTCCGGATCCGAGTCAGTCCCAGCATATTCAAGGTGTGACTGCTGCTTTGGCATCGCGAATTGCTGGAGTAGGCACGGTAGCGCTGATTACTATGGTTGATGGAGAACTAGCTCCAGTGACTCTGAACGATGTGTTTTACGTGCCTGGTGCTACGCACGGATTGTTTTCCATTGGACTAGCTGCTGAACAGGGCTTTGATTTTGATTATGATCGTCAGTCACGGGACTTTCGAGTGCAAGATGAAGGGAGGACAGTGATTGTGGCAAGTCCACATGAGGCAACGTGGGGATTCCAGGTTACCCACCCGTCTAATGGTGATGTCGTCGGACCGCAGGACCAGCTTCTGAGCAACTTCACGGCTGCGGACGGTGTGGCATCGCTCAGGCTGTGGCATGAGCGGCTGGGTCACACTTGCCCTCAGTATCTGAAGGTAATGGTCGACAAATGGCTCGTACGTGGCATGCTGATGAAGCAGCGCGACCTTGGTGCCTGTGACGCGTGCCATATCGGCAAGCAAAAGAAGAAGCCGCACCTAAAGAAGCTCGAGCGGAACACGAAAACGCCAAACCAAGTGGTCTACGCGGACCTGCTGATCCCGAGTAAGGACAACGGTACTCGTTTCGAAGCTGTGCTCGTCATTATGGACGGATTCTCCAGATTCGTGACGCTGCACCTGCTTACGAGTAAGTCTAGCGAAGTGGTGAACCGACACATCAAGGAATATGTGTTGTGGGCAGAAAGACAAGCTGGTCGACACAAGGTTCGTCAAGTTTGGACGAGAACGCTCCACGTCAAATAAAAAGTTTGCCAAATCCTGACAGACAAGGGTGGTGAATTTGTTACACGGAGATGGAGTTGTGGTATAAGGCTCATGGTATCGAGCATGTTCTGGTTGGCCCGAAGAGTTCGCAGCTGAACTTATGCGAGCGGACTCATCAGTCTCTCGTGGAGATGACGAGGGCGTCGATGCACGATGCTGGATTTCCTAAGAGTCTGTGGCCTGAGGCTCTACGGAACGCGGTGTAAATCAAGAACCGTATCTACAACAAAGGCACAGGTGGGGTCCCGTATGAGATGCTGTTTGGTGTAAAACCTGACTTGCATCACGTACGCAAGTTTGGGGCGCTCGCATACGTTCACGTACCAGTCACACCAGGAAGGAAGAAGCACCATGACAATGCCAGATTGGGTTTCGTACTCGGCTACGCTGAGGACGTGATAGGCTGTAAGGTGTATTTCCCGGACAATCGCACAGCAAAATTTGTGTCGGACCTCCGTGTTGCAGAGGGTGTGATGTACCGCGACAGACATGAAGTAACTGTGGAGGAAGATGACTTGGAGTCTTTGCACTTTGTACAATCGGGTGAGATCGTCGAGGACGACGACGCTGTCTCGACACTCTATGAGTCTACTATGGAGTTGGAAGCAGAAGGCAATACTGCCGCCGCGCCATCGGTGCACGAGACCATGGCCGGACCGACCGTGGATCTCGAGAGAGGCGAGATGTGTGGCGCTCCGAGTGCAGCTCCAAGCGCAAGTGCAGCTCCAAGCGCAGAGGCAAGTGGAGATTTGAGTGCACTACCGAGTGGCAGTGGCCGCTCACGCACAGATACCAGGGAGGCGTCTCGAGCGACACCAGCTAGCAGTGTGGCGGATGTTGGTGGAGTGACGGCAGCACTACCCAGTGAGCCTGCAGAAATACGAAGTACGCAGACAGAAACGCAGTCTGATCTTGATGAATTGCAGAGTGAGTTGCAGAGTGAGCTTTTGACTGGGAGTCAGGATGATTGTCCGAGTGATGATACGGAACCGGAGCAGCACTCATCCGTGATAGACTCACCTGGAACTATGGATTCACCACCCACACACGATGTTGCTGCAACGTCCGATCCTGCATCTTGTGACGGTAGCGAGTCGGTTGCTGGTCAGTATGGATCTGACGTAGGCGACACGGAGGAACTTGATGATGGAAATGCAGTGGCTGCTGAGGAGGAACTTGACGATGAGGATGCGACTACTGTTGCGAGTGTCTGTGGAAAATTGATGGGGGAAACGTCAACGTGACGAGACTCCTTCTGAGGAGATTCGTGTAGAGCAGAGTGCTGAGAGGCAGGAGCCACAGCGAACTCGGCGCACTGGGCTGCGCGAGTATCATGAGCGTCGGCGCCCGGCCTACTTGCGGGACTATGTGATGAATGTGACGCAGAACACGTCACGGGTGTTGGATCAGAATGGCCGTCCGATCCGAGCAAGTGATGTACGCGTTCCTCGCAACCGCAGGGAGTCTCGACGTAGCAAGTACCGGGAGTTTTTCATAAGGGCAGAGCTGGAGGAGATGGCTGCGATGAGGTCACAACATGTTCTGGAGGAGATCGCCATCGAGGACGTTCCCAAGGACGCAAAGCCAATCAAGACGAGATTCGTGTACGATATCAAGACGGACCACCAAGGCTACGTAATTCGCTTTAAGGCGAGGCTGGTTGCACTTGGCAACTGCCAGTGCCCTGGAATCGATTTCGGTGATACGTTCTCGCTTGTGGCTCGTATGTCTTCGTTTCGTTTGATGGTTGGACTAGCAGGAGCACTGAATCTGATGCTCTATGGCGGAGACATCAATACAGCATACATGAACGCGAAGCTAGGAATACGACAGTATGTGAGGTCGATTGAGGGTTCCCCTGTGAAGTGGATGGGCACATCTACGTGGTAGTGAAGGCATTGTATGGGTTAAGACAGTCTGGACGTGAATGGAACACCGAGTTGAACCGGTGGATGCTGGATCGTGGCTATCAACGGTCTTTGACTGAACCCTGCCTGTATTATCATGTTGAAGTCATAGTTACTCCCGCCGTTTACCCGCGCTTGGTTGAATCTCTTCACTTTGACATTCAGAGCACTGGGCAGAAATCACATTGTGTCAACACCGTCTCCGGCCATCACAATGCTTTGTTTTAATTAAACAGTCGGATTCCCCTTGTCCGCTCCAGTTCTGAGCCGGTTGTTCAACGCACTAGGGAAACAGCCGCCAGCCCGAAAGCCAACGACCTTTCTCTCCGGCGCAGCAAGAGCAGCCCGACCGCCGGGCCGCATCCGGTCCCCGAAAGGTGAGGAGATCATGCCGGGTTTGGTCTATGTGGATGACATCTTGGTGGCGACCAAGGATGAAAAGCAGAAGGAGAAGTTGTTCGAAGACCTGGAGAAGGAGTACGGACTCAAGGACCAGGGACTTTTGACGCAGTATCTCGGGGTGGAAGTGGAGCAAACCGCTGACCGCTTCATCATCCGCCAGAGCAAGTACGCTCGAGAAATTTTGGAGAAGTTTGGCTACGCTGAGGCACAGTCGGTTGGGAACCCGATGGAGGTGAATGCTCGCCTCGTGCCGCTTGGTGATGATGAAGAAAGCGACACCAGCTTTCCATATCGAGAGGCAGTGGGTATGTTAATGTATCTGCCCACTAGTACCCGACCTGATTTGGCGTTCGCACTGAGCCAGCTGAGCCGCTTTGTAGCAAAGCCATCCAGCAAGCATGTTGGGGCTCTGAAACGAGTCCTACGGTACCTCGCAGGTACCGTGAACTATGGAATTACGTATGACCGACAGTCGAGCGAGTCGAAGACTGTGGTGCTTGAGGGCTACTGCGACAGTGACTGGGCCAACGACCCGGAGACCCGCAAAAGCACGACAGGTTTCGTGTTCACGCTGGCTGGTGGGGCGGTATCCTGGATGTCGAGACGCCAATCCATCGTCGCTCTATCTACGGCTGAGGCAGAGTACGTGGCCGCCTGTGAAGCGACAATGGAGGCAGTTGCAGAAAGCAACATTCTGCAGGAAATACTGCCACACAAGTGTCTGAAGCTGCGCATTGGTATCGACAACCAAGCCGCGCACATCATGGCTACGAATCCTACCTACAGCCGTCGCACCCGACACATTGAGTTGCGCTGGCACTTTGTGCGTGAGCAAGTTGAACGAGGCGTGATTGAACTGCACAAGATAAGAGGCGAGGTGAACCCCGCTAGCACTTTCACGAAGCCGCTCGACAAGCTGCGTCTGCAGAACATGCTGGGGCTGGCCGGCATTGGTGATGCGGATTAGTCGAAGCTCATGCTTCGAGGGAGGCGTGTTGGAATGCACATTGAAGACCAGGGCGAAAGCTGAGTCTTGGTACCTGAGAAAATTAGCAGAGCTGAGAGCTGCGGGTCGTTGCATGAGAAACGGGCTCAAGCCCGAGAGTAGTGGTAAGAGCTGGGAGGCTCAGCCAATCAATCTTTTTCCTTTTTCCTACTAGTGGCCGTACGGACCAACAAGTGCACCTTCCAAAACCAGCAGTATCCTTCCAGCTCTGTACCTGCATCCACTACCATGGGGCTCTGGTCCAGAGAGGGCGTCACGCACAACGTGTGGACGGCCTACGTCTTCACGCTCTTCTTCTGGTCCGCCCGAAGGTAGAATGCCCCTTTGCCAACCAAAATGTATCAATCCCCTCCCTCCTTGCATTAACGAGCCATTGCCGCCAGTATTCTGTTCCAGCAGGTCGTGGCCGGCTACGTGTTCGTGCTCACGGCGTCCAACAAGCCCGTGGGCATCGTCAAGGGCATCCAGGGTATCTCGCAGCTCGTCTTCTCGCTGCCGGGCGGCTACTTCGCCGACCGCACGCGGCGCGACACGATCCTCAAGCTCTCGGGCGCCATTGGCATCGTGGGCGCCGTCATCACCTTCCTCTCGGTCGAGATGACGTCCGTCACGGGGCTCTACGTGGCCTTCGGGCTCTGGGGGCTCTTCGCGGCCTTCCAGAGCCCCGCCATGGAGGCGCTCTTCGCCGACTCGATCCCGCCGGGCAAGCGCAGCTTCCCCTTCATGATCAAGTACAACATCAGCAACCTGGCGCAGATGCTCGGGCCCGTGCTCAGCATCTTCCTCTTCCTCTTCTACGGCGACGAGTGGCAGCTGCCCGAGCTCAAGCCCGTGCTCGAGTTCGGCTGCGTGCTGGCGGTCGTGGGCTCGCTCGTGCTCTTCCAGTTCGACGACGACCGCGCCAAGGACTACATGCTGGACAAGAGTCAGGAGGAGAAGGAGGAGGAGGAGCTGCTCGAGAAGATGGTCACGCCGTCCCCGCTGCGGACGCCCAAGCTGGTGGGCAACGGCGCCGAGATCGACATGGTGTACGACTACTCGGACGAGGACGACATCACTGTGGACGACAAGTCGCCGCCGACCGCGACGGAGAACACGGCGCTGCTGCTGCTCAAGGGCAAGACCGCCAAGGAGCTGGATCTGGAGCGCCAGCAGCGGCTGCAGCAGGAGGACGATGACGAGGAAGAAGGGTACATGGCCCACCTGGACGCCAAGTTCCTGTGCTTCCGCACCAAGCACGTGCCGTACATCCTGTTCGTCTCGGACTTTGTGATCAGCAACGGCGCCGGCATGACCATCAACTTCTTCCCGCTCTTCTTCAAGGAGGAGTACGGCCTCACGCCGATCCACGTCTGCGCGCTGTTCATGAGCCAGCCGCTCGTCGTCATGATCCTGTCGTTCATCGCGCAGCGATTGTCCAAGCCGTGCGGTCGCATGCCCATTATCGCCTTCACGCGCGCCTTCTCCGTCGCGTGTCTGTTTTCCATGGCGTACGCGCAGCCGATGGCGCTGCAGATCGTGCTGTTCTTGATGCGTGGAGGCATGATGCGCTGCTCGCAGCCTCTGCGCCGCTCAATCCTGATGGACTACGTGCCGAAGAACATTCGTGCGCGCTGGAACGCGCTGGAGGGTTTGTCGGTGTTCTCCTGGTCGGGCAGTGCTGTGCTTGGAGGCTTCTTGATCGACGCGTACGGCTACCGCATGTGTTTCATTATTACGTCGCTCGTCTACTGCGTGGGCTTGAGCATGGAGATGGTCCTCTTGCCACTGACCAAGCACGCGGTTGAAAGATAGACAGATATAATCCTGCTCCCGACCCATTCACTAAGCTTACAAACAAGGTTCGCTAGTAGTATTACCGATTATCATCAACACACTCGACGTGAGCTCTACACATCGAAGATCCTCTCACGCGCCACCTCCAGTGCGTTCTTGTTCATCACGGAGCTGATGCACGCCGGGCAGAACCTCACGTTTCTCCTGGCCAACTGCATGTCCGGGTCTACGAAGCTCAGCTTCTGCACCACCTTGCACGAATGACAGACGTGACCGAAGCACAACCTGCACGTATTGTTTCCCTTGGCCATATCGCCAAGCACGTCACGCACACGCTTCTGCTGTTGGGGACTCCTTTGACTTTGGACTTAGCGAAGACTCGATCCAGCGTGTAGCTCAATTTGCGCATCTGGCCGCTAAACGAGCACTTGACAACGACAGGAACGCGTTGGCCATGCCTGGCACAAGAAGCTTGCGGATCATGTCACCGCCCGGACCCATGCTGCCAGTCGAGTACATTTCAATTTGGTTTGGCCCAGCCTGACGCCAAAAGCCGATGATTGACGTGCTGCCTCGGACTCGGTTCGAAAGTTCATGCGTCTCCGGAAAGCTTACCGAGTGAACGAACTGGTACCCCAGACGCTCACCGTTGTCGCGTTGAACATACCCAGTGTCTTCGAGATATACGTAGTCGCGGTTCTTCACGAGGCTCGTCGAGGCGAGAGGAGGATCGAGCTCCATCCACTTGAGCATGAGCGTCTGGAACGGGTTCTCGACACTTGGCTCGACAATGGTATCCAGCACCGCGGCGCCACTGATGTCATCGACGTACGAAGCTTTGAGGCGCATTGCCTCTAGGTCCTCATTGATGATACCGAACATCAAGTCGTCGAGCTTCCCCTCCAGGGTCCCCACGCACAAGATTGTCGGAAGACCACCACCCGATGGCTCACAGCTTTTAGCGGAGTGAGCAGACTCAAGTCGCTCAGTGAACACCCGTAGGCCTTCGCGCGTCTTCAGCGGCTTTCAGCGACGAGGATCGACAAGGCGGATGGCCGGCCGCAGGTAAGCGTTGCATAACTCGAGATTAGATTCGACGATGTTCTTGGCCACGTCCTGCAGTTGAAGTCGGTCGTCGGCAGTGAGGCGGAGTTCCGGAAACGGGTTGAGCACGAAGCGTCCTTTGCTCATGAGCAGTGATGGCCAAAAATGTACGGGAAGGCATTGGAGGTAAAGCGATCTGTAGCAATATGAATTGCAGTACCAACGCAGCCAGCAATAATAACTGCAATACTGGTCGTTCTTGCAATAATTACTGCAATACTATAACCATAGTACTCTGTCGTCGTAGAGGTCGCCGATAGCACATATGCCGTCGGAACTGGGTTTTGAGAACATTATTGTCTTGACATTGACAGCCTTGCTGCTTCTAAGTGAAATACTAGGGTTTGAAGAGTTTATTCGGCTGGCTTAAGACAGTAAGAATTGCAATTCCGCAGCGCTCTGCATTGCAATAGCTTGCAAGCTTGCAGTATGGCATTGCAATAAGTATTGGTAAATGCCAATACCTGCAATACATTTTTGGCCATCACTGCTCATGAGTATGACTATTTATACGAGCTGGGGGTGGTGCTTGAGAGGGATTGAAATCAAAAGTGAGGCTACGAAGCATGACCAAGCTGATCAGATCGATACAAATACTTCGTTTGTCACTCGGTGCGGTCAGGCAGTTCGTGGTTTCGGGGGTCAGACGTAGGTGCCAATCTAGCCTCTGGGGGCACCAACTCCACAACTTAAATCAGCCGGAGCTGGGCCGTCTCTACAAGGAAAATATTGTTGGCTCACTTAACGGATAATTCGTCACGAAAATGGTATGAGTTCTTTCTGACAGTCAATTTACTAAACAAGACGAGACGTACGAGGCTCACCGACTAATCTTCAGACAAGTAGGCTAGTTCGCTACCAAAGTCCCCGCTCTCAGTCGAGCTGGTGTGGCTCCTAAGGTAGTTAACGCCCTTCTTCGTGGAAAGCATTTTCGCTCGAACGACGTCGATAGCACTCATGCCCTTCACCAAGTTGATACAAGCAGTGCAGAATGTCACCTTGCGTCTGGACAGCATCAGGTCTGGGTCCACGAAACTCATCTTCTTCACGACTTTGCACGAATGGCACACGTGCCCGAAGCACAGTTTGCAGGTGCTGTTGCTCCTTCCAAAGTCACCAAGCCGACGGCCTGCGAGTGAACTGCTACAAACGACGCACCCGTTCGTCCTGTGGGGCGTGCCGTGCTGCCTGAACTCCGTGTAGGCCTTGTCGAGCATGAACGAAAGCTTGCGCATTTCACCGCAGTTGGCGTACTTGACGCTGGACAAGAAGGCAGAAGCCATTCCCGGCACCACCAGAACGCGGATCCAATCGCCGCAAGGATCAAAGATGCCGGTAGCGTAGATCTCCATCGTGTTGGGCCCAGCTTGTCGCCAAAAACCAATGATCGATGCGTTGCCCCGAATTCGGTTGGGAAGCTGATGCGTTTGTGGGAAGCTCACGGTGTGGAGGAGGTGGTAGCCGAGTCGTTCACCATTTTCGGCAGTCACGAACCCGGTCCCCTCAGCGTACACGTAGTCCCGGTTCTTGACGAGGTTGGTCGAGGCGAACGGGATATCAAGCTCCATCCACTTGATGACGAGAGACTGGAACGGATCTTCGAGCGTTGGCAGCACAATGGGGTCTAGCACCGCAGCACCGCTGACGTCGTCGACGTACGAGGCCTTGAGCCGCATGGTCTCGAGGTCTTCACTCATCACGCCGTACATCAAGTCTTCCAGCTTGCCTTCCATGGTTCCGATGCATAGAATCATTGGAAGACCAGAGCCTGTGAGGTCGTTAGCACCGGAGCATCGGGCGCTTTCAGGCCGCTCTGCATACACAGTGAGCTTCTCTCGCGTCTTGATCTTCTTCCAGCGTTTCGGATTGACTTTTCGCTTGCTCAAGGATACAAAGTTGTTGTACTTCTGGAAGTTGGACATGATGAGGTCGTTCGCTAGATCCTGCAACTGCAGCCGCTCGTCGGGCAACATCTGCATCTCCGGGAACGGGTTCACGATAAATCGCTCCTTGCCCATGGTGTTTTGTGCTGCGAAGAACTTGAGAACGAAAGTGAGAGCGATATGACAGTGCTTGCTTTCGTTCTCTACAGAAACAGTCTGTATTCATAACATGTTAGAATGACGAACCAGCCTCTGCCACATCGAGGACAAATGGATACACGAAATCAGGATACTTTAGCCTTTACCTCTCAGCTGGTAGGGATCCCTCAGCAGCAGAATTAGGTTTCTTTAGCCAGCTCTACCACAAGTCTATAGCCTGTTAATCAATTTTATTCTTCTCTCAGCTGGTTGGGACAGCGTGATAAGAAAAAATACGCACTTGTTCAGATTAGGGGTAGTCAATGTCCGCAGCAACAGCTCACTTTTTTCCGCCGCAGCAAGTCGGATTTTTTTCCGGGGCTGTGATTGGCCAGGAAAAAAATCGGCGACCGGAACAAAAAGTCATTCCAGTCGAGCCGCCTCGTAATAGAGGTGACATTTGGGCAAGCAGCTGGCGGTAGCTAATGCGGGTAAATGGGTACCTTGACCAAAAACAGTGATGGGCATTATGAGTCAAACAGTTCAACACTGGTACATTGCGAAGACTGTCGACGCAGAACGCCATGACTGGCGCGACCTGTCCGCTATCAACCGCCGCGTTCTGTAGGCACCGAGTCTTGGTCGCCTTGGCATGTGCAGCTTTGCGGAGCTTGCTTTCAGCGCATCAATGATGAAAAGGGATCGTAATGCTGGTATCATTCGCGGTTGGCCTGCGGCGCCGACGCCGCTGCCTCAAGCAGCGGATTTGTCAATGAAGCAGCTTCCCCACTATGAATCTACGAGTCACAAGGAAGATAGACTACAGCCGTGAGGAAACCGTGATGTCGAAGCTGCTGGGCTGTAGCTTTAATGCTAACAAGCTCCATCGCATTATAGACAATTGACAAAAGCTTGTTAAGAATATGTATGACCCGTGGTAGTTTCAGAAATCCTCCACAGTGGAGGTGATCTGCACCACAAAAATAACTTTGTGCAAGATAAGACACCCAGGCAGGGACACACCTCTATATAACTTCTTCGCTACAACACTTTCGCACAGACTGCTTTCCAACGGGGTTTTCATCGTTCCTACGAAGCACAGGGCTCTATCAACACGAACATCGATGGAGTGGAACGAGTCTGCTGGTTACCACTCTGCTGACCCCACTTTGCGGAGCGATTACGATGATAACGGCTCGTCGACTGCTTCTACCGTCTTCGAAACCAGCGATTTCGACATGGATGTGGTCCTTGATGAGGTTTTGGCAAGTAATGTGGACTCGGATCTCGATTCTGACGAGACAGCGTATGGGAAACCGATGAAGAATATGTCACGAGCTGTATAGCGGATGCGGTTCGAGAAGAGTTTAATGTACCCTTTGACGACCACGACTGGCATGAATTTGACTTCGCAGATTTCAATTTGGACACTGAGATTTTGGGCGACGTTGAAGTTCTTTCTGAGCTGGACTATGACTCGCTGCTTGATTTGATGTGCGCGCATCAACTTGCCGCGGAGGAGAAGGGAGTAGGAGGCGACGACGCAGATTCAGGAAAAAGGGAACAGAGTGCGCTGACGGGGTCTGCACGGCACAATTAGTGGCATTTGACGATGCCAAAGGGAGTTGTTATCCGCACCTTGGTAGCGAGGTCTACATAATTCCACCGCCCCCTCAACTGACGTACGAATCGCATGGTGCTGCGGAGGCTGCTATACACGCTTGGACACTCGCACACAACTACAATCTATCGCGGCGTCGGGTTCGGTATCTACCAGGCACTAAAACTGTTTGGGCGCGAAAGTACGAGTGTGACCGTGCTGGGTGGCTAAAAAACACACAGCATTTAGTCGAGAGCGAGCGGCAGCGACCAATGCGTGGATCGAAGCGATGTGGCTGCCCCATGCCACTAAAGATGTGTGCTGTATCGAAGTCGGACGTGGATGGTCCTTGGAAAGTTGTACACACGCGCTACAAAAGCGAGGTACACAACCACCCCGCAGCGGAAGATGTCCGTGTACATTCGGCTCACCGGACACGTGCCGCTGCCAGTATGTCGACGACCCAGCAAACAATGGGAGACCTAATTGCAAGTCAGACGGCAGCGGGCATTCCAGTTGCCAAAATACGAGCATCTATCCTCAATAGCAATCTCAACTCTCTGGTGTTGCCAAAAGACATCGGAAACCTGAAAATGAAGGCCCGAAAGCAGGCTATGGCTACCCAGACACCACTGGAGGCACTTTTTTCTCTTTTGGAGCACCACAAGTTTTTCTATCGCAATGAGATTAATCCAGAGACACATGAGTTGTTGTACTTGTTGTGGGCGCATCCGGCGACATTACGTCTCTACAAGCGGCATTGCGACGTCCTGATCATGGATGCTACGATCAAGACCAACAACTACGACCTGCCTATGGTGAATGTCATTGCAATGACAGGAATGAACTCGGTTCTACCCGTCGCCCAGTGTTTTCTGCCTGGTCAAAAGGATAGTGATTTTTTGTGGGTCTTAGAGCGGTTCCGGGAGTTGATGCATTGCAATAGAATCCAACTCGCGTCTGTAAACCTCACAGATCGAGAGTTGGCAGTGATGAGTGCTCTCGACACTGTATTTCCCACCGTCCCGTCATTGATTTGTAGGTGTCATCTGAATCAGAATGTGTTGGCGAAAGTTAGAAGTGTTCTTGGTCAGGTTCAAGTCGAAAACCCACTACCAGGTCAAGATAAGTGGGAGAATACCTGGCAGACCGAGGTCTTTATGACGTATTTCTATCGGGCCGTGGAGTCACCCACTGAATATGAGTATGAGCTGCAGTGTGTGATTTTGAAGGACCTCTCCCCGAGTTTAGCAGCCTACTTAGAGATGCATTGGTGGAAGTACAAGACATAACTCGTGCGCTGTTGGACAAATAAGTACAAACATTTTGAGTATCGGGATACGTCGGCAGTGGAGGGCACACATGCACAGTGCAAACGTTGGCTCCAGGACAGCAATGGCAACTTGTACACTGATTTTCAACCGCCTTTTGCCACGGTGGCTTTCATCTGCAAGCTCTGTGAGTATTCGTGCGGCTCGCGACGCAACCATTCTTCCATACCTATTTCAGAATGATCGCTACACCCAAGTGGGTCGAGTTATTACGGTTTGGGCTCTACGTGCTACCGACGAGCTTTGGAAAGAGGCGATTCGAATGTGGACTGGATTAAGTCCATTCCGTGAATGCACGGGTGTGTTCAGAACGGTGAACGGGCGACCTTGCGTTCACGAGCTAGTTTCAATCATCCGGTCTAATGGGCGGCTAAAGCTCCTACCGACAATGTTTGACCCTCACTGGTGGATATATCGTGATAAGATTGAGACGTGGCAGCCTCGCATATTGGAGCCCGCTAGTCTACGTACCAGACGGCGTCAAGCTCGATCTCACCGAGCTAACCACGGTGTGAGTGGCACAGCCCGTGAACCCACTTGCAGAAAGAATTGACCTTAACCATCCGGCACCTTCACCTCAATATCTTCAAGGCGGAAGTGGCATGGTTCTGACTAGCTCTTAGCTGGACCAAGTACACACCGGACGGACCGGCGGTTTTAGTCACTGGATACAGCAAGATCGGGTTGTTGAATCAGTGGTCGCGCACCTAGACTCTCAGTTTCTGTCGATTCCACCTCCAAGGTTCCACCGTCCCATCCAGTACCAACAGCAATCCCAGCAATCTTACCACCAACCACATATCCCGCCGCGCTATTGGGGGGACGCAGGTAGACAGCCCTTCTAGAGGTACTCATACAAAGAAATCTATGAGTACCCGTACGATATCTATGACTTCTGGTACCCTATCCATGAGGTGGTAGAGTTGTATCCATGACTTCCAGTGTTCTATCCATGAATTGAAACAATTGGCGGGAACCCGGGTTCCCGCAAATGATACCGACCAAATGGCGAATTATTTATTTTATTTTTGGTCTCCATATTGGTACCCTCGGGGCAAGTTAAACCCTCATACCTAAGAGCATCTCCAGCAGTTGGTCTCAAACACGGTTTTATCCTAAAAGTAACGCTGTTAAGACTTGGCCGAGACGTAAGGCTTCCACCAGAAGGTCCTATTGCAGGTTTTAACTTCACCGGGACCTATAAATTGGCTTTCGAGTCTTAAAATAAGACCACAATCTTAATGCCACCCATACAAAACTGAAGTGTCGCCGTATTTAAAAGATTGCACCAAGACTGAATGCAATTTTCACATGCGGGAATGGACTTATAAGACTCGCTTTAGAACTCGCCGCTGGAAGTAAGTCGGTCTGCGCGGGTCTCAACTGTAAAATTGTGGTCTCAAAGACCCTGTTACGTCTTAGGATAAGACCCACCGCTGGAGATGCTCTAAGTGCTGTCGATGAAGGACTACCCTCAAAATATGCCACCGGTACTGAATAGACCCAAATAACATACCTTACCATGTCCAAGTTTATCTTTCATGAGCAGGAGGATAGCGATGAGACCGGGAAGCACTGTACCGCTGCACAAGGCAAGCGTCTGGATTTTCGTGGAGAGACACAGGACGAGGGCGAAGGTGAATTAACCTTCCGTTCCCCTACTGAGCTTTAGCGTTCTATGTAGGTCATAGACCAACACTTCAATACATTTGCTCATACATGTGTACCGGTAGTTTTGGGGGAACCGGGGTCCCGATGGGTACCCGGGTTCCCGCCAATTGTTTCAATTGTAGAAACGGATCCATGATGTTCACTAGCCGATCCATGAATTGTAGAAACGGATCCATGATTTTCAGTAGGCGATCCATGAGTTCAACTATACTGATGACCACTGGTTTCTGATCCATGAGATGTACTAGATCACAGTACGAGACACCGCCTATTTCACGACCGAAGCTGATCCTCGACTTTCTATACAAATCGATGACTTCAATACCAACTCCATGAATACCGGTACTATATCCATGAAATTACACGCGGTATCCATGATGAGCGGTAGCCGATCCATGACTTGTGGTATCGGATCCTTGAAATTGTCGAATTGTATATATGCGTTCGTAAATCCGATCTTCGGGTTTCAATAATACAAAGGTGTCTACATACACTTCATAAATATTTCAACATCCGTGCATACAGTGTACATCTATCCGTTTACTGTTGACGTGGTAAAATATTAAAACAAACACTTGCTAAGAAAAAAATGATCAAATCGATGGCCATTGTGTTTTTCATTAACGCTAGTTAACCTAAAGCCCGAAAAACTTCAGCGAGATCTTCCTTCAGCATTTGTGCACGTTGTACGTGTTTTTATTCCGAAGTGGCGCTGGCATTTTTTGCAGAACGCCCCCTTGTCGTTGTTGGCCTTCCACTTTCTGGCGATGGCCTCCTTCTCAGGGTTACTGTCGCAATAGCGCTGGTGGTTGGTGAGAGATCGCTTAGAGTCGCTTCGCTTGAAGCAGAAGCGGCAGCGGTAGAACCCCCAGGCAACTCGCTCTACAGTAGCGTCGTGTGCCACGTTGTCAACCAGTAGAGTGCCTTGAAGGCGAACATCATGCGCCTCTGCACGTGGGTCTGCATGTGGCAGGTCGCCACGGAAGATAAGTAGATCTCCTGCGTTCATCTCAATGACGTAAGCGTTGGATCGAATTGCGCATCTGTTGAACGCCTCAGGGACCGTGATCACCTTCGGTCCATCCGTGAGGGCGAGCAGCACTGAAGCCTGAACCCATTCATGGGCCTCAATCGTTGCCGCCGTCTCCGTTGACACGAAGTCGCGATGCAGGTGCTGAGGCGGCCAACCAGGCGACAGCTCAACCACGTCCCACTTCGTCGTCACCGTCCAGGAATGATGAAGCCTGCCGGCGAAGTCGACCATGCGCTCGTGCACAAAGCGAAACGCAGGGGGGGGGGGTGCGTTGATGTTGTCCGCGAGACTGAGAGGTGCTTGACGGCGATGAGCAATCCCAGTCTCGCGAAACCACTTGGCCTCTGACAGGCCGTCCACGGCACGACGCACAGCGCTAACCTCGTCTTGGGTGAGGAATTCCTTAACTACGTGGTAACCGTCGTTCCATATCCCGCAGATAATGGCGACGACGGCGGGCGTGCTTGGCGCGGGGTTGACGCTCATGCTGGTGGGGCTTGCTTGAACTGGTATCTTGAGTAGGAGGGGGCGGCTTGCAGAGTGAGATCCACACGAGGGATCATGGATGGCGCTGGTTCGCCGCCCCCTAGCACCCAAAAAGAATTTGGGTATTGATGTACACATTTACCCGCATTAGCTACCGCCAGCTGCTTGCCCAAATGTCACCTCTATTACGAGGGCCGTCCCCATGAGGGCCCTCCTTAGCGATTCCCGTCGAGCCGCAGCAGCAGCTCGTTTTTTTCTGGCGCGGCCAAGATCTGAGCACCAACGGTACGGTAGCATGGTCGTCGCGCGAGAGAAGACTCCACCCTTGGGGCTTGCGCTGCGAGCAGAGTACTCGGAAGGTCAATCTAGTAAGCCTACTTGTGTCCGTCGGATGCCTTGATGTCCAGCAAGCGTTGCTCCAGCGCGATCATGTAATAATGCACAATGTATGTCGAGGGACAGAGAGAACACGAGCCCTTCCACGAGCTCTGTATCTATACTACACTCGAGTCTTCCTTAGCAAGCAGCCGCCTAGGACTGTGTCTAAAGCTGCATCCACTAATCGCTGCGTGTTGGAAGGCGCTGAGAGTAGTGAGCGGACGGCAGTTCGCTCCGCTAGCTACAGCTAACTTAGCCCTACTTTCGCATCGGCAGCCCGAGCAACAAGCGCCTCCCCCAACAAAACTCAACACGCTCAGTCTCCTCACCTTGACCATCAACAACAGGTGGGCCTCCTTCGTGCTCACGCGCGACCTCAGCAACTCTACAACTCGGATAGACGCCGACTGGATTTTCATGCTAAGATCAACACCTACCACGCCGATTGCAGTAGGATGAACACGCTGTTGCCTTCTCACACTCAACCTGAAGGAGGCAGAGGACACCACCTTCCTCTTGCTGGCGCTCCGGGCATTCCAGCGTACGCTTCCCAGCATCCCAGAGGACAAGCACGTAGACTGGGGCGTTTGAAGCCGAGGGGGGACGGAAAATCTTGATCTGTTGCTGCGGACAGTGAATGGGGTGGTCAATGCACTCAGCTTGTGATTGGTAAAAAAAAATTTGTCGTGTCTGAGTGAGAAAAAAAATTAGTTGCTGCTGCAGGCATTGACTACCCCTACCGTATATGAGATCTCCTACTTCAGACCCCTGATTATTGAAGTTGTAGCGTCGTACATAGTTTTTGTTCATTTTTAGTCCCTTTCGTGCAAAATATGGCCATATTCTGCTCGATTTGCACGTTTTCTACGGTATGAAATTAGGAGATCTCTCTGAAGTAGGAGATCTCATATACGGTATTATTTAGTGCTCACGATTTTTCAATGAACAACGGTCACAGTAGATAAACTCGGCGTGAACAGATAGAACATTTGCAAAAGGTGCGTTAGTTTACACTACACAAGATATCAATATCACCACCCCCCAGCAACCGCGCTGTAATGATTAATACGTCGAGCTGCTGTACGACATCTCGCTGCTGTAGTCCCCGCTCAGTGTCGAGTTGGTCTGAATGCTCGAGTGGTCAACGTCCTTCCGAACTGTCAGCATCTTCGCTTGCGCACAGTCGCTCGCGTTCATATTGGTCACCGAGCCGATGCAGCCCGTGCAGAATGTCACCTTTCGCTTGGACAGCTGCAGGTCGGGGTCCACGAAGCTCAACTTGCGGACAATTCTGCACGCGTGGCAGACGTGGCCAAAGCACAGCTTGCATGTGCTGTTGCTCTTCGAGAAGTCTCCCAATCGACGACCGATTGGAGACGAGCAGGTGACGCAGATGCTCTTCTTGTTAGGAGCTCCACGCTGCTTTGATTCCGCATAGGCCTTGTCGAGCATGAAGCTGAGCTTGCGCATCTGGCCACAGAACCCGTACTTGACACTTGAAAGGAAAGCAGTAGCCATCCCTGGGACGACGAGCATGCGGATCATATCACCACACGGATCGAAGATTCCCGTGGCGTACATTTCCATGACGTTGGGGGCAGCCTAACGCCAAAACCCAATGATGGACACGTTGCCTCGAATCCGGTTCGGCAGCTCATGCGTCTGAGGAAAGCTGACCGAGTGGAGCAAGTGATAGCCGAGACGCTCACCGCTCTGCGAAGTGGCGAAGCCCGTGCCTTCGAGATACACGTAGTCTCGATTCTTGACCAGACTGGTCGACGCGAACGGGATATCGAGCTCCATCCACTTGACGAGGAGGGACTGGAACGGTTCTTCCAGGGTGGGGAGGACCACAGAGTCCAACACAGCAGCTCCACTGACGTCGTCAACATATGAGGCCTTGATTCGCATCGTCTCCAGGTCTTCGCTCATCACTCCGTACATGTGATCTTCGAGCTTGCCCTCGATCGACCCCACACAGAGGATCATTGGAAGTCCGGAACCCGATGGCTCACCATCAGAGATGTGAGCGGATTCCGGCCTCTCCGCGTACACTGTGAGGTTCTCGCGCTCCTTGATCTGTTTCCAGCGACGGGAGTCGACTTTGCGCTTGTGCGAGGAGACGAACGTGTTGTAGTTGGCGAGGTTGGACATGATAATGCCATTCGCGAGGTCTTGCAGCTGCAACCGGTCGTCTTGAGATATATTCATGGCTGTGAAGGGGTTCACGATGAAGCGTTCTTTCCCCATGGTGGTTAGTTGGCTCTTGTCTGGGGTGATGGCAGGAAGAGTGCTGGAAGTGGAATGACGATCCGAATTCCAATGTGAACAGTCAACGCGACTCAGGGTGTGAGGTGATTCATTCATGTGTTAAACAGATCAGTCCAGGATAAGACGCACGTGCTTCAATTTGAAGTCACATTTAAAATGTTCTTTAGTAAGAACGAATATTAATAAATATATGTTCTTTTGTTTACCGGTAACAAAGAGAAAGTGTGATTCATGCTTCTCAAAATGCGTGTCCGTGTTTGCGGTAAATATTGTATTAAAAATGGGGATTTATGAGATGCAGATTAAAATAGTTTTTCTGCAAAGCGTTGGCAGCGAGGCGCTGCTAATCAAGTTTTCCGTCGGGCCACTGTGGCGGATCCCCCAGAACGACTTGAAGAAATTCATTTTTTTACGGAAACGAGAGCTTTTCAGCTTCGATCATCTGACAGTCAAGTGTAGATGCATAAACTCAGGCGATCTGGTTTATGCATTTACACTTCCCATTTTTCTTCCAGGTACCCTCAGTTAGGATAAATGAACTCAATCTAACCTCAACCTTGAAATGAAAAAAAATGTCAATAAAGTGTCTGCGACTGTAGTTCACGCTCTATGGGGTCATATCTCGACCACAACCTTGATTTCATCGTAGAGAAGCCGAAGTTCAGCACGATTGCGGTCCAAATGAGCGTGCTGCCTGCTATCAGTAGGAAGCCATTGTAAGCGATCGCTGAATCTATTACGAGCAGCTGAACGACTGACCTTTCAAAGTCAACTACGGCGCCATCATGGCCAGTACGTGGATGGTCTCCATGCCGTTGATCTTATCGGGGCGTCATCAATCAGCCAAAACGGAACGGCACACACACTTTTAGTCAGGTCCGCCTAGACGATGGGGGTGGCGCAACCGTTTTGCAACTTGTTCAATCCCGAGATGATGTGAGCAGCAGCATCCTCGGCCACCTGAGGTCGTCGCCATATGGGGTCATTTAGCAAGAAAAAAGTTAGGAATGACCAGTCCAAAGCTTCAACAGGTGCTCCAACTTGACCTGGTGGGTGAAGTCGACGACATCCTCAACACTTTATCCCCCAGGTAGCGAGGGATAGCCTGCCTACCATCTCTTCAGTCATTCCGGATTTCTCTCCATCTCCCTCAAGTCCGTCTCACCTTCCAGCTCTCGCCGACTATGGTGAAGGGTCGATTCACCGTCAACCCTTTCAAGGAGCTGGCGCTCACTCCAGACGACATAAGTAACCTACACGAGATCTCCAGCGCCATCCTCGACTCGAATCTGTCGAGGTACGAGGACTACATCAACGTCGACAAGGGTAAGGTCGACTCAGCGCAATGGAAGTTGGTAAAGTCCAAGGACAACACGAGAGTTTTTCATGAGAAATCCACCGGATCTAGCAACGCAGCGCCGCTCCCTCAAGCTTCCGGGTCTTCCAAGGACCTTCCGTCTCTGCTCTGCGTCGGGACCACAGTTGGAGATATGGAAGACATGATGTTTGGCGTGGTGAACCCGACGCTCGAGATCACGCGCATCAAGGCCTCGTATGTTGACGACCTCAGCGGAGCTGCTGTGCTGGCCAACATCGTCGATCCGACGTTGGAGAACCCCTTCAACTCCCTCGTTGTCAAGTGGATGGAGATCGATATTCCGCTCCAGTCCATGGGCCTCGTCAGGAACCGCGACTACATCTACGTGGAGGCCACGGGCTTCGTGAATCTAGCTAACGGCGAGAAGGTCGGCTACCACATTCTGCACTCTGTCAACTTCCCGGAGACGCACGAGTTGCCCAACCGAGTGCGCGCGAATCTGTCGATCTGCGGTTTCTTCCGACAAGTCCGACCCAACGCAAGTGAGATCTTCGTCACTGGCCTGATGGATCCGGGCGGTGACATGATCCGCATGCTGGTGGTGCCCACAATGGCCAATGCGTTCTTGTCGACTCTGAAGTACGCACACTGCGGTCAGATGAAGAAGCTTCAGTACATGCTGGAGAAGCGATACGCCGAGGCCAAGGAGCTGGGGACGCCGAACCGAGAGCACATTTGCGTGACATGCAGCCAACCGATCACGAACCGCAGGCTTGGCGACTTTGGCAAGACCGACGCTACCTGCAAGCTCTGCTTCGGCTACGTGTGTGGCAGCTGCAAGATCCAGAGGAAGCTGAGCTTCGTGACCCCGGATCTGCTCTTGGCGCAGCGCAAGGTCACGTTCTGCGCCGTGTGTTTGAACGATGCGATCCGAGCCCCCGCAGCGGACGCTGCCAGAGCGCAACTCGTATCATCAGTCGGTGGGTTGTCAAAACAGCACTTGTACAACCATGGCTCCGAGGCAAGTACCGTGTCAGAGTATGCGTCGAGCTGTGGATAACTATTATGTAGGACTTACGTTTTCTGAAGGAAAAGTAATGTTTTTTTTTATACGCTCACTGCTTAGGCAAACTTAAAAAAAACTCTCGATCCCTGGGCTAAACTTTCATGAATAAGGGTGAGCTAGAAAAGCTTGCCAGTTGAAATCTTTCATGGAGGGAAGATACAGTTGGCGAGCGCCGAGTTGCGATCGAGGTATCAGCCGTGAGCCGATCACACTTGAAACGAGGGATCCGCTTGGCATAGAGACTGACAGCAGGCGCCAAAAAGTCTGTGTCTTTCCCCGATAAGAACATGCTTACGCTGGCTGGCCCGGACAGAATTGTACTTAGTAAGCATTTGCCGAGTCCTACCCGCTCAGCAGCTGAGTCAGCTTGCATACGTTGATGCGTTAACGGTAAGATGCTGCAACAGTGTCCTAAAATACTCGATTGCTGGGGAGCAACATCCTTATCGATGATGCTGATTTATGAACCCCCAGATGACTCGTCGCGTTCCGTTCCAAGACGTAGAGCAGTTGGCGAGACTTGCGTGTACTGTGCACGGTAGCTTCGCTCGACAAGAGGGCTACGCCCCCCTCAGAGCCCAGCGATTATTGCTACTCTGTCGAATAGATCATTCTCGTTCTTGCTTCAATCCAGCCACCCGACTACCTCCTCCCAAGCGAGCACCAGTCCAACTTTCAGCAGCTCAGAAGCTCCGCGCATCATGGTGAAAGGCCGATTCACAGTGAACCCGTTCCCGAACTTGAAGTTGACGCCGGCGGACACGGGCAACCTCCACGAGATAGCGAGCTCCATCCTCGAGGCCAACATCCAACGCTACGAAGACTTCCTGACCAAGGAGAACAAGAAGATCGACGCGGATAAGTGGAAAGTACTCAAGACCAAGGAGAACTCCACCGTGTACACGGCTCGACACCACGACGTCTACCGCACGGGCGCTACAACCCACCGCGGCCACCAAGCGCATCCAGCACTGCCGTCTCTACTCAGTCTGGGGACGACGGTGGGGTCTTTGGAGGACATGATGCTCGGCGTCGTGAACCCGACGCTGGAGATCATGCGGATCAAGGCCTCGTACGTTGACGACCTGAGTGGAGCCGCCGTGCTGGCCAACCTCGAGGACCCTACACTGGACGACCCGTTCCGGTCGCTGGTGGTCAAGTGGATGGAGCTCGATATCCCTCTCCACACGACCAGCCTCGTCAACAACCGCGACTATGTCTACCTAGAAGCCACTGGGATGGCCGCCCTCTCGACAGGCGAGCGAGTGGGCTACCATGTGCTGCACTCGGTCAACTTCCCGCAGACTCACGAGCTGCCTGGACGCGTGCGTGCCGATACGTCGATCTGCGGTATCTTCCGTCAGATCCGACCCAACGCCATCGAAGTCTTCGTCTCGGGCGTGATGGACCCGGGCGGTGACATGATCCGCATCCTGGTGGTCCCCAGCATCGCTTCTGTCTTCCTGTCCACGCTCAAGTACGTGCACTGCGGCCAAATGAAGAAACTCGCGTGGATGCTGGAGAAGCGCTACGCTGAAGCCAAAGAGCTCGGGACTCCCAATCGCGAGCACATCTGCGTCACATGTTCGGCTCCGATCAAAAACCGAAGAATCGGCGACTTCGGCAAGAGCAGTAGCACCTGCAAGTTGTGCTTTGGCTACGTCTGCCATGGCTGCAAGATCGAGCGGAAGCTGAGCTTCGTGACGCCGGATCTACTGCTGGCCCAAAGGAAGGTCACGTTCTGTGCCGTGTGCTTGAACGATGCGGTCCGAGAGAATGCAACCGTTGCAGCCAGAGCGCAAATTGCTGCCTGTGGTGAAGTCGGTGAAGTCGGCAAGACGCATCAGTATTCTACAGTGTCAGACGCCTCCACTGTGTCGGGGTATTCATCCTCGCAAGGATAGTTATCAACGCTACTTACATTGTGGTGCATTTGTTCGATAGTGGCCCAAAGCAATATAAGCAAACTTCTTTGATGTGTAATAGGAGCTTCAATCCATAGCGTAAGTATCCGTAGCGTAGGATACACACACTTGTTGAGTACATGAACACCAATGGCAGGCATGAGATGATACAGTGCATCCATTACTGTGGCCCTTGCACCAGTTGTGGTCACATTAACGCGCTACGTTTGCCTCCTTCACCTGTCGTCCAGCATCTGCTGCGCCTTTCGCTAGTTCTGCAATCCGAGGCGTTGGTGTCCACACTAATTCTTTCTTATCTCCAAATTAAGAAAGCCTTGGACAAACCACTTGTCAAGGCAAGTGAACGCAACCAAAAATGTTTTCAATCTCGATCAGAAACCTCGCTATCTGACCCCCAGCTGTGGTCAACTGGTCGGGAAGGTTGCGACTATATCCTAGTCTATCCGCTTGCGTGCCTGAGTGTCTGGTACTTGGCCTCTCCGTCCTTGCGTGCCAATTCAGACTGACCAGCTGGAGTACCTGTGCCTTGGTTGCAGCAATGCACTTACCATGCGTCCTCCATCCTCTACCAGCCGGTCACGGACCTCGCTTTCGGGTCGGCGAATCATTCTGCGACTCGCGCTGTCCAAGTCACTCTCCACCACCGACTTTCGTATCTGCACCCTACATCGCTCGACGTCGCGTTGGTCATGACCAAGGGCCGATTCACCGTTAACCCGTTCAATGAGCTCCATTTGACACCTTCGGACGTGGATGACCTCGAGAAACTCGTCGCCTCCATCCTTGATGCCAACATCGCACGGTATGAGGAGTTCCTGTTCAAGGAGAACTGCAGGATCGACGCTGATAGCTGGAAACTAGTCAAGAGCCGAGACAACACCAAGGTCTACTCCGAACGCAACTTCGGTTCAACCGGCGTGGGTCCCAATGTAGTGCTGTCGGGTCAATCGTCGGACCTGCCTTCCCTCCTCTGCTTCGGTACCGCAGTCGGAGCCCTGGACGATATGATGTTTGGTGTCGTGAACCCGACGCTCGAGGTCATGCGGATCAAGGGGTCGTGTAGGAACACACACTAAATTATATAATAGCACACTTTCCCCACCAACAACACCCACCAAGTCCCGATGACTCAATGGGCTTGTTCGGGTTAGAACCTGAAGGCCCAGGAACTTTCCCTTGCACCGGGTTGATGTTTCCTCTGTGCACCGTGTTTCCGCTTTGTCAACTGACGGAAACCCAGCGTCACCAGCCACGAGCAAAGGCTGACACGCTCTCACACACAATATAAACCTCGCAGGCCCTCAGGAAGGAAGGGTCCCAGCCAGTCACGGCTTGATACGAGGGTGCCGGAGCTATACTCCGACGGGAATGATAAATGGAGTGCGCTCTCGCTCCTCCACTACACGGCGATGACTGGCCCTTCGTATACACGGCCACTTCTTCACTACTCTTGGCCTGACCACGGGTAAACGCACGCTACGATACTAGCGTCCACTGATAGTCATAATCCTACCAACAGGTTTATCCATTTGCTACGGGAACTCACCGATAGCCCGGACGTCTTCCTTGAATGGTTGAGAGGAAAAGCTGTTCTGTCATTGTTGCCCAAAGGGCTTATCTGTTCTATCTTCTCTTTCCTATGATTTAATACAAATATCTAGTCTAGACGTGTCCGTTGTGGATCTTCCAGGTAACCGCCCGACTCTTCAGAACTCTCTTGAAGGCTCGGACGGCCTCCCGATGACTCGAAGAGTCGCCTTAGGTGCGGAGCCCAGGCCAAAGTTCGCCGTAGGTTCGGGTCGTCCTTGAAGTTCCGGTGTTGTGTGGACACACCACGGCTTGAGCTTGAGTGTCGACGAGTCATCGTCATTGGCCCAGACTGACCAATCCGCGGCCGTCGAACACCATCGAACGAATGGCGATGTGCCTCGATCCGCCAGTTGAGTCGACGCCGAATGCCGCGGGGCTTGCCGTGAGCTTCACTCAACTTTCTCGACACCACAGCTGCCCACACCGTGTCGCGTGCCACAGCACTTGGTGAGCGTCAGGGTGCTCCCGGTGTCTTCGCGCTACCACGGCTGGGTCGTCTCGCGCCGCGAAGGCTGCGCTGGCCCGCGCGTTCCGGGCGCTCGGCGTCGATCCCGCTGACATGGTACGTGCTGCGTTCGGTCTCCTGCTCGTGCCGTCGACTGCTCACCCTCACGCGTGTGCGCTTGTTCTGCTGGCGCCAGGCTCCCGCTGCGTCGAGTTCTGGTGGCGGCCTCTCCGGCCAGGCTTCTGCTGCGTCTTCGCCTGCTCGGCCGTCGTCTTCCGCTCGCGCTGGGTCGACGGCTGCCGGTACTCCGCGTCCAGGCGATGCCGCACAGGTGCGTACCCTGTCACTGCATGCGTCTCCCTTCTTTTCACTCGTGCTGACGTTGTTCTCGTTGATGCGTCTGCTTATATCTGCAGTCGGCTGGTGGCGTGCCTCCGCAGCCACTTATCGAGGCTATGCGTGGCCACGAGGCTTCGGGAACCCCGGCAACCTCTCGGCCTGGGTCTCCTGGTTCTTCTCAGCCTGCTCCCGACAACTCGCGCGGTCGTGGTCAAGTTATGCGTCGCGACGCCCTTGAGCAGCTGGTCCGTGATGCATGTGATGAGTCGTCGGAGCGCATCTTGGCGGTGCTAGGCTCGAGGCTGGAGTCTCTCGGCCGTCTCTCGGTGAACCTGCAGCTGGGACCGAGCATCCGTGGTGATCGCCGCGTGGGTTCTCGCCTGGCGTCGGCCCGGAACCTCGATGAAGTGGTTACTGCTGCGGAACCAAACATGGATGTTGGCGAAGGCTCGACGCTGGACATGGCAACTATGCGCGCCCAGCTGCACTCTGCTGAGTCAGCGCAGGCTGCTGCAGAGAATCGGTTGCGGTCGCAGACGTACTCTTTGGAGAACCAGAAGGTATTCTTGAAGAACGCGAACGACGAGATCGCACAGCTGAAGAAGGATGTAGCGCATCTTCGTCAGCTGGAGGCTCATTACATCGTCGAGCTCGAGTCGTCGAACGCCGCCATGGGTGGCCTCAGAGAGTGTTCCGAGCGGCAGGAGAATCGTGTCAGGGTGGCCGAAGACTCGCAAGCTCGAGCTCTAGCTCAGTTGAAACGTGAGCAGGAGGTCTACAAGGCGGCCGTTGCTTCGTCGACTGCTCAAAGCAGGCGCTTGCACGATCTGCTGGCTCGCTCGGACGCCGCCGACGACACCGCACCAGCTCGCCTTCGCCGCCGCAATGAGGACCTCGAAGAGCAAGTGAAGCGGCTGACCCGTGCCAACAAGACGCTTCGCGCTCACGTGCAGCTGGAAGAAATGGACCCCGACGTCCTGGTCCTCGCCGTAGAAGGTTTCGTAGTTACCATTTGGTCGTCATTTGGTTTATGTTTGCTGACTTTGTCCCGATGACTCATCTTGCTTGCAGGTATCTCGACTGGTGAACTCAATTGGAGCTTGCTGGATTTTACTCCCGAGTCTCTCGCGATTTTGCAGAAGCAGTACCGTACAGCAGACCGCTCCAAGCCGGACAGAGATATCGCCGAAGACTCGGCTCGGACTGCCTTCTCACTGAATGACTCCATTGGGGATCCCTTGCGCAAGGACACTCCCGCTGGTGCTAACAAGACCACTCCGGGGATGTCTGCCACTGCAGTCAAGAAATCTCGCGCGTCGCGTCGGTCATCGTCTTCTCCACGGTTCTTGTCCCGCAAGAGGTCTCGCGAAGACTCGGGCTACGTCAGTGCTGCTGCTTCCCCAGCTCGGCCGAGTCGCTCAGGGTCGAAGGCTCGCAAGACTTCTGCCGAGTCATCGGATGGGTCATCGGCGTCATCTCCCGTGAGGAAGGCGTCGGAGAAGCCAAAGAAGTTGCCCAAGAAGCGGAAGGAGTCTCGCTGGGCACGAAGTCGTTCTGCGTCGGTGCCTCGCGGCTCTCCGGTCTACGCGCGCTTCATCGGTTCCAGTGTCTCTCCGCCCACGAGTCCTACTCCAGTCGCGAAGGCTACTGCGCCCTCTGTTCCTGGTTCTGCGCCGCCTGCTGCTTCTGCGGAAACTCCTGTCCAAGCTGTTGTCCCAGTCTCTGGTTCCGGTGATGATCCACAAGTTGGTGGCTTGAGTCATCGGGCTGATCGCGGAGGGACGGACGAGCAGTTAGCTTCAGTCGAGCAGTCTCCGGAGATGCCTCAGTAGTTCGGAGATGACTCGGATGCTGGATTGACGGAGGTTCTTGTTGACGACTCAGTGGTTAATTGCTGTGCTGCTTCTGCTGATGAGGAGGAACTCGACGAGTGGGAGGGAGAGCGCGTTGAGGTGGTTGCTGTAGTTCCAGCTCCGTCACCTCCGGTTGCTGACGGTCTATCGGCTTCCACTGATCTCTCGTCACCTGCGCCAGCTCTGCCTCCTGCCAGCCCTGAGTCATCGGCTTCTCTTCCGCTTGTTCCTGCAGCTTCTGCTGAGTCGGCGGACACCTCGGTCGCTGTCCCATCGGCTCGCCGGCCTGAAAATGCGGCATCTCAGAAGGTTCCGACGACTCGTGCCCGAGGTAAGAAGCCGGCTAAGTCTCGCCATAAGTTGTCATCGCGCCAAGTCGTCACTACGCAGTTATCGGCCCCAGGACCAAGTTCAAGTTCTGCGCGCTCTCTGTCTGCCTCGCCGGCAGCCCGAGATGTGCTGCCCACTGCTCGTTACTCCAAACACGTGTTGAACTGGGCCACTCCATACTTGGCTCCTGAAGTCCGGTTTCCTGGCGCTTCTAAGTGCTGGATCCAGATTTTGAATTGCGAGTTGCCGACTCCTATTCCCGGGGATGCTCGGATTGCTGCCACGGCTGCTGGTATCAAGGCGTTTAAAGACTTCAAGAACCCGGACCACCCTTGGCAGCAGCTTCGCCTGCGTCTCCTGGAGCACGCATGTTTGTTCGACACCCATGGATTTGATCCTTCTGTCAAGGTCTCCCAGCGAGCGCCCCCGACGACTCGAGTTAACGGGTATTGGAGCAACTTTCGAGGGTACGGGGATCCTGTCGACATTGATCTTGGGTTCTCGGATTGGGAGCGTTACCACTGGATTCCGGCTCCCGCCGTGGAGAATTGCTTCCGGATCGCTACCAAGGAGCTGGAAGGGAATAATTGGTCCCCTGAGGCGAAGGCCAAAGTTCGAGCTGAGCTGGACGAGGCCAAGGCTGAGTGGTTGGCGTATGCTGCCGAGCGGAACAAGCGCTGGGATCGGTTCCGAGCCAAGATCATCTACCAGGTCTGGAGATGGTTTGTCAGCAAGGAACCGAAGTTCGCTGCTCTCCACACCGAGTCTTTGTTTGAGTCTTCTATGCTGGGTTGCCCTTTCGACAACCTCACGTGGCTGCTCAAGACGACCGACTGGGTCAGCGAGATTTCGGCGTTGGACGCGGCTGAGCCGTGGCGTAATGGCTGGGTGGATGTTCCTGCCCAGCATCCGTACAACACGACGTTCTTCCCCTCCAATCCAAGGTTTCCGCTGTTCGTCCCAGCAAACACCACGCGCGAGGAAGTCGGGCACCAGATCGTCGTTTGTCCCGACCTCACGCCAAACGAAATCGCGGCTGATTGGGATGCTGGTTTCCGTGAACCTGCCCAAACTTCCGACGAGTCTTCGGGTCCTGAGCCAAGCGAGCCTCCGGCGTCTGCAGCTACTTCTCACGTGGCTCTCGACAACTCGGACCACCTCCAGGTGCTGGCGCAGGCTGCAGCTTCTGCTGAGTTGCAGGATGACGCTCGCGAGGATGGTGACGACTAGGAACGGTGAGTCTTCGGGTGCAGGTGTTTCTTCCACCCAAGCTGTTTGAGTTTTCACGGTTGTAGTCGTAGGTGCGTTCAGCTTGGGGTATTTAGGTTTTCTTGATTCTTCTTCCAGATCGTCACGTCCAGTTTTCAAAAAAATAAAAATCATGCAAGTCTTCTGCAGTAATCGTCTTCCTCTGCGTTTCTGGGCTGCATTGCCCCAGGTACAGGTCACCATCTTCCGCAGTAGTCATTTTCGTCTACCCTCCTGGGCTGCGTTGCCCCAGGCGTAGTTCATTATCTTTGAGTTGTCGCGAGCGAGCTCTAATCTTCGTCCGCGACCTGTACCATCTGAAGGCGTTCCTCGCTTCGCTTGCGCCTCAGGTAGTCGTTGAGAAGACCCCCACAGGAGAGGTGGGTGACTGGTTCCCACGTGGGCTCGTCTTGATCTGCCCACTTGATCTTGAATTCACGCACTGAGCGTCCCGTTCTTGTTGACATGGGCATCCGATCATCCAGAATTTCCAACACTTCGCTCTCACCGGCCAGACTATCAGGTTCCCAGCTGTCTTCGGGGAGTAATCCTCGTCGAAGTCCAGCCGTGAGTCTTCGGTGATGTCAGGCGCCAATCGAGCCTTCGGGCGGTCTTTGAATTCACTCACCGGCTTCAACCGCGAGACATGGACTACCGGGTAAAACCGATAGCCGCTCCGGTTCGGCAACTCGAGCTCGTAGGCGTACTCTTCGACCTTCTTCTTGATCCGGAACGGGCCGTGCCAGCGGTGGGCCAGCTTCTTGGTCAGCCCCGGCTTGACACGTTCCATATACAGCCATACGCGACTACCCGGCTCGAATAGAGACATCGGCGCGTTGCTTGAGGGGTCTGAGTCCGCGTCCTGATTGGTTGGCGTTGCTGTCGACCACTTGTTCCTGCCAGTCGTCGGGATGGTTGCTCTCTCCTTCCGGCTCAGTGCTTCGTTATGTTCGCGGGCTCGGCGGGCTTTTTCAGTCGCTTGGTATTCCTTGGTCATATCGAGTGCAATCTGGTGTTGTCGGTTGACGTCCCGGCGCCACGCCAGCGCGTCGGGTTGTCTGCTACTGCCCCTGCGGAGCGAGGACGACATCGCTTTCAACGTCGACTGAGCGTCCCATCCATGGACGAGGAAGAATGGAGTTTCCTTCCGTGTCATGTCTTGTGAGTTGTTGATCGCGAAGACCAACCGTTCCACGATCTCGTCCCAATCCTGCTGAAGCGGGTCTTCGGCGTACACTCTCACGGATTGAATCACCGTCTTTACCGACCTCTCTTGCTGCCCGTTGGCTTGGGGCCGATAACTCAGCGTAGCCCGCGACCTTGACTGCATCATTTCGGCAAAGGCCTGGAACACCTCGCTCATAAAGCGAGGATCCCGGTCGTGTCTAACCAACGAAGGTGCTCCGAATCGTCGGTATATACACTCTTCGAAAGCTTGGGCTACCTTGAGCGCTGTCGTGTCCGACATTGCCTTGGCGATCACAAATCCCGTGAACGCATATTGGAACAGGAGGAGGGCAGTGTTGCCTCTCCGAGTCATCGGGAGCGGTATTTCGAAGTCCATGGACACAATCTGGAGTGGTCGCCCTGCCAACACGTTACCGGGAGAATACCCTCGCAACTGTGGTCGGCGTTTGCTGGTGCTGCAGTCCGGGCACGACTTCACATGCTTCTCGACGTCTGTGTAGAGGCCGAACCAATAGTATCCCGCTTGACTCGCTGGTAGGTCCGCACTACCCCTTGGTGCCCGCCTTCTAGCGAGTCATGGCAGTTCTGCAACACTTCTTGAATCATCGTGGTGGGTACCACGAGACGCAGCTTGATCTCCTCTTGCTCTCCAGACGTGTCTGGACGACTCGAATTCACATTGTAGAGTACTCCGTCGTCGGACAGAACGAACTTGTCCGCAATTTTCCAGGCATCTCGTGCAGCCCTGTACCCGAGCTTCTCGACCTCGCCTCGGAGGACTGTTTTCAGGTTTCCCCACCGTAGTTCCTCGTCCTGAGCGGCTACTATGCGCCGTCGCCTCTCCGCTTGGACTTCGACGGGGTCAATGTCTTCTGCGTTTGGCGCTGCAGGCGGTGCTTGAGCTGCTTTCGGTGGTCGTTCATCAGTGTGCTCTTTGTCGGTTTGAGGCATCGGCTTGGGTGGCGTCTCGTTCGTACTGTCGTCCGCAAATCGGATTCGCTTCGTCTTCGATCTAGCCTGTGAACGAGTCATCGCCATGATCCTGAAAGGTTCTTTGCGCACGAAATCAGCGAATGTCCTGGGTTTGGTGACCTCGTATCCGTCCGCAATTTGAATAGAGCCTCCAGGAACATCGTTTTGCACTGATGCTTCATCTGGCGTCGACTCATAGATCACTTCCTGGATGCGGTTCAGTTCGCAGAGCTCTGCCTTCCGAGTTTCACTCAGGACCACCTTCGACGTCTTAGATTCAAGTGTTTCCGACACCAATGAGTCTGCGGCTGCATTGAATTCTCGAACCACGTGCAGGTACTTGACTGACCGCAGTCGTGCCGTGATTTCCTTGTGGCGACTCAGCTGAGTCATCAGCGACTCCTTCCGGCATGCGATCACCCCTAGGGATTGCTGGATCGCGAGCCTCGAGTCCCCGACGATGACCAAGTCTTCGGCGCCATGGTCCAAAGCTGCAAGCACTCCGTTGGTCATGCCAGTGTACTCGGCGTGATTAACAGTCGTCTTCTCGAGGTAAGCGCTCGCCGCAATCAGTATTGTCCATTCTGGTAGGCGCCACACGATCCACGAACAACTGCCATATCCACCATACTTCTCGGTCTTCGCGGAGCCGTCAAAGGAGACCACAAACCCCGTGTGAGTCTTCGGGAGACGTGCGTACAGGAGGTTTGGGTCCATACGAGTCGTCGGCGGGCCTTTCGTCGGTGGAGCAACCAGGTCCAGCGAGTCATCGAGGTCCACAAAGTTGGTTACCGTCGACTGGGGCAGTTGTGAAAATACGCAGTCCTTCTCCTTCACGCGCTGGACGATCAAGTGCCACGGGGAAAGCAACACGGCGAATTGCACCGCTCTCCCGAAGAGTGACTTGGACTTGGTGATCCATTCCAACGTAGAGAACCGCGTGTACACGCGGATGGTCCGTCCCGCTAGCTGCGTATAACAGGTCTTCAGGAGCTGGAGTAGAGCAAACACCTCCATTTCTGCAGGATGGTAATTCAATTCTGCGTTCTTCAAGACGCGACCACAGAAGCGCACGGGGAGCAGTTTGTCGTCGTGCATCTGGAGCTATGTCGAGCTGAGTGCCCATTCGTTCGCGTAAAGCATCACGTGCACGTCCTTCTTCTTATCGAAGTGCCGAAGGATCGGCGCCGCCGCCACCTTCTGCTGAAGTGCTTGGAAGCTGCGGCGGGCTACAGCGAGGCCACCCCCGGGCGCGAAGTCGTCGTCCTCGAGCTGGTACAGCGCGGCTCCATAGACTGCGAAGTCTTGGATAAACCGCCTGTAGTAATTCAGCGCTCCGAGGAAGGACTGCATCCCCTTTTTTGTCCGAGGGAACGACAGCTTCGTGATTGCGTCCAGTTTCTTGGGGTCTGCGCGCATCACATCTAGCGAGATCTCGTGCGACAGGAAATCGACGCGTCCTTGCACGAATATGCTCTTGGTGAACCTGACGCTGATCCGGCGCTCCTCAAATCGGCTCAAGAGCCGGTCCAGCGTGGCAAGACAGTCTTCGAAGCTCTCGCCTCCGAAGCATATGTCATCCACAAATGATCGGCGATCAAACACCGGAACCAGTGACGAGTCGTCGGGCTCGTTGGTCGCAAACATGTCCGCATTCGGGCTGTTGATCAGCAGCAAGACAGGATCTAGTCATCGTGGGCGGCTGCAAACTTCGTGCGGGACGCTGCGGAAGGGTTCTGCAGGTATCCCGACGACTCGAGTCGTCGGATACGTGCTGATTCGGCTTCGGCAGCTCCCATCCGTTCCGCAAAGGCCTTCCAACCTCCCTTCGGCTGGACATGACCCCACAACGCGTTGTCGATCATGCGCTGGTAGATCATCGGCGCGTTCTTGAGGACGAAAGGCATGCGAAGCCACTCGAAATGTCCCAGCGGGCAGACGAAGGCCGAGATCTAGCGCGCTCGTAGCGTCATCATGATGGCCCAGAATCCACTCGCAGCGTCGAGTGAGCAGAACCAGAGGTATGCTTCTGGTCGGTCAACAAGTCATTGACGAGTGGCATGACGTATTCCATGATTGCTGTGATGGCATTGACCAGCTTGTAGTCGATGCACAGTCGAATGTCGATCCCGTTCTTTTTCAGGACGATGACGATCGGCGATGCCCACGGGCTGTCAGAGAAAGACACGAGTCCAGCCTTGAGCAGCCCCCTCAGCAGCTCATACAGCTTCTTGAGATGCGGGGCTCGTTGCTTGATCGGCGCGTGCCCTTGCACGTCTATGTCACAGACCACCCCATATGCTGGTGGTGGTAACGCATTACCGCTTGCGATCATAATTGGCTCATGGTTCTTGAGCACCTTGATTAGATCGTCCTGTCGTGTCGCCGACAACTCAGGATTCCGCACATTGTCTGCGTCGTAGTCCAGAGTGGTCGTAGCAGCTTCGGACAAGTCAGGAAGGAACGCCAGCTCGTGCGCGTAGTCTTCCAACCCGATACCAGCCGCGAGATGCTCGAACGAGTCAGCGGCGTCGTCATTCGCGGTCTCTGAACCTTCTGTGCTCAAGACCCGCAAGCCACACATGAACGTCTGAGAGCGGAGATGGGAGACGAAGAGGGAGAGGTCCAAGTAGGAGTAGGAAGGCGCCGTGTGATAGAGTAGGAAGGTACGCTAAGCGGGGACAACGAGCGGAGGTTGAGCCGCTCGACCCTCAGTTGCGGTTTATCACTGGTCCGTGGTGAGTCAAGACTATACACACAAGTTGCGCCGACGCACAGGTTCCTACGCTAGCTGGTTCTGCGGCTCGAGGGTGGTCGGCCAGGAGCACGAAGGAGTAACAACGAAGGTAGGCGAAAGTGACGGACAGTGCATATGAGGACGACGCATCAAGTAGGGTGGCGGGATCCGTGGGGAGAGACCACGGGGGCGCAGAGTACAGTGCAGTCAGTACTCTGGCCGTGAGAGATAACGTCTCCGAGCGTCGGGTTCGTTCGATGGCGGTGACGGACGTTGTCTCGCCCACTTGCATGTCCGGCGGGAGCCGCCTGGGGCTTGCCGGAAGCCCAAGGTGTCCATGTAGCTCCCTCCCAGCCGTCCCTATTCCCGAGACCCGCCGTGTCGTTGACGGGTCAGCCGGCAGCTGTCTGATGGTCGTAAGCCTCGCACTTGTTGGCAGTCGGCGTTGAACCGTTGACCTAGGTGTGGACGTGGTGACTAGTGTGCTCTCATGCACCGAGGGCGTGTAAGGAAATGGGAATTGGGCTTCGGGTTAAGCCGAGTAAACTACAAGGGTTCAATGGTACACACTTTCTCGGCATGTATATTGGGGCAAAATACGGCTCCCAGCAATTGTAGAGGCACCATGTGCTTTCATCACCAATACATAATTTGTTGCGTCTGTTCTAGTGTTTAACCCACCAGGAAAATACCGTATGAATCTCGGAAATTGACGCCACTGATATTACTGTACAAGCTGTAGACAGGGATTTATCCCAAACACAAAGTTGAAAGTGCCTTTGGTGATCGTTAGGGATATTAATACTACAGCTAAATTACTACCTATTGGAAGATACGAAACGAGGCTGACCGTGTTCTCCCAGACAAAATCCTGCAATGACGATCCATGAACAACATGGCTCTTTTATATATTGTGGAGTTAAAAGACAATTTATAGCAATAACCATAATTTATAAAATACACAAATCAATAAATAAGACACATAGCCAAATCTGTAAGAAAATTGATCTAAAACTAATATAGTGTTTTACCTTTTCATATATGGTAATGGTTACTATATCACTATTCATACTTTATCATATTACGATATTATAATTGCATTAGTTTAACTTACTATCGATTGATAAAGATTTAATATTGGAAGTCGTGTTCTTCGGCGTGTGAGTTCGTCAGATCATTGTCAGGTAGTAGTATTTACTTCAGCATAAAGCGTCGTGCTGTTTTTTTCCCTGTGCACTGGCGCAACTACAATCCTCTTCGTGCAGCGCGGCACTATTACACATACACTACCCGAATGTTTCCAAAATTCACATGTCTTCACGACTCGGCGAACAATAGGAACGTGAAAGTCTTATCCGGAACCACCCCACAATAAATTCCCGAGGGCTGATACATTACGACCAAAATAACTGCTGCAATCTCAAGGCAAAAGCAGTGAGTGTGGCTGGCGGAACCGCAACGTAGGTGCATGATGGACCATCATTTGAGGCCACCCCCCCCCAATTTATTTCTTGTCTGCCTGGCAAAAATTACTTGTAATTTACTGAAACGTAAAAGCACAAATCCCCCCAGCTCCAATCCCCGGTGCTGCAAGAGGACCGCTCGCATTGATCAAGAGGTCCCCGAATAAGATCTATACGATAAGAATTTAGGTGCAACTTGCTCCGTGCAAGCACGAGATCTCTCCATGATATCTCTTAAATCGGTTTGCGGCTTCATCTCACACAAACCGCGGAAGGTCCGACGTCAATGGCATTGATCAAACGCTGTAGAGGCTTTCTAACAGATGTCCAAAAAGCGGTTCTCCTAGACTGTCTGCTAACGAGCCTGGTGCTTGCCCACTTGTCAATTTCCTACCTACCCTACAAGAAAGACACAGCAAGACACGATGCCCAAGAAGGACTGGTTCGCGGAAAATCCCTACCCGGGTCTGCGCCTGTCGGAGGACGTCAAGCACCAGTTGGGCGACCTCGTGAACGAGTTCCTGGAGGGGTACTTCCGGAAGTACGAGGAGTTCGTCTCCATCGACAACCGGCGGGTGGACGAGCAGCGCTGGAAGCACCTCAAGTCCAAGAACGACCTGCACGTGTACGAAGAGCGCTGCTGTCGGGAGAGCGAGGCTAACATGGAGCCGTGGAACCCTCGGACTTCGCAGTGCAGTCCGGCTTCGACAAAGTCGGCTATGCCTGCAATGCTGCGAGTCGGAACGGTTCCCGGCCGCCTGGACGACCTCATGTTCGGTGTCGTGAACCCGACGCTGGATGCGATGCGAGTCAGGGCCTCGTACGTCCACGACGTCGACGCTGCTGCGATCTTGTGCCCGATCGTCGAGCCCAGCAAGGAAGAGCCGTTCCGTTCGCTGATTGTCAAGTGGCTCGCCATCGACAACCCGTTCGAGTCCACGAACCTCATGAAGACGCGTGACCTCGTGTACGTCGAGGCGACTGGCATTCTCCACTTGTCTAATGGTGATCGGGTCGGCTACCACCTGAAGCACTCGATCGAGTTCCCGCAGACGAAGCCGCAACCGAACGTCATCCGCGCCAAGCTGTCGTACTGCAGCTTCTACCGCCAGATCCACGCCAACGTCATCGACGTGTTCGGCACTAGCACGATGGTCCCAGGGGGCAACGTTCGGCGCTTCATATCGACTCGAACCGCCCGCCACAGAGAGCCTCCTTTCAACACCTAGCCTTGTGCGTTGTGGCCAGATGACGAAAATGTCGCCGATGCTGCAACAAGACCTCTCGGTTGGCTTGCAAAGCTGACGAAGCAAAAGCTGCGTCATGTGCAACAAGCTGTCTTGCTCCGGGCTTATTGGAAGACTTGGGAAGTGTACGTGTAACCTGTGCTATGGCTCGGTGTGCTATTCGTGCAAGATCAACTGGCGTATCAACTTTACCACGTTCGGGAGTAAGCCAGTGCAGCGCAAAATTACGTTTTGCGGGGCTTGTATCACCAGAGCATCCATCTGCGACGCAGAGCGGGTTGCTGAGAGGCCAAGCTACAAGTTGCAGGGTCTACAAAGCCTTATCTACCGCCTCCCATTCGGGCATGGCGGCGGCTTCGGACTTCTTGATCGACTTTTATTCTGACCCGACGGAAGTGTCAGAAATTTGACAAGAGTGTGTGTATTTATGAGTACCCAGTAGTAACGGTCTGAAGCTATTGCTTATCAATTAATTGCATGTTGTAAGTTGGAGAATCTCCGATTATTCTGTTCTAGCTCGTAGTAGTTTGACGTTCAGATTCTTCAGCCGCCGGACGGAGGCCATTCCCGAATTTGCTAGCTTCCCACCCACGACGTCCGAGATGTTCGACCAATTCCAATGTCCTATCCGTCAACCACAATATCGCCCACGCTTTCGGATTCGACTTCAAGACGTCAAACCTTGCCTTCACCTTCAATAACCGCTGATAGAGCTAGCTGACACTTTCACCACCATTCTTGCTACACTGCGTAAACTAGCGAGGTGTAAAAACAATTCCATTAAACAATGCTGCTTTCATCCTGGACGGGTTGGGGTGTCTCCCTCAAGGGAAAACGCACTAACGTTCACAATACAAATGCTGCTTTCCGTTTATTCACCAGCTATCTCCCAACGAAATTTATCAACAAAGCAGTACAGTGAAAGCTTGTGTGCAAGAGTAGACCGCGTTTCGACCAGAACCCCACCATACATATATTGTCTATCTGTTAGCTTCAAGCTCTCGCTTCAAAATTGCTCAGCATAAACAGTGTTTATTAAACACTCTCTCGAACTAACAAAACTCCACCAATTCTCCGCAGCAGCTTCACTTCACTACTGCTCATAAACATTTGCTTCAGACACATTCTGACACTTCCGCTGGGTCAAAATGCGAGTCGGCCGAAAATTCCGATTCTTCCACCGTACCCGAATGAGAGGCGGTAGATACAGCCTTGTCGGCGCGGCACCCCGTAGCTTGGTCTCTAGCGACCTGCTTGGCGTCACAGATCGACGCTTTGCTGATACACGTGGCGCAGAATGCGATCTTACGTTGGACCAGCTTCTCACCCAGTGCGATGAAGCTGATGCGCCAGTTGATCTTGCACGAGTAGCACACAGAGCCGTAGCACAAATTGCACGTGCTCTTCCCGAGTCTCCCCATGAACCCGGACGAGGTGGTCTTGCTGCACATGACGCAGCATTTGTTCTGCTCTCGTTGAAATCCCACGGCTGAGCGTTGCTGCTCGAGGATCCACGACATTTTCTTCATCTGAGCGCAGAATACGAGGTTCGAGGTCGAAAGGAGAGTCTCAGCCGCAACTCGAGTCGATATGAAGCGCCGAACGTTGCCCCCTGGGACCATCGTGCTAGTGCCGAACACGTCGATGACGTTGGCGTGGATCTGGCGGTAGAAGCTGCAGTACGACAGCTTGGCGCGGATGACGTTCGGTTGCGGCTTCGTCTGCGGGAACTCGATCGAGTGCTTCAGGTGGTAGCCGACCCGATCACCATTAGACAAGTGGAGAATGCCAGTCGCCTCGACGTACACGAGGTCACGCGTCTTCATGAGGTTCGTGGACTCGAACGGGTTGTCGATGGCGAGCCACTTGACAATCAGCGAACGGAACGGCTCTTCCTTGCTGGGCTCGACGATCGGGCACAAGATCGCAGCAGCGTCGACGTCGTGGACGTACGAGGCCCTGACTCGCATCGCATCCAGCGTCGGGTTCACGACACCGAACATGAGGTCGTCCAGGCGGCCGGGAACCGTTCCGACTCGCAGCATTGCAGGCATAGCCGACTTTGTCGAAGCCGGACTGCACTGCGAAGTCCGAGGGTTCCACGGCTCCATGTTAGCCTCGCTCTCCCGACAGCAGCGCTCTTCGTACACGTGCAGGTCGTTCTTGGACTTGAGGTGCTTCCAGCGCTGCTCGTCCACCCGCCGGTTGTCGATGGAGACGAACTCCTCGTACTTCCGGAAGTACCCCTCCAGGAACTCGTTCACGAGGTCGCCCAACTGGTGTTTGACGTCCTCCGACAGGCGCAGACCCGGGTAGGGATTTTCCGCGAACCAGTCCTTCTTGGGCATCGTGTCTTGCTGTGTCTTTCTTGTAGGGTAGGTAGGAAATTGACAAGTGAGCAAGCACCAGGCGCGTTTGCAGACAGTTCTGGGGGCCTGCCTTTAGATCTATTGGAAAGCCCCCGCGCCGTGATCGACATCATTGACGTCCGACCTCGGGCGGTGTGTGCAAGCGACCGAGACTGGTGGTTGTGAGCACGGAATCTGAAAAGGCGCTGACCGGTATATTGAAGCGATCTCGTGCTTGCACAGTGCAAGTTGCACGCACCTAGTTCTTACCGTACACAGTAGATCTTATTCGGGACTCAACTCTGGATCGATTCGAGAGGTACCTCTTCGCAGCACCGGGGATGTGAGTCAGGCAGCTTGCGGGGATTTGCACTTTTCGGTTCTCGTAATTAATTACTTGAAAATTATGAACTGGTAAAAAAATATTGCATTCGTCGGTGACGAAGCTCCGATGCCTCCATAAACCAAATCAGGCTACTCGAAAACACAATGGACCAGCCGCAGCTACACATGCATTACGTCCTGAAAGAAAAGCGCGAGCCACTTTGATCGTAATTTATTGGTCGCCAAGAATTTATCGTGGGGTGGCTTCGGATAAGATTTTCCCGCTTCGTCGTAATATTGTGTTCGCTGGGTTGTGAAGACATGTGAACTTCAGCAACGTTCGAGTGGTACTTTTACTTTACCGCACTAAGTAGGTTTCATTCTGTAACGTGCATGGTCTAAGTGGGCGCAATGAGAACCAGTAATTATTGGTCCTTCGTTCCAGCTACTTGCAGGACAAACAATGCATGGTGCCGGTTTAAGCCGCTACACACCTCCAGCAGTGGTCTAGCATTTCGCGATGGATCTGCTAAGTCTAGTAGCAGCTTGCTAATTGGTTCGCAGTCCAAGCACTGGGGACGTGGACGCCAGATTTTAGCGTTAAGAACCAGGGTCATAGGTATCCTGCATCTTAATACCCACCAATTTTGTTAATACGTCTCTGTGTTCATTGGCCACAGCGTTCTCCAAACAACAATTATACATACAATTTTTCTGTATTCCCAACAAGAAAACTTGTGTTAATAGAAAATAAAAGCTTTCATAATACTAAAACAATGTGTCTGGACTTAAAAATACATTTTGCGTAAATTCAACCTTACCTTTTGATACTATTCATTTAACTTAATTAATTATTATTGGAACATATTTTGTTTATACAACTTTTTTAATTAGAATTGATAAATTTAGTGCCGTAGAACTTGTTGTATGCACCTCGACTTCTTGAGTCTCATCGGTTATATTGGAGCGTCTGACGGAGATTGTGTTCCCTGGTATTCTGTGGCGTTTGAATACTGAGTGGTGGCGCGAAAGGTAGCACGAATCTGCCTTGGCGACGTATCCTTACAGTACAGAATTGAAGTTTTCGATTGTTTGGGCAGTGCCCAAACA